GGGGTTAGGTTTTGGTGGCGTGCATGCATGCATGCTTGTACGTTGATCTTTTGAATTGGATTCTGATGCTGACTCGGGGGCGTGTGGGTAGGTGCTACGTGGGCGAGTTCGATGTATGTTCCCTCTTGTCCCCTCTCTTTCTTGTATGGTTGGGAGAAGAGACTGGGTTGGGTGAGGGCATGGGGTTAATGAGGTACAGTTATTCAACAGGTACCACGCAAGTAGACGCCGAGTTCCATGTGGGCGAGGAGGTCGGCACGCTGGGGACGACGCTTTTGCTGTTCGGGTTTGGTATGTCCTCTCCCCACCCTACCTGAATCCAGAAGATACAGGAAGAATAAGAGTTCAAATACTAATGCGAAGCAGGCCTCGGCCCCCTGATCTGGGCCCCCATCTCAGAAGTCTACGGACGCAAACCAGCCGTGCTAGCACCGTACTTCATCGCCGCGATCTTCTCCTTCGGGACCGCAACCGCCAAGGACCTACAGACGGTGATGCTCACGCGATTCTTCACGGGATTCTTCGGGTCGGCGCCGGTGACGAACACAGGAGGGGTGCTGAGCGACATCTGGACAGCGGAGCAGCGGGGGGCAGCGATCGTGGGGTACGCGATGGCGGTGGTGGGGGGCCCGGTGCTGGGGCCGATTGTGGGTGGGGCGATCACGCAGAGCTACCTGGGGTGGCGATGGACGCAGTACATCACCGGGATCATGATGATGGTTTTCCTGAGCCTGGACCTGCTGTGCCTGGACGAATCCTACCCACCCGTGCTGCTGGTCTACAAAGCGCGGCGCCTGCGCTTCGAAACCGGCAACTGGGCGCTGCACGCGCGCCACGAAGAATGGGACGTGACGCTCCGCGAACTGGGCAACAAGTACCTGATCCGGCCGTTTGCGCTGCTGACCACCCCCATCTGCTTCCTGGTCGCCCTGTACGCGAGCTTCGTCTACGGCATCCTGTACCTCAGTCTCGCGGCGTTCCCCATCGAGTTCCAGCGCATCCGCGGCTGGAACGCCGTCATCGGCGCCCTGCCGTTCCTGGCCTACCTGATCGGGATTCTGGTCGGTGCCTGCATCAACCTCGCCAACCAGAAGTTCTACATCCGTCGCTTCAAGGCCAATGGCAACCGCCCCGTGCCCGAGGCCCGGCTGCCGCCGATGATGCTGGGTAGTGTCTTCTTTGCGGCGGGCTTGTTTCTGTTCGGTTGGACGGGTACCCGTGCTTTCCATTGGGTCTGTCCCTGTATTGGTGCCGTCTTCATGGGCTTCGGCTTCTTTACCATCTTCCAGGCTGCCCTCAATTACCTGATCGATACCTTCCAGGCTGTCGCGGCGAGCGCTGTCGCTGCGAATACCTTCATGCGCAGTCTGTTTGCGGGCTGCTTCCCCTTGTTTGCGAATATCATGTTCACGCGTTTGGGTGTACCATGGGCTGCTAGTGTGTTGGGCTTCGTTGCCATCGCGCTGATTCCCATTCCCTATCTGTTTTATGTCTATGGAAAGCGCATTCGCGCTAGGGGGAAGTGGTCCCGGGCTTCGGTTTATGGGTGATTCTGGGTATGATGTTCCTCGTTTGGGTTTTTGCGCGGCTGGTTGTGTGCGATGTGGGGTGGTATGGGACTGGTTGCGCTGCGTTGGTTTGGGTGGTCGATCCCGCCGAGCAGTGGCATCATCCTCTACCGCCCTCAAAAGTGTTTTCCTTTTTGAGATACCTCTGATGACTGCTTCATTCCCTGGCACTTTTGTCTGGGTTTTGTTTATTCCATTTGCATGGCATACGTATATACGACTGATAAAGTTTAGATAGATATAATGTTAGTTTTAATAGAGTGTTTTCGAGACTACACTCCGGCAAGACATGCACATAAACAAAGAATAATAAATAAAGCCTCTAAGACGACTAACAAACAAAAGTCCTCTATAATGTGATATCACCACAGATAACGAACGACAAGACAGACAGACATTTTATGTCCACATCACAACCCCAAGCCAAAAACCATATATACACAAATCAAACCAAAACACCAATCCAACAAAATGAGAATGGGAATAACCAAGAAAAAGAAGGTTCATCTAATCATAGATAAATGGGTAAGCCCTTCAGGCTGAACCCCCAAAAACGAAAGTCTCCTACTTCCGAGCAGCAACACTGCCACCCCATTTGGTGAACCGCTTCGCCAACGTCACCGCCTTGCCGAGAGAAGTCCAGCTACCGCTCTTGATCAGCGAGGCCGTTTTCTCCTCCTCATCTGAGAGCGGGCTGGCCATGGCGGGGGGAGTTGCATCCTCGGCTGCTGCTGCTGCCGCCGGCGGCGGCTGCTGGTACTGCTTGTGGTGCTCGGCCATGACGGCCAACTGGCCCAAAAAGGTGTGGTGCTCCAGGAGGTCCTCGAGGCGGACTTGGAAGCCCTCCTGCTGCAGGATCCAGACGACCTGCGCCATGTTCATGATGTCGCCGCCTAGGTCGAAGAAGGAGGAGTCGAGTTGGTAGGTGGTGGCGGGGATGGCGGTGGAGCCGGCCGCGGTCCGGCGCGGGAGCACCTGCTGCCAGGTCCGGGTCAGGATGTCCGAGTGGATGAGGATCTCCTCCTTGCTGCGGGTGTTGAGGCGGGACAGTTCATAGGAGGTGTCGGAAGAGCGCGGCGTCTCGTGGATGACCTGGCTTGGGAGGGAGCGGACCGTGGAGGGGGAGGCAAGTGGCACGCTGGGGTTGGCGATCAGGCTCTGCACGGTCTCGCACACCATCTCAAGGGCCTTCAGCACGAAGCTGGGCGGGATGGGCCCCTTGAGCGAGTAGCCGACCGACACGTCGAGCTTCTCGGAGCCGCACGACTTCGACGCCAGCGTGAGATCGGTGAAGTTGTCGATGACTCCCACGCCGCCCATGCGGTAGTCAACGCCATCCAGTTGCATCTGGCCCTCGTACTCAACGTTCTGGTGGAACACGGACGTCGTGAAGTAGGTATTCTGCGGCCAGTCGGTGCAGTTGCGGATGATCTCCCGGAATCCCAGAGATTCGTACGGCATGTTGGCGATCTGCTGATCCTGGAGGTACCGGAACAGATCAATACCAGTCCAGTGCTCACGGAACTTGACCCTGATCGGGAGGATGTTAAGACAAGGTCCAACCGTGGTCTCAATGCCCGGGACGCTGGCATTGCGGCCGTTGACAGTCAGCCCGAAGACGACATCGGATTGGGCAGTCAGCTTGGCTAAGGTAATAGCCCAGGCGGATTGCATGACTGTCGCGAGCGTAACGTTACCAATCGCAGTGGACGGAAGGTTGATGGTCTTCTTGTGCTCTGCAAAGGAGCCGATGTGCAAGAAAGTGTTGGGCTGCGTGCGGCGGACGATCTCGGTCATCTTCGATCCCTTGAGGATCGTAGACCAGTGGTGGTAATGAGCCGGAGTGATGTTGCCAGGCAGCATCCGCATGTAGTTGGAGAAGGAGAAGACGGGGGGAAGGGTGCTGCCCTCGTAGCCCAGCTTGATAGCGTTCATGATCTTAGGCAAGCAGACACCATCGAATTGAGCATGGGACATCCGGATGAGGATGCGGTGATGGTCGCTCTTCTTCTGCTTGACAATGTAGAACTGCACGTACTGCTCACCTTGGCGGGGGTCCTGCTCACGATCCCGCTTCTGGAGACCATCTGTGTACTCGTCAAGGGTCTGCTCCGTCTCGTGAACAATGATCTCCGGGTGGATCTTGCGCAGAACCACCTGGTAGAACTGGCCCCGGTGAACAACAAAGACGGTGCGCAGAATGTCGAACGCATCGACAACCCGCAGGAAACTTTCCCTGAGGCGTCTGATGTCCAAGGGACCGTTTCCATCAAGGAAGAAGTAGTTCAGCATCCACCTAGACCCGAACAGGGTGGCGGCGATTGACATAGACTGGAAATCAGTGACAGGGAGAACATCGGCGATTCCGCCCTTGAACACACCAATCTTGGGGCAGATGGCATCCTGCAGAGACATCACATCGAGGTCCATTGGGCGTGGCATCGTCTTCTGCTGAACCTGCGTGACTTCCGGAATATCAGTCTCGAGCAGCTTCTCAATATTGTTCTCGCCCTGGGTCTCAGCATTGGAGGTCGGGCTGCTTCGGGGCGTGACAATAGCCAGCATGTCCTCGAAGACGGGATTACCGAAGACGTCGGCGACAGTCAACTGCAATCCCTCCTCGCGGGCAGCGCTGACCATCTTCATCGCGGTGATACTGTCACCACCGAGCTTGAAGAAACTGTCGCGGTAGCCGATGTTGTCCGAGGTAAGTCCCAGGGTTGACTTCCAGAGGTCCCAGAGACGTCTTTCGGTGTCACTGGAGTTTGACCCATCGTCGGTCAGGGAAGGAATCGAGTCCGATAAATCATTTTCACCTGCTTCGGGCTCGCGGACCGAAGCCTCCACCATCTTGAGGTGGACAGAGCTATTTGAGTATCTTGCCTCCCGTCTTTGGACGAGCGGAATGGCAAGCTTCCCTTCCTTGAGCATGTTACCGATAATCTCGTTCACGCGGCTGTCAATCAACTGCTGCAGCGCATAGTTGTCGATCAGCTGATCCGCGATGAGAGGACCCTTGGTGAATTGAGAGGCCGGGCGCAGACTATGCAGACCTAAGTCCGAGACGAGTCTGCACGGCTTCTCGATGAAGCTCGTAAAGATCTTGGCAATGGCATCGGACAAGTCCTTGGCCTGGTCCTCGGTCACGGAATCGGTCCAGTATCTCAACAAGATACCTTCCCGACCCTTGGTGGTCTCAACGTTGACGGTCACAGGGTACTGGGTTTCTGTTAGCGTTATTTTGCAAGGCATATCTAAGACACCTACCTCGGTCGGGTCGTAAGCTTTTTGCATCTCGAATCCGATCGGTCGGTCGGCAGCATCCTTGTTGGCGGTGCGGTTCTGAATGGAGAGAGTCGTGTTGAACAGCGACTTTCCGTGCCAGCCAAGCTCGTGCTGGATCTGGGCCAGGGAGCAGTGCTGATAGGCGATATTCTTCATAAAATCATCCTGCACCGTCTTGGCAATTTCCACGAGTGTCTTCTCAGGGCTGAACTTGACTCTGCAGGCCAGCATGTTGATAAAAATACCCACGGCGTCCTGGATACCGGGGACGGGGGAGTCACGTCCAGCAGATGGGTAGCCGAAGCAAACGTCATCCGAGCCCGTGCAGCTCTGAAGGACGATTGCCCAAGCACATAGTGTCAGGTTTGCAAGAGTGATGGAGTGTTGTTCGCAGAACTTCTGCAACTCAGAGAAGCGCTTGAAGTCCATGAAGCGCTCCCCGAGCGTCCGGGTACCACCGGTCGCGCCCGAGAACTTGAGATGGCAGGGCTGAACGCCGGAAAGGTACTTCATCCAGTGTGCCAAAGCATCGCCCTGAGTCTGGGACTTGATATACTTAATGTACTCGCTGAAAAGAGGTCCTGAGCCCTCGGGCAGCTGATCGTTATAGGCCAGCGTCAGATCTCTCAGGATCAAGTCCACTGACCCACCGTCAATGATGGCATGGTTCATCTCGATCTTGAGAAGAACCCGGCCAGAAGAGGTGCTGCAGATGCTCACTTGGTGATTAAGCTTATTCGACCGCTCGGCGTTGATGTCCCGCAGTTTGATGGCGTCCAAAGTTCCCAGTGCTTCGGAATCTTCACACTGGAACTCAATTACCTCGTCCTCGAGGTTTTTGGTGACCACCTGGTCGAATGAACCACCTTTGTAGTTGCTGTCAATGAACACAGTCCTGAGGATAGGGTGACGGTTGACAACCATAGACCAAGCCTTGCAAAGCTTCTTCGCATCAATCTTGTCGCCCTTATCCCGAGGACGCACCTCGAAGATAACGTTGAACAGATATCCTTGGGGGTCGCGTAGTTGACTCAGCAAGATACCCTCCTGCACGGGCGAACAAGGGTAGACATCTTCGACCTTATCCCAGCTATCAACTCCGATCTTGGGGAAGGCATTCTTGACCATGTTGTCTAGACCCTGGTAAGTGATCGGCAGCAGGGGATAATCGCTGAGTGTAGGTTCAGGCGCAGATTCACCCAGGCGAAGCATATCCTCCTGAAGGACACGCTTGCACTCGGAGATCCACCCATGAATGCGGCTTTCGTGCTGCATGTGGCGGTTGTAGGTGAACGAGACCTGGAGCTGGTCTTTGATAATCAGTGCGGAAATCTCAAAGAGTGCGAATCGGTGCGTTTCAGGTCCCATGTCGCCCGCCAACTCGAAAGTCTCGGCGTTGAACGCCTCTCCGTGGTGCTTGAAGAGAGCATCGTCCCGTTCAAGCTGTTGAAGTTGACCGAGGTAGTTGAAGAGCACCTCGAGCGGAACTGGGAAATCAGAAGCCTCCTTGTGGAGAAGATTCTCGGCGAAGTAGGGCCGGCTGTTGTTGGCAACTTGACGTCTTGTATCCTTGACATGTTTCAAGGTGCTGAGGATATCTGCAAAAAAGTAAGAATCATCATAGCAAAGAACAAACCCGAACGCGAACTAACCTGTGATTTCACCGACATCCAAAGGACACATGGTTGTGAACCAACCCACCGTTCTGGAAAGGTCAATGGAGGAATCCCATGATTCGCGACCATGACCTTCGTTGTAAATTGTCGGAACCTTTCTGTCAGTGAAGGTCTGGCGGAAGGACTGGATCACGGCAGCGAGAACGACCTCAATGGTCTCGGTGCGGAGAACCGCCTTGCATGATTCAAGGATCTGGGCAGTTGTAGCTGCATCCAGAGTGAAGCCCTCCATCTTGACCTGACCGTAGCAGTTTGCAGACTTCTCCATGCCCCAGTAGCTAAGGTTGGGAGGTTGGACAGAGAAAGGCAGCTGAAGCGTTCCCTTTCTCTTCTTGCTATCCTCAAGTTGAAGGCTGCACCAAGTCTGGAAGGACAGGGGCTTCTCGCCCGAAAGCGATCCAGAGTCGAGGAACTCCTGGATATCCTGCAGAACAATGCGCCAAGACACCATGTCAACACACATGTGGCTGGCAGTCAGGAAAAGAATTTGCTGGCCTCCATTGATCTCGAACAGATCAGCAGCAAAGATGGGCCCAGTCTCGATATCCAACGAACACTGGCTGTCAGCAATGAGAGGCAGAATATCCTTCTCATTGCTCACAGAGTGAAGACGGAACCGATAAGAGGCATCAATATTCTGTGGGAAACATTTAGTCTCGCCTTCTGAAACATCATAGTCATTGGCAAAAGCACTCACATCAATGATCTTCTGCTGCCACTTTCCGTGGAGCTTGGCGAACCGTGCACGGAACATAGAGTGCTGTCCGATAACAGCGCGAACAGCCTGCTTCATATCCTCCGGCTTTAACTTGCGGGTAACACGCACAGTCATGCTCTGGTTGAAGCGAGCCGCGCCCTTAAGCTGGGTGGCTGACTGCATGTACAATTCCTGGATCGGAGACAGTCGGAAATGCTCGTCAGACTTCTCCTCATTCTTGACAGCCTTAACCTTGGTGTCAGAGGCCTGAGCGAGATCCTTGATTGACTTGCTCTGCAGCACGCTGTGGAGGGTGAGAGTGAGTCCCTGCTTGCGGGCGCGAGAGATGACAGCCATTCCAGTGATACTATCACCACCTGTGTAGTACCGTTAACGATTTTCCGACTCCGTTCTGCCAACAATGTAACTTACCTAGGCTGACAAAAGACCGGTTAGGATCGACCTTGTTCTCCGAAATATTGAGGACCTGCGAGAAGATCTCGCGGAGCAGCTTAATCGAAGACTCAGTATCCTCTTCCTCTACAATTTCCTCGTCCTCCTCCACCACTTCTCCTCGCTTGATGTTATCGTAATCCTGCATGATGCGCTCGTATGATGCATCGTCAAGACGTTCCAGCCAAGCCGTAATGCGCTTTCGATCCAATTTTCCAGAAACAAGCATTGGCAACTGCTTGATGAGAGCCCAGGCTTGGGGAACCATGTAGATTGGCAGCTGGGACTCAAGACTCTTCTGAATGGCGACAAGCTCGTGATATGCAGCCTGGGTTGAGCGGTTCTTGGGGACAAGTTCACAGGCATTGTCAGAGATGATACTCTTCTCGGCAGTCAGCGAGTTCAGAGACAGCACCGTCACCAGACGCTGCTTGATAGGTCCCGTCGTTGGCAGAAGCACAACAGCATGACGGACGCGTGGATCTTCATATAGACGATGCTCAATCTCTCCAAGCTCCATGCGCTGACCGTGGAGCTTGACTTGATGGTCCTTGCGGCCGATGTAGTGCACAGTTCCGTCAGGGTTGTACTTGACGAGATCTCCGGTCTTGTAGATTCTTCTGGGAGCGGGCAGAGAGCTGGAGAAGCTCTTGATCCAGGCGGGCTCGTCTACGAACGCTTCGGCGGTCTTTGTAGGGTTCTTGAGATACTCCCGGGCGAGCGCTGGACCTTCCAATGCCAATTCTCCGACGCCGCCCAAGGGTGTCAACTTGTCGTGGTTGTCGGGGTCAACAACCCAGGTAAGGGTACAGGGAATACCGTAGCCGATGCAAGCGGGCTCGGGAATGGCAGCAACATCCGTGTTGATGACTGCGAAAATGGTGGTCTCGGTAGGCCCGTAGCCATTCATCAGCTTCACCCGGTGCGCCCATTTGGTAATAACTTCGCGTGACATCTTCTCACCACCACAGACAAGGTGCTTCAAAGAGGGCACGGAAGAGGGCTCAATGATACTAGCAATGGAGGGAGTCAAGAACGACCACGAAACATCCATGCGTCTGATAGCACCGGCAACATCGTTCAAACGCTCGTCTTCACTTGGGATACAAACACAGCCTCCGTGCATAAGGGTAACGAGCACTTCCATGACGGCGGCATCGAAAGTGAGGGAGGCGAATTGGAAAGCTCTGGTGTTCTCGTCCATGTGAACCATGGGGCCGAACGCCATACCACTGCTTGCAAGTGCCTTATGGTCGATGATGATACCCTTAGCACGACCGGTACTTCCGGAAGTGAAGATGGCGAAGGCCATGTTTGTGGGGGTAGCACGGCTAGAGGGCTTCATGCTAGAGGTGGCAAGCGCGCAGTACGCTTTCACGGTGTCTTTACTGACGGGAATGATGGTCTTAACAGCACCCGAGTAACGGGTCTGATACTTGGGAGAGCAAAGAACCACCCGAGCGTCGACCTCTGCCAGGATCTCTTGGTGTCTTGAAGTGGGATGATGGGGATCAAGAGGAACGAATGCGCCACCAGCAATCAAGATACCGAGAATAGTGACCACGGCCCACAGAGACTTGTCCATGCAAATCGGCACCAAAGTTTCTGGCCCGACTCCACGAGAGCTAAGATAAGCAGCGAATGAGGAGGCCAGATGAAGGAGTTCCCGGTAAGTGAGCTGGCCATCCCAGGAGCAGATGGCCTGAGCGTCGGGTCGAATGGTGGCCTTCTCTTCAATGATGTGATGGACACATCTGTCGACGCATGTAGGGTTTCTGTGGTTCCAGGAAGCGATTTGCTTCTTATCCACCGGGCTAGACACCTCCAACTCGCCAACCTTCCTTGACTCCGTTTTTGAGATGGCAAGCAACTGCTCCAGCACGTAGCTGAACTGTCCAATGAGCATTTCAGCTTGCCAGCTGTCGAAGACAAGCTCATCGTGGTGAAGGGTGATTGCGACTTGAGTCTGGCCCAGTTTGCATTCGACAACGATTGGGTGGGTAAAGAAGTCCCCTTCGGTCAAATTGTTCTTGGACTCCCAAACGTTCTTGTTGAGCTGGCCTTCGTCCGACTGAATGACCAACAGATTCTGGAACTCGCAAGCGAGCGCCGTGTCCTTGCTGAGTTTCTTGATCCGTTGAAGTCCAGTGTGCTGGTGCGGAATCATGTCAGTGGCCAATTGGCGAACGCTCTGCAGGTACTGAACGAGCTCAATGTCGTTGTCGACCACGATGCGGGTAGGGACAGTGGTCAGAACTGGACCGGCAACGTCCGTGGCCCCCGGCATGTCAGTATTTCTGCCCATAAGCGTTTCACCAAAGCAAACGTCTCCAGATCCGGTGTGAACGGAGACTACCAACGCCCACGCTGCACGGATCAACTCCGGTGTTGTTAGGCTAAGACTGTTGGAAACACGGGGAATTGCGACAGAACTGTAGTGCCTGTTTCCGACGCGGATAGCGTCTTCGGAGGATGCCTTGCTTTGCGGGAACGGTGTAGAAGAAAGATTCGAGAGATATTTCTTCCAAAACTCGTCTGATGCGGAGGCATCCTGCTGCAACAAGTGGTTGATGAACAGGTTGTAGGGCAAGGTAGGACTGGAAACCGAAGAGTTCAGGTAGATTTCCTCCACCCTCCTGAAAATCTGGGAGACACTCCATCCATCGTACAGAGCGTGGTGGACTGTCCAAACGAAGTAGCGCTCCAGAGAGTCCTCCGGTTCGACAATTCCGTATCCCGTGAGTGAGCCTCCGTCATTCTTCGTGAGGTCGAAGCCCTCGTTGGTCAAGGTGTCGAAATCCTTCGCGTGATCCCAAGTAATGGGCGCCTCTGCGAGGACAGCCTGGACGAAGTTCGCCGCCTCGGTATGCACAACACGAGTGCGTAAGATGTCCATTTCGTCGACAGCTTGTTGCCAGGCAGACTTGAATTTGTCAAGATCCACATCCTCCGCAAGCTGGAACACGGGCCGAGCGATGTAGGATCCTTGCTGCTTGATGGAAAGGGTAAGCAAGCCCTCCTGGACCGGACTACAGGGGTACAGGTCGGTGATCAGCTGCTTGGGCACACCGCATTGCTCAGCGACTTCATCCAACATTTCGTCCTGCGTAACCGAGGCAGGCAGTAGACTGAATGGCTCAACGTTCTCCACAGCCGTGCTAGATTCCATGGCTCCACAGCTCTTTGCCATATCCACGAAAACCGGGGTCTTGTAGATATCAGCAACCGTGAGTGAGATGCCCTGAGCAGAGGCAGCAACGACGAGCTTCATGGCCGAGAAAGAGTCACCGCCCAGGCCGAAAAAGTTGTCCTCAGCAGAAACGGAGCCAGGTGCAAGGTTGAGGGCCTTTTCCCAGAGAGCCCTGAGAGCTCCTTCAGTGCCCTGCATCTCCACCTCAGAACCATTCTTCTTGCCAATGTTGAAAATAACGTAAGGCTTCAGTTGCTCCTTGGTAAGAGCGTCAACCATAGCTCGAAGCGCTCTGCGGTCAGTCTTGCCTGTAGATCCAAGGGGCAAACGGTGAAGAGGGAAGAACAGTTTGGGCAACATCGCCGGGGGCAGTGACTTGGTCATGGTTTCGTGGAGTTGCTTGACGGTCTCCACCAAGGAGTCATCCATCGGAACGATCACCTGGTGCTCGCACGTCTGACTGTGGCCAGGAACTGTGAAGAAGGCCGCCAAGCACTTTCCGACAACCTTCGATTCCGGGGCGACGACTTCAACAGCCACCTGTGTAGATTCTGGTAGGTTACGAACACACACTTGTTCTACTTCACCCAGTTCAATGCGCACACCATTAAGCTTCACCTGCGTATCAATACGAGAGATAAAGGCGATGGAGCCATCATGGTTGTAGCGCACCAGGTCTCCGGTGCGGTACATGCGTTCTTTGCGCGGGAAGATCGCCTTAAGACCCTCGCGGCTCGTCCACTCTGGACTGTTGATGAAGACCGCCTTTGTCTTTTCCTCGTTGTGAAGATAACCGCGCGCGACGTTGCAGCCCTCGATCACCAATTCTCCAACTGCACCGACAGGCACAAGACGGTTGTGGTTTCGGGCGTCAACAATCCAGGTTCTGCCCAAGATTGCAGTGCCGATCGAGGCGCCATCGCCGTTGACAAGCTTTCCTGTTTTCTCTCGCTTGATGCCTGCAGTGGCTGCGATAGTCGCCTCGGAAGGTCCGTATGCGTTGAGGATGCATCGGTCCGACCAGCGCTCAAGGAAATCCGGGGACATCTTTTCTCCGCCTGAGGCAAGGGTGGTCAAGCAAGGAATAGTCTTGGGGTCCAAAGTGTTAGCAATAGAGGGAGTGCAGCACGTGAAGTTGACCTGCATCCTCTGGATCGCTCCAGCCAGATCGTTAATGCGTTCTTCCTCACTAGGAACACACACACAGCCTCCCTGTGCAAGAACAACAATAATCTCGAGTATGCTAACATCGAAGGTATAGCTTGAGAACTGAAGGACGCGAGAGGTGGAGTCCATGCAGAGACCCTTGCCAAGGCCTGTAGTAGCCAGGCTCAATCCAACATGCTCCAGCACAGTGACCTTCGGCTTTCCTGTAGTTCCAGAGGTAAAGATAACATAAGCCGGGTTGTTGACGTTGGCAGGTTGAATTTGTGAAGATGTGGGCTCGGGTAGCTGCTCAATTGTGCTCTTGCTGACAACAAAGGTTGATTCGCAGATGCTAGAGGCCTTCTCTTGGTACTTTTCGCAGCACAGGATAATATTGGTTCCGAGATCCTCGATCATGCCACTCAAACGATCGGTTGGGTGGGTAGGGTCCAGTGAGGCGAAGGCACCGCCAGCTTTCAAAACAGCCAGCTGCGCAATGACAGTCCATGCTGACTTCTCGAAGAACATCGCAACGAACACTTCAGGCTTGACTCCCATTATCGCCAAGTGCTCTGCGAGTCGAGTCGCCAAAGCATCAACTTCACCATATGTAAAATCACCATCCCAAGCACAGATGGCAGGCTTCGAGGGATAAGCCAATGCATTTTGCCGAACGATCTCATGTGCACATAGCTCGGGACGATCTTCCAAGTGGGCATTCCACTCACGCAGTTTCTGACACGAACGTTCGTTGAAGAAATCGATTTCACTGATCGTGCGGCCCAGCAGAGAGGATTGAGTAACAGAGTTCATGATATGGTCGAAATTGTCAATGATGCCCTCCATGTCAGCATCCGAGATATCTTTGTTGGAATACTCGAACGTAACCTCGCCGGATGCTTCCGTGAATTTGGCATTGAGAACAATCATAAATTTGCTCAGATCGGTGTCCACGGATACCCCCGAGTATCTGACCACAGTGTTGAAGATAGAGTCCTCGAATCCGATCTCTTGCTGGATTTCCTCGAAAGGCAACTGGTGCTGCAGCATTCTCTCACGGTCGCTTCTGCGCTGCAGCATAGCTTGTTCAAGCGTTACGTTGTCGTTCAGCTTCAGTCTGCAGGCAAGGACGTTGCTTGAGGGAACCTTGTCGGAGAATTTGAAGGACAAGTCTCCATCGCTTGTAACTGGTACAGAGATACCGAAAGAAACGTCCTCCATACCGGTATAACAACGCAGAAGCAGACCCCAGACCATCTCAACAAGCGAGTTTGTCGTAATCTTGTTGTCCTGGCAGAAACTTTGGACATCGCTCGCATTGTCGATACTCAGGGTCTTTTGAGCACGTGCATTCTCAGGTGAGTTAGCACACAGAACCGGGAACAGACATGATTCGACGTCGGCTAGGTAACTCCTCCATTGCGAGATGCCAGCCTGGAAGGTACGGAAACCTTCATGTGCTACAGAAAGGCTCGCAATCGTCTTTGTCATGTGTGCGTCGGAGTTTAGAACCCGCAGGCAAGCAACAAACCGAGCCATCAAGCGCTCGACTTGGGCGGTGCTGAGAGCCGCTTCATCATAACGGACAGCCAACTGCAATTTGTCCCCTTCAACAACACATTTTACAAGCAACGGGAAGGAAATAACTTCATCATGGGACTGAATTTGGGTCTCCGACTTCGAGTGCACGCTTCCATCTAGTACCGAAAGCAAGCTTCCAAAGGTGCAGGCGCGCGCGGTATCGGCGTTGAGGCTCTTGATGCGATCAAGACCCGCCCACTGGTAGGGCTGAGCTGCACTCAGGCTGAGTTCGGTCTTTTCTAGTAGCTCAGCAACAGTGGAATTGCTGTCAACCTGAAAGCGCCGCGGCACGACAGTCGCGACCTGCACGTTCTCAATCGAAGATTCAGCATCATCTAAGATTGGCTCACCAAACACAACATCGCTAGATTCGCTATAGCCATGCATTGTGAGAGCCCAGGCAGAAAGAATGGCTGATCTGGGGCTTGCCTTGAGAGATTTGATTGGCTCGCACCAGGCAATCTGCACACTTTGTCTTCCGTACTTAGCAAAGTGTGCGTTGGGTGGGCTAGCGCGCGAAGAGAACTGCTGAGGCTGGGGCGACCTAGCTAATTGCGACCTCCAGAAGTCACTGAAGCCCTTGATATCAGATACAAGCTGAGCGGCCTCCGACAAGCGGTTGGAGGCGTCTTTCAAGAGCTGTCGGTTCAATTTACCACTAGAGGTCAATGGCATCTTTGGCACCTGGAAGTAGAACCTAGGGACTTGGTCTGCAGGTAGTTGATGAGACAGTTGAGAATGCAGCTTGATCGCATTTTCATGGAACTCGGGAGTCATAGGCGCGATAACCTGGTTTTCGGCCACGTCGGCGCTCGAGCCATCGAATAAGAATACGGCTAGTGACTCCCGAGAGTCTTGCCCACTGCTCAAGTGAATGCTTTCAACGGCATAAGGAGTCTTCGTGGATGTCAAGATTGACATGCGCTGCTCAATTTGCAGAATGTCCGTTCGACTTCCTCCGTCCTTCTTGCCCACGTACACAAGAGAGCCATCAGAGTTGTAACGAGCAAGGTCTCCGGTTTTGAACAGCCAACGGGATGTTCCGGAACCTTCAACAGCAGCTTCCTCATCATGGCCTAGTGCCCATCTCGGGTTCTCAATGAAGCATTTCTTCGTCTGTTCTTCATCATTCAGGTAACCACGAGTAAGGCAAGGACCCTCGACGACCAACTCTCCCACACATCCAACTGGAACGAGGACATCAGAGTTGCTGGGATCAACCAACCAGGGGATACATCCCACAGGGAAACCGATTGTGCGAAAGCCGTCGGATGTTTCCAGAACAGAGGTTTGGATGCAAGAAGAGGAGGACTCGGTGGTTCCATAGAAGGCATGAAGCTTGACTCTCTGAGGTAGAACGTCAACAAGCTTCTTCGTCAAGCCCTCGCCCCATAAAGCAAGAACTTCCACGCCAGAAAGAGCCGCTGGCTTCAGGCTCGAAGCGGCTGAGGTAGCAAGACTGACGGTATTTGCCTGCAGCTTCTTAGATTCGCGTGCGAGATTTACCATACTAGTATCCGACGAGATGCAGACACTGCCACCAGCCAAGAATGTACCAAAAGTCTCCTGGAGGAACATATCCGAAGTGTAAGGTGCCGACTGGAACAGACGATTCTTGTTATTCAATCCAAGCTCCGATGCGAAGAATTTGGCCCGAGTCATGATTGCGCGGTGGCTGAGCACAACGGCCTTGGAGCTCGAGGTAGTGAACACCACATATCCATCTTGCGACGGGACAGCGGGTGATTGCGCGCCAATACCTGTCTGGGGTAAAAAGTCGAACAGAGACTCTTCCACGGGAATGACGTATGGGACAGTGCCTTCCAGAAGCTGTGCACGGGCTGGCGACGCAAGAGCAACCTGTGCCTCATCCATGACCGACCAGTCCTCAAGGGATTGCTGCGAGTGAGCATCCATTGGAACGCAGATACCTCCTGCCTTGGAAATAGCCAAAATAGCAATGATCTGCCAGGCAGATCTATCAAAGTCAATCGGCACAATGTCGCCAGGGATTACGCCTAGCGTGGTGAGGTAGACTGCAAGGATTGCAGTCAACTCGTTAACCTTGGAATAACTGAAAATTCCATCCCAAGCAACTATAGCAGATGAACCCGGGGTGGATTTGGCGTATGCCTCAATCAGTTCGTGCATGCAGATATCTACAGCGCCCGGCATATGCTTGTTCCAGGCCTCGATTTGCTGCTTGTTCAAATCGCTGAAGTTGTCAAGCTTGCGAACGTCCTCGTTGATGTGGAACGCAATGTTCTCGAGAGATTTGAGGAATGTGCTGGCAACATGCTCTGCTTGTCCGACCGAGAGATGATCTGTCCAGTGGTTCAAATCAATGTTGGCATCATCATCGGTCGCTTCAACATTAATGAACACAGGCGATTCAGCCGGGTCGTGGATGGTTCCAAATTCCGAGAGACGGATCTCCTCTCTTGCCAACCCAGTCGCATTTGGGAGTTTCCGGTAAGAAATTCCGCTATTAACCAAGGAATCCGAAAGTCCAAGTGCCTGTTGAATGTCCACGAGCGAAAGGTGTCTGTAAGGCAAGTTCTCAATGTTGTCATTCTGGACTCCAGAGAGGATATCCTTGAGCGACACATCATCAGAGAACTTTATGCGACAGGTTAGTGTGTTGATGACAGGTCCAACAACAGATTCGACTCCCTCGACAGGAACGTCTCTCAATGAGGCAAGGTAGGTAAAGGAGACATCGTTGGAGTTGCAGAACGAGCGAACCGTCAAGCCCCACGCCGTGCTGAAGGCAGTGGGCAATGTAAGGCCATTTGCTTCACAACCCTTCCGGAGCTCCTTGAAGAAAGGCAAGCCCAGCCGCTTGGTGCGCAATTCTCTGGTGGAAGCGTTTCCATCATTTAGCATAGGGAAATGGCAAGGCTTGATGTCCGTGAGATACGAGCGCCAATAGTCAATGCTGGCTTTCGGTGACATCCCACGCAGATACTGCATGTAGTTCTTGAAGTCGGGCTTTGGTTCTTCGATATCGCCTTGGTAGGCCAGTTGAAGATCCCGAACGATGATTGAAATTGAAGTGCCATCCATGACAACGTGGCTGAGCTCAAGCCTGCAAAACAGCCTTCCGTTGGCTGTCTCGCAGATGGTAAATCGGTGGGGCGGGTGAGAGTTATCGTAGACCGCCGCAGGCTGTGCATCAAGGGTAGGCAGCACAGCTGCTTCGGACGCGCATCGTAAATATTGAGGTTGGGAGTCGTAGGATCTTAAGACAACCTGGCAGAAAAGGTCCCTGCTCGTCAGGTTCTCCAGAAACAGGGTCCGCAGCATTCCATGATGAGCTACAACTCTTTTCCATGCCGCCGTCAAACGATCCACATTGGGTTTGCCCCTAAGCCCTGTCACCTCGAAAGTGTCGTGCACGGCGTAGAGAGTAGTGTCTCGGGAACGGCTCAGCAGAATACCTTGCTGCATCTCCGAGCAAGGGTAGATGTCTTCCACGTTTTCAATCGAGTCCACGCCCACGCTCGGGAGTGTCTTCGACACAATAGCATCGAGTTCATCGTATGTAAGCTTGAGTAGAGGGAAGCTGCTCAAGGTGGGCTTCGGACGGACAGTCTGGAGACTTTCACCCATGGACTGGAGCAAAGACTGACAGGATCTGACCCATTCCTTAATGAGTTCTTGATGCTGCATGTACCTGTTGAAGGAGAAGATAAAGCGGAGTTTTTCCTTGACAACCATGGCAGAGATTTCGAAGAGCGCGAACCGAGGGGTGTCAGCACCAAAGTCCGCTGACCCTCCACCTCGGCCGGATTCTCCGGCCATTTGATCCATGAGCTGGAAGAGACCGTCCTTCCTTTGAAGGTCACGGTGCTGACCTACATAATTGAACGACATCTCCATGGGACTGTAGTGCAGGCAGGTTCCGTCCTCGCGAGTTGTCAGTACGCGCCGAGCAAACTCCTGTCGGCCATTATCGGAGATACGACGACGGATATCCTTGACGCGGATAACTGTCTCAGATGAGTCATTTGCTGGGAGCGCCTGGAGAAGAATTGGGTACAAAGTCGTGAACCATCCGACAGTACGCGAAATGTCGATGGTCGAATCCCAGACCTCCCGTCCATGGCCCTCGTTGTAAATGACGGGCAGGGAGCGGTCCTTGAATGTCTGTCCGAAGGAGTGCAAAAGCGCAGCCAAGAAAATGTCGATTGGCTCTGTCGCCAGGCTCTGATGGCAGTCCATCAGGACAGAGCGGGTGCTTTCAGCATCAAGCTCGAAAGTCTCGCAGTCGACATCGCCGTAGGTTGTTTGTTTCTGTTGAAGCCCCCAGTATTCGTAGTCAGGCGCCGGTGTCTCAGGCAACTCTTCCAGTGTTGTCGAATCCGAAGGTTGGCATTGTTCGGCTTGCAATTGGCACCAATTCTGGAAGGGAAGAGATCCGTTCTGCGCGACGGGTTGATCGGGGTGCACTAGCAAGTCTTCCAGGTCTTCCAGGATAATTCTCCAGGAGACAATATCCACGACCATGTGGTGAGCAACCAACGACAGCAGACTGGTACTGCCATTCTCATAGAAGAGGTCGGCAGCGAACAACGGCCCCCGGAAGGCATCGATGCATGTCTGACTATCCGCAATGGCCTCGTCCATCTTATCCTGGCTGATAGTATCATGTGTGCGCCAGCGGTAAGAGCCCGCCACTTCGTCGGTAATCCGCTGCTGGATAGTACCATCTTCCTTCTCTTCCAGACGAGAGCGGAGCATAGAGTGGCGGCTAATGATTGTCTCAACGGCGCGGCGCAGGTCATGTTCTTCGATGTGTTTGTTCAAGCGGGTGCGCACACTCTGGTTGAAGTGGCCTTGGCCCTCGTGCCGAACAGTGAAATGAAGCTTCTGAATCGGAGATAGATCGAAAGGCTTCTCAACCTCTTCTTCATAGACAATCGACTGGTCGATCCGCTTCACGCGTGCTGCTAGTTCTCTGATCGACTTGCTGTGGAGTACTTCCTGCACTGTCAAACCCATCCCTTGCTTCTTGCAGTATCCCAGACAAGTGATAGCCGCAATGGAATCACCACCCAAACTTAAGAAGCCTTGGTTCACTCCGATCTGACTCCTAGGAATGTTGAGGACACGGCTCCAGATCGAAGCCAGCTGTTCCTCGGTGGTGCTGACAGGGAGCATGGTCGCGTCCGCGGCCTCCAGAGCAACAGCCTGTCGATCTGGATCCTCAGTCATCTCCCCAATCCACTTTGCCGTTGCCTTTCTATCCAGCTTTCCAGACGCGAGTAAAGGTAGCGATTCAACGCAAAGCCACACCGCCGGAACCATGTACGTAGGAAGACGGCTCGATAATCTCTCGCGGACTTCTGCGACGATGGGTGCCTTTTTGGCCGGTTCGAGGAGCTTCAGTGGCGCAGCGTTCGAACTTTGTTGTCCTTCGAACTGAACTGAAAGAGAAAGCACCGCAACGAGTTTGCCTGTTGAGAATCCGGACTTCGACAGGAATGTTAAACAATGCTTGATGTTCGGGTCGGCGGCCAGCTGATTCTCGATCTCCCCCAACTCCAATCTTTGACCATGAAACTTGACCTGCGTATCCTTGCGTCCTATGTACGTCAGTGAGCCATTATCGGAGTTATATCTTACCAAGTCGCCCGTCTTGTAGATCCTGCGGTTAGCATTGTGGGTTGCATCAAGTTTAGTCCAGCCTGGGTCGTAGATAAAGGAATCGTTCGTCTTTTGCGGATTGTTCAGATAGCAACGAGCAAGCGTCGGTCCCTCCAGTAGGAGCTCACCCGGACAGCCGACAGGGACAAGCTGATCATGGTTGTTAGGGTCCACTACCCAGCAACGGACGCCAACAGGGAAACCGATGTCCCTGCAATCGGAGGAGGGGGTAACTCTGGAATTGACCACAGCGGCGACAGAGCTCTCAGTCGGTCCATAGGCGTTGATAAGACGGATCTTCGACCAGGTCGCCATCTGAGCCTTTGACATCGCCTCACCAGCCAGGATGAGTGTCTCCAACCCGGGGACAAGTGAAATGTCGACAAACTCGACAAACGAAGGCGTCAAAATGGCGTGATTGATCTTCATGTCGTTTATAACCTTGACTATATCACTCAAACGTTCCTCCTCGCTCGGTACACAGACACAACCACCCACTATCAGAGTGGTAAGGATTTCGACGAGACTTGCATCGAACGTATGCGCTGCGAACTGCAGAACACGGGAGGTGGAATACAGGTTGTGTGGTGGAGCGTGAGCGATAGCGCCAGAAACATAGGCTCGATGTTCCAGCATAGTTCCCTGCGCATGTTAGTGGGGAATAGGCTATTGAGATTCCGCTGTGACGCACCTTTGGTTCTCCGGTAGATCCAGAAGTAAATATCACATAGGCAGCGTTGCGGCCTTCCACGTGCGGTAGAGCCCCGGTGGACTCGCTGGGAGTAGGGAGTCCGTCAATAATTTCTTGATCGAGGGGGATGATGGTTTCTGTGACTTCGCTCAGAGCCTGAGCACGGCTTCTAGAGCAAAGCAGAATCTTGGCTTTTACGGCGCCCGCCAGCGACTGGAGGCGAGTAAGAGGATGCGTTGGATCCAGGGGAACAAAAGCCCCGCCGGCCTTCAAGACACCCAACATTGCCACGATGTTCCATTTCTATCATTTCCACGTCGTTAGCCTCGAGATTCGTGCGTGACCAAACAAGATGACCATCGACAGAGGCGGATCACAATCGTCTACTTACCGACTTATCAAAGCAAAGGGCGACGCATGTTTCGGGTCGAACTCCCTGTGCAAATAAGTGATATGCAACCTGAGACGACAACAGATCCAAGTCTCTGTATGTCAAACTACCGTCCCAAGCACAGACCGCTTCACTCTCCGGGCGAACCAGGACTTGCTCCTGGATGACTTCATGAATACAACGATCGTACGCCACCGGCATGGCCGAATTGAACCGGCAAACACGCGCCCAGTCGCGATCCGAGAAATGGGTCAGGTCATTGGCGGCCGTATCTTCCGCCGACAGTACGCGGGCGAGAATCTGCTCGAAATAGTCGGCGACGCACTTCACGTGCTCGGTGGACAAATCGTGGTTCCAATACTCGAAGAAGATGCGCACATCATCCGGCAAAACTTTCACGTGAAGCCTCACACGGCACTGGAAGAGACGGCGGGGAAAGGTCGCCCGGTCAGTCTGGTTCAGAACACTGGGGAAACGCAACACAAAATTTCTTTTACCTCTTCTGGCAGGGGAGTGGCCAAGATCGGTTGAACGGCAAGGGCTCCAGCATCCTGCGTCGGCTTACGACAGTTGCGTAGCATGAGAACGGTATTGAACAACGTGTGGCCGTTGTAGATCGGGGTGGTGATTTCGCGTTTCTCAGCGTCACCAACCTCAAGGTCGCGGTGCTTGGTTTCTGCTCTGCGCAGAACGCTGTGGACGGAGTCATCCTCGGCAATGGATAGATTAAAAATTAAGGGATTAAGGTCATTATGTGCAGTAGTTGAAGAAAAAAGGGTGGGCGATGACGATGGTTGATAGCCGAAGCAGATGTCTTCTAGGCCGGTGTAGTGGTGTAGCAGTAAAGCCCAGGAGGCGTTGAGTAGGGGGTCTAGTTGACCCTGGTCCCAAGCCGACAGTAACTGGGCGGTCTGCGCAGGACTTATTCTGGTCCTTAGGGACGCAGGCCGCTTCGGCCCGGCGTGGGCACTGCCAAAACTAGGCAGGCAACATGGAATTGGTTGAGCCATGGTCAACTCCAACTAAACGACTGGAACTACCCAAGAATTTCGAGAGATGATAGAAACAGAGTCTGCCTGCCTGGAGTGACGACCACCGAGAGAGTTAAGTTTGGGGGGAGAACGGGGGTGGGAGGAGCACGACGAAAGCTCGACTATATCTTACCTTTAAATTGGAACCGATGCCACACCACGCTGCTGGGTTTTCTTCATCGCCTTGGGATGCCAATGGTCCTAGCCCGAAAAAGACCGATGGAGCCAGCCACGACCCCGTAGCATGGAACGTTTCGAAAGGCTTACAGATTACCAAACATTTTTGTTACTAGGCAGGATACGAAACTCCCCCATCTAAGCCAATGACTTGAAAGGAATGGAAAAGCATTAAGGCATGGCTTGAACCGTGGCCACCCCCGCTGTGCAATCTCTACCCTTGCCTAGTCTAGAGCTGAAGGTACGAACAGGGAATCAATTCCATGGCGCCTCTTACCAAGCCTCTGCAGGGCGGTAAGCCCCAATGCCATGAGAGTGGGTTCTGTCCGTCTGGTGGAGCATGTTCAGGGATGGAGGGAATAGAGAGAAAAAGATCATCTGAATGGATCACGGACGGAGGAGTGGAGAAAGGCCGTGTAGACGAATGGGCAACAATAGGTAGATATCCCCGGGGGGTAGCGTTTTACTATAGGCATTGTATAAGAGAGAAAAGAGCTACGAAAATAAGACAAAAAAAAATAAAAATCGAGAGAGAACAAATGGAAATAGAAAAAAGCATCACACAGTTGCTGTCAAAATCGAGGCGACCAGCCATGGAATGACGTTCATGGCGGAAGGAAAGCGTTGGCCCTGACTGGCAGTGGCTGCTGCTTCATTGTGCCGGTCTTCGATACATGAAAATCGAAGTCGGTCTCGAACGATGACTGCATCGAGTATTTCCGAACACGCGGAGAGCCGTACCCTCTGGGACTTTACTCTTTCAGGTCTCAGACAAACAAGACCCACTGTGAGTGATGGTCCGGAGATCAGGGTACATTGGATGGCAAATCGCATTGTGTCTCTGTACGTAAGTCACCAACTCCTTTGGTTGATGATTATATTCAGCGCAGCGCGCCAACACCTATGTGCGGGATATCATGCTTGCAAGTACTTACATATACGGATCTGCGAGCTGACCGGTAGTGATGCCAACAGCCCGGAGAAATTGAGAACTGATAATCGGCAGAGTGGAGGGAGCCGGAGGACGGAAGTTAACCCGAGATTCCATTGCCGTGCCCAACTGGGCAACAAATGTATACGAAGATATTCTGTCATCGAGCATGATGAAGAGAAAGACTTCTAGGAGCCACTGGCCAAGTACAGTACAATCGATAGTAACATCGAACACTACAATTGCACCGCTGTCACCTATGCTGTAGACTTGTAGACAATAGGTCACTGGATAAGCATGAGAGTCGGGGCGAAGGAAAACAGGGAAAATAACAACAACAACCAAAAAAAAAGAAGAAAAAGAAAAGAAAAATAGCAAAACAAAGAAAATTCCCCTCCCAATGAAGTCCCAACCCGAGGCGATCCACCATGCAAAAGTCCGGTTCCTGATCGGGAAACGATGGTTTGGGCGTCATTGGCGCACCCGTGCAGACTTGCCCTAAACAAGTGCATTCGATCCACTCCGCTAACAGTACTTCCCTGGCTGGCCATGGTCAGTCCCGGATCCCATGGGCCTTCCAGCTTCAATACCCGTGCACTCCACATGAGTTGCAAGAGGTGAAATACGATAAAAACAAAATTAAAAATGATACTTGGTAGAGGGGCAGCATACGTGGTCCACCGGAGAAGTCTCCTACACATAGTCTCACGATTGCTTGCATCACGTCATACCAGTTCCCAGCCTTGAACCTCCTCATCCCACGGGATCATATAGACTTTACGCCAGAAGAGCAAAGAAGCTCACTGGAATGAACTCCTTCGCGGGAATGAGGAAATAGAGTTATTAACAGCGGAGTTGGTCTATCCTTGCTCATTCAAAGTACCAAGGTACTGTCAGCTGACTAAGCTGATCTGGTGTCCCTGACGCTTACCTCTCACTACGACAGTTCCGGCAATTGTAGACTCGACTACTTCGGCTTTGTCTCACGTCCGCGCAAAATGAATTTGAAAGCGAGGAACCCAACAACAGAAAATCAAAAAATAAGATAAAATAAAATAAAAAAAAAAAAAAGAGATCAGCCAAGTCGCACATGACTCCATAACTATAGCATAAGACAACTCTATCTATGGCACCGGAATAGAAACGACAACTCATAGTTAGCTATAAAGTCAGTTTTAACTTCTTGAAACGCTGCTGAAAATGGAATTGGCACAGACTCCGACTGTCGAGCCCCTGCCGCGCACAGACAAGTGAAGGTCGGATAATAAGCTATATTGATCGCAAGAGAGTTGAAGATGCAAACTTATTTACCCACCGAGTACCTCAACTTACGAAGCCACAGCTTCGCCAGTCTACTTTGTAGACCTTACAACACCATACGTGTTCCAGGCTCCGGCTTGCACCCAGAGGTGGCGCTTGGGAGACCGAGATTAACCGTCCACGTTCTTGGTCCGTAGGTAGGCGGCAAGGCAATGAAGGTGCATCCGGTAAGCGCCATCTGGCGGACATATCACGGAATTATTTCGCCTATGTAGCTTAGATGTACGTCTAAGGGGGGCGGAATCTATATCAGGTGAAATTGACGGCTGAATCGGATCCCATATACGCTTTCGGCAGTATGTCTTAGTCTCCAGGGCTCCAAACTGATGGCTGCAGCATAGCCTATAATTGGCCTTCGTAAAAGAATCCCGAGAGGGGCGGGGCTGGATCCGTCCATGAACGTTATGCTCATGATTGGACTTCTGCTTCCTTCGTACGAGTTCCCATTGGTTGGGCGGTTAATCCCTCCGTCTGTCCTTCAGGCTTTCGATCGTTAGGGCATTCTCTATCACGCTGCGGCTAGAGATCGGAACTTTCCTAATTCCTACAGCTCTTCATTGTCCACAAGTCACAAGGGAGGGGGAGATGGGCGAGCTAAAACTCGGTAACCATGCAAGGACTGCAGGGGGATTGCGAACAAATCCCACAATCTGTAGGCTACGGCTTCCTTAGCCTTTGCCACAATGCTACATGCGTGCATGTGCTTGGAAAAGTGGTGACTAGCAGGGTAATCTGCATACACTGCGGCATATGACATGGGCGCGATATGAACCCTACACCGCGGTCGCCGACACGGACATGAAAGCGACAACAGAGGAACCTATGAATAGTTATTGGTGACCGCTCGGTAGGCGGTGATCTTCAAGCAAACTTGTTGAGAGGCAGGCGGTCGGTCGGGTAAACATTGAAAAAGAGCACTGATGATTAATTCAGGTACGGGCGGCTCGGGGAGAGCGGGCGATCCCTACCCACTTGGGCGATATCAACCGATGTTAGTGCTGGGTGCGTACCATGGTCGACATATGCCCAAGATCCATAGGTTGGATTCCGGAGGATAAAAACGTATCTGAATCAGGTAATTGATCGATCTTACCTACCTAGCACCATCGTCATCGGAGATCTGGCGCCCCAAGCCTCCTATGATGGCACGGAGGGAGAAACACAGAATAACAAAAGCGTAAACAAAAGCGACAGGTTGCGAGCTGATGGCCACTTTCGGCCTTGTTGTGTACTGTACTAAGTAGGTATGGGTGGGTAGACTGTACGTAGACTACCAGCTTAGCAGAGGTCATTATTACCCTCACGTCAAATTTCGACCTACAGCATAGCGTAGCGCAGGAGAGTGGACTGGAGCACACTGACACTGTCAATCATAAGCGATTTTAATTAGAGAGTCTAGTCGTTGGTACTTGCATCGTCCAGGCCCCATCCGACTAACAGACATTCAGTAGATCGTACTTTCGGAATTCAGGGAAGGTGACAGGATCATCGGACGGATGGAATAATAGATGGGTATATGATAGAAGATAGCATTATGAAGGGCACTTATGGACGAGTTAGTCACCCAGCAGGATGGAGAGCGGGTAACGGCAGTCGGAAGTCTTCCGCCCACACGCTACTATAGGCAGGAACCAGCCAATTCCAATTACCGTGTTCTGCGGATTATTGCGATTATGTGCAATCTGATCTCCACCAGCCGCAACTAAAGTAAATTGCAGCCGAGCATTGGCAAACACAATTCATCCAGCTTGGCAGCTAGTCTACCTAGCGCTTGTGCTCTTCCGCAGCTAGAGATCCTTCCTTAGTCTATACCCTCTCCTTTTTTAAGACTTTGTGTGCAGCAAGTCCGAGAATGGATAATCAATAACAACAATGAATGGTTATTTGGTAGTCCTTCAGCTCGCTTGACCAACCCTTGCACAAACTAGTTGGCCCCAGTCTTCAACCCTCCCTCCCGACCAACAACAGAGCTTTCAGCGGAGAAGGTCTCCACAAACTATGGCCTCTCAGTCATTTTGAGCCTGGTGAATCCTGCACACTCTCGGATGGGGACATTTGGGGCTCGATCCTGTACGTTGGCTCAGCTGTGGTACCTTCCCCTTCCGTACTACCTTCGTTTTCGCAACGGAGCACCCACGGAGTACGTATTGACCTTTCACAGTGGGCTACCGTAGGAGCGATCGTTATAAAATCATCCCGCAAATTGTGCTCGTATCCGTCCCATCTAGCTCTGGGCGGAGGGGAGGGAAAGGGGGGAGGGCACAATCTGCCATTGTTCTTGCGACTGCGGGTAGACAGCATGTACCTACTGTCAGATTACTAAAGGAGCCTGAGATCCACTTGAATCTAATCCAACTTGTTCGACAACTTGGAAGTTAGTTGGCAGCGACAACTCTGAGTTGGCTGGCTGGCTGGGATTTCCGTCGGATCTGACGTAAAGAGCAGATCCCAACCCGTCCGTCAACTCCAAGCTTAGCCGGCCTTTTGATTGTCCAGCACAATTTGAAATTCACTTTCTGGGGATGACACTGACACTGACATTGACACTGACAGTCCTCCGTTGTCAACTCTAACTCACAATCCGCAATTCATGAATCCGGGACACCCACAGAGGGGCCAAGCGAGTTGATTCTCTGAGGCTAAGCACTCCACCAGTCATCCGGATGGCTCATTGGCCGAGCGGCGTTCTGTGTCACTCGGGATTTGAATCATAGGCACTTGAGTACGAGTAGGTAGAACAACACAACTAGATTCGCCAACACTAACTGCTGCTCGTCTCCATGACCATTAACAGCCGTCCAACTATCACTTCAAGGAAAAAATCTTTAGTGAAAGTGGCAGAAAAGCTCTCGTTCAAGACATTCTAATCACAATCCGGCCCGCTCGTGGCCGACGGGCATACTGAACTAGCATGCGACATTCAAGACGCGATGGCGAAAAGACTCAAGCGGCGCAAGCCGATACAGGACATACATGCAACAGGGTATGTATGCTCCGTTGGAAGCAGCAATCTAGATTCTAGTTAGACATGGCATACCCACAAAGCCTCGCGCGGGAGAAACGTCGGTGGCTCAAGGCCTGTGGGGGTCCCAGTCATCGACTGAATCAGTTCGCGCTATCCCTTGGGATTTAGTTAGCAGGGATCTTTTTTTTAACTTTTGAGTGGTTCATGATTCTTTTCATTTCCATTTTTAGCTTGTGGTCCTAATCCATGAGTAAATTTCTATTCTTATTTCTTTTTTCTACCTTTTGTTTTTGCCTGCATCGTCTCCCCTCGCAGCCACGGCTACCGCCAACCTGAATGTTTTGCAGGAACTCGTGTTTGGCATGGTTTAGGTCATCTTGACGTTGCATGTGAGGAGAAGGAAAAAATCTGGACCTATAATGCTCAGGAAAGGCGAGGTGAAGCAGCAGGGGGGACAAGCAAAAAGAGCTTCTTAGCAGGGACCTGGTGGAACAAGCCGAATCATCGGTCTTCAACCGTCTCGCTAGCTATTGCCATGCATATTCAGGTGGTGGATCTTCAGCCCAAGGCGCCCCCCCGTGGCAATCTGCATTCTCATAGCGTTGCATTGTATCTAATCGCCTTTGACGCCTCCAAATGTATAGGACGCGCGAGAGAGGGGCCAGAAAATGTCTTTCTCTGTGAGGTCAGTTTACTAGTTGTTGTTCCCCTGCTTCTGAGCAATACGTACGTACTGTAAGTATGTACCATAACCAGGACCTGTCCACGAGCATAACTCAACCGGGACGAACAATTGTCACGTTGACAGCAAGGCAAAAAGAAGAAACCACTGTCAATAGTCTTACAATGTTCGCTGGGAAGTACACTCGTAGAACATAAAGCCGAGACCTCCAGACGTATAGCTGTGGTCCGGAGGAAGAGGATTCCTGCATGCCATTACTCCCTCCCATGCTCTCTCGGCGGTTGTATATGGAATCTTGGGCGTAGCCATGGCGGTAAATCCAACGTGCCAACGAGTGGACAACTCGTTGCGATTTCCTCCTTCCTCGTGTCGGAGCGGATTCGACTTCTCCCTTCTGTTTGAGGAGCTGATCTTGGGGATTTTGCCTCTGGGGGTCGTTCTCGCATTGGCATGCGTACAATTATGGCGTGATGCTCGACGACCGCGCAAGGTGGTGGCAGGCTCCTGGCCTTTTTGGGCCAAACTGGTAAGTACCAACTAAGGCAACTCGGCAAGCCCCGTGATACCCCGTGATCCAGTGCTAACTATTGTTTGTCCCGCGCAGACACTCTGGACCGCTCTCGGTGTCACGCAACTGGTCCTCACCGTCCTATGGGCGCTGCCCTCTGCAACACGAACTCAAGCCTCCGTCGCGGTCAATGCTGTGAGCATTGTCGGCGTCTCGATGCTGGGCTTGCTCTCCTACAGCGAACACAATCGTTCCGTGAGGCCATCTTTTCTAATCAACCTCTACCTCGCGACCACTCTTCTGTTTGACATCGCAAAAACGCGAACACTATGGCTTCGAGACCCGCACGGGATCAACAAACCCATCGCCATCATCACCTCGCTGTGTGTTGGTATCAAGTTCCTGCTTTTTTTACTCGAGGCTGTGGAGAAGAGAGGCTTCCTCAAGGCAGAGTACAAAGACTACCCTCCCGAGGCTGTCGCTGGGATTTACAATAGATCGTTCTTTTGGTGGCTCAATCCTTTGTTCAGGCGCGGGTTCTCCAAGATCTTGGCTGTGGATGATCTCTTTACCCTCGACAAGCAACTAGAGTCTAGGCAACTGCATCGTGCTGTCGAAGCCGAGTGGAGGAAAGGTGCGCAGTCCAGCAACCATTTTATCGCACTTGCAACAAGTTAGGCTAATTCAAAGTAGGACAGGCTGGAGGATCGGACGGTCTGTTATCGGCATGCCTTCGAACCTTCAAATGGCACGTGTGTGCGGTGATTCCACCAAGGCTTATGCTAGCGGCCCTAAATATCTGTCAGCCATTGCTGCTTGAGAGGTCATTGACCTTCACCGAGCAAGCTTCAGATCGCGCCACCACGAACATCGGCTACGGGTTGATTGGGGCTTACATCTTGGTATATACCGGGCTAGCGGTAAGTCAACAATTATCGGTGTCGGATCGCCTGCTTTCCGCTTATCTCTAATTACTGTGCGCTTATCAGGTCACCATGGGCCAGTACCAACATTTGACATATCGTTCCATAACAATGGTCCGAGGCGCTGTTGTCTCAATGATCTACAAGAAGGCATGCTCTCTCAGTACTAAGGATGCCGACCCTGCTGCGTCCGTTACTCTAATGAGCGCCGATATCGAGCGCATCGTTCAAGGTTGGCAGACGATGCATGATATCTGGGGAAATGCTTTGGAAATCGCATTGGCGATCTATCTCCTCGAAAGACAATTGGGAGTGGCGTGTGTGGTCCCAGTTGCCGTTGCCGTTGGTACGTCTCCTCCAAAAGCATCTGTTGGTGTTTTCATTGACCGGACCTATGTTTAGTGGCCCTTGTTGGCTCGATTATAGCAATGTCCTCTGTGATGTTGAAGCAGGCTTCGTGGTTGCAAGCGATTGAAAGAAGAATATCCTCCACATCTTCGATGCTCGCTTCGATGAAGGGGATAAAGATGCTTGGCTTACAATCCGCGCTTCTGGCATGCGTTCATAATCTGCGTCTTGATGAATTGAGGATTTCTCGAGCTTTTCGGAAGCTATTGGTCTGGAATATGGCTCTAGGTAGGGCAATCATCTTACAATCTCTTGAGCCTGGGGGGGCTTTACTCACGCGATGTAGCATGGTTGACTCGAATTTTTGCGCCAATTCTCGCATTTGGAGCATTCGTCGGAATTGCCCACGATCGGGGCAATGATCGCGCCCTGACAACGTCGGTTGTGTATACTGCTTTGTCCCTGTTTTCCCTCCTATCAGACCCTCTTCTATCACTTGTAATGGCCCTTATGAACTACGTCGCTTCGGTTGGCTCATTCCAGAGAATTCAGGAGTTTCTTGAGAAGGAGAGTCACCAGGACCCAAGAAGCCAGTCAGCCGCACTCCCGTTCCAAGTTGAAAGTATAATGAAAAATTCATCAATAACCACTGACGTCGAAACCTTGACCAACGGGTCAAACTCCTCTCAATCTTGGAAAGGGTGTTCCTCGACCTCATTCCATACCGCCATCACAGTCCAGAGCGGGGATTTTGGATGGGATATCGCAAAGGCACCCATATTGAGGAACATAAACATCGCAATACACCAAGGCAGCTTTGCCATTTTCATCGGGCCGTCCGGCTGTGGGAAGTCCACTCTTCTGAAAGCTCTGCTCGGTGAGGTGCCTTGCCTTAAGGGTAGCATCCAAATCCCCTCTCAGAGCATCGCGTTCTGTGAGCAAACGCCCTGGCACATGAATGGGACAATCAAAGATTGCATAGTCGCGATGTCTGATTTTGACGCCAAATGGTACAGCTCCGTCATATACGCGTGCGCTCTGGTCGAAGACTTCAAGCAGCTCCCCCGAGGCGACCAAACTGTTATTGGAAGCAAAGGCATAGCTCTCAGCGGCGGCCAGAGTCAGCGAATTGTAAGTATGAAAGCCCCTCTATTGCACGGCATGGTCGTTGATTTCGTGGAATAGGCACTTGCAAGGGCTGTCTATGCTCGAAAAGACATCGTTATACTGGACGATGTATTTTGTAGCCTTGATGCGACCACCGAAGACCACATCTTTCATCATTTAGTGGGTACCCATGGCCTTCTACGCTCAATCGGCTCCACAATCATACTCGCGTCCTCTTCAGGTAAGTTGTTACTGGGGGAACACAATTCATAGACGATGCTGACAATGCAATAGTGAAGCGTGTTCCTTATGCAGATCTCATCATGGTGCTTGACAATAATGGCTGCACTGCGGAACAGGGGAGTTTCAAGGCTCTTGACTCCGCGGGGGGCTATGTCTCAAGCTTCGGTCTTGGCCTTCCGGAATGGAGCTACAAGGGTGGTTTACTCCCTGCGCCGGAGGCTCAGACCAGAACCCTCGATAAGGTTGACGAAGCTGAAAATGAGACACACGAGAAGGGAGGCGATTTGTCTATTTACTTGTATTACGTTCGTGCTATCGGCTGGCTTCCCACAATCATCTTCATTGTCGCCATGTCAAGCTTCGTCTTTTGCTTGTCTTTTCCGAGTATGTCTTTCTTCCTTAATGAGACTCATTCTTCTCTGCTAACTCTCATGATAGGTATTTGGGTGAAGTGGTGGGCAGCCTCAAATGAAGCCGAACCTGGCAAGCACGCGGGATACTACATAGGGATCTACGCCATGCTCGGAGCTATTGGCATGATATCCCTTATTGTTGGATGCTGGTCTGTTTGTATCTCTGCGTTTCGCTAGCAATATCCTTATTGACTATTTATAGGCAAATGGTTATCAACATGGTGCCGAAGTCCGGAGAGGTCTTCCACAGAGCTCTGCTGAGCACGGTTCTGAGGTAAGAACACACTCGCTATCAAGTCGAAAACATTGCTTTTGACCCTGAAAGTGCACCCATGTCGTTCTTTTCGAAGACAGATAGCGGCGCTATTCTGAACAGATTCAGTCAAGACCTGCAGCTCATCGACATGGAGCTTCCCATTGCTGCTATTAACACATTCGTCAGTGAGTTATACTCGGCTGCAACGACTCGAATTACACTCATGATTCTATAGCCCTCACCCTTTGCATAGCGCAAATGATTCTCATGGCAGTTGCTTCTAAATACGTGGCAATTTCCTTTCCTGTGGTCATTTCCATCGTCTACCTAATACAGAAGATATACCTTCGCACATCACGCCAGCTGCGATACCTTGATCTCGAAGCCAAGGCCCCGCTCTTCTCCCACTTCACCGGTTGTCTCAGTGGTTTGGTGACCCTTAGGTCCTTCGGGTGGCAGCATGAATTCCAGGAAAAGAACCACAACCTCCTGGATTATTCTCAGAGACCATTCTATCTCCTCTATGCCATCCAGCGCTGGCTTACTCTCACTCTGGATATGGTGGTAGCGGGCATCGCGGTTCTACTGATCATTCTCGTCGTCGTGTTACGCGGGTCTATCAGCATAGGTTACGTTGGAGTGGCGCTGTTGAACGTCATCCAATTCAGCCAGAGCATCAAGCTGCTGATCACATTCTGGACCAACCTTGAGACACATATTGGTTCAATCCAGCGAGTGAGGTGGTTCACACGAAACGTACCATCAGAGAATCAACCCTCTGAGTGTGATGAGATTCCGCCAGAGTGGCCTTCGCAGGGGGTTATTGAGTTCAGTCATGTTTCGGCTGAGTATAGGTATGCCAGACTCCTGCTTTCTTGGTTTATGAGAGTACTAAAGTTTCGCCATAGACCATCTGAGCCAGTTCTCAATGACGTCTCTTTATCCATCCACGCTGGTGAGAAAGTCGGCATCTGCGGAAGGACCGGCAGGTAGGTTTTTCGGCCCATAGGCACACTCCAGGAGTTACTGAAGTTACTGAATCTGTTCACAGTGGCAAGACCTCTCTCATAATGTGCATCTTCCGTATGCTCGATATTAGCTCGGGGCAGATCCTGATCGATGGGCTGGACCTCACGAGACTACCGCGCCAGGAAATCCGCTCTCGGCTGAACGGTGTCGCCCAGAGTCCCTTTCTCATGAAAGGCAGTGTGAGAGCCAGTATAGATCCGACAGGCTCCCTTTCAGACCAGTCCATCAGCAACGCTCTCAGGAGCGTCGGCATTTACTCCAAAATCCAGGACAACGGCGGTCTGGACGCGGACATCGACGACGTCTTCCTCTCGCATGGGCAACAGCAACTCTTTTGTCTGGCAAGGGCCATACTTCGGCCGGGCAAGATTCTCGTGTTGGATGAAGCCACGAGCAGGTGCATACATCTGGTAGCCCTCAATTCTAGATATCAACTAACCTGAGTCTCTAGTGTCGACTCCAAAACCGACCAGGTCATGCAGCAGGTCATCCGCGAGAATTTTAGTGCACACACCATCTTGACGGTTGCGCATAAGCTCGACACTATCCTCGACTACGACAAGGTCATCGTCATGGAAGCGGGTCGGGTCGTGGAGACGGGTGTGCCGCATGAGCTGCTTGCTTCGGAGAAGTCGCACTTTGCCCGATTGTACGCCAGTCTATCGACAGACGAGGATGTTCGGGAGTAGTCACAATCCGTGGGCGGCGCATTAATTGCATGAAGACAAAAGCAGAGGCCTGTCAATTCTCGGCGTTCGGCATACAGGTCAGGTTCATTCCTTTTCTTCTTGGGGTTGGGGTTACAGACTATCTGGATGTTGAGCCTCTTGTCTATTGCGATACAGTGTAATGATATTTTTTCATCAGTTCTGCTTAGGGAAGGTGCCAAATAAACTGAACCAACTATTTACCCAACCCAAGGTTCAGTATATCCGCGAAGGCAGCTGCCCTCATCATTTATAAATCACGATGCACATCATCCTGACTTCACCGCAACTCTTCAATCCACCAACAGCCCAGCCATAGGACAAAACCCGCCTCCAAAATTCAACCCTCTACCCATCCAGCACCACAACCCACCCGCACACACACCCAAAGCACATACCATGGGGCATCTACACAAAACCCACCAACCCAAACTGTCATTTCCTTTGTTGAATCCACTAACCCGTACGAACATCAACAATTCGCCCGGGTGGTCTAGTGGTATGATTCTCGCTTAGGGATACAAACCCAAGCATATCTGCGAGAGGTCCCGCGTTCGATCCGCGGCTCGGGCCGATTCCTTTTTTTGTTCGTTCCCCTTACCGCTAACGCATCAATCACGTACTTTTTTAACCCCCCCCCCCCCCTCTTTGTACAGTACTCCGCAGAGTCCGTACAGAGCAAAAACAAAGCGACAGAACCCTGCCACTGACCTTACCTCAACACAATCAACGAACCCAAAATTCTCTCCCCCGGAAAAATCCAATATTCAGAACCGGGGGGGAACTTTGCTGAGATCCAGACCTCCGACCGAAGCAAGTTAGTGCAGGTTGGTGGTCGGTGGTCGGTGGTCGGTGCTCAGACTAACTAGTTTAGTTAGTCTACCAGGCGTTTAATCATCGAGTCTGTCCGGGGTTCTGCTCCTTTAGCCTTAGTCCATCCAGGTGCTCTGACTCTGACATTGAGTTCAATGACCCCCCCTGTCAGATAGTCGGTCTTGGTATTGGCAATAAATAGTGTTGGTATCGGTGCTAGGTAACTTGGTTTATGGTTGGGTGAGGACCTGGAACCAGTCAGTAAGTAGTATCTTCGGAGAGCCATAGCGGCTGGGTCTGTAGTTGATTTTGCTTCTTGGGGAAGATTGGCCTAGGCTATCCTGCTTGGTACGGTGTCTCCCCTCGGGCTATGAATTTTGTTCAGGAGGACCTACCTAGTACCTAGTGGAATGCAAGGTAGGTCCGAGGTCCGAGGTTCAAGCAAAGGATAAAAAAAAGCCCGCAGAGCCATCAATTAATCAATCCGTATCGAGATACAGTACACTACCATGGACCTAGTCTAGCCATCAGCGGATAATAACAAACCAACATTAAAAGAAATACAAATACCCTGCTAAGTGTAGGTCGATCGGAGTAAACAAGTTCCATACACATATACAGAGGTAGAGGTACAGTCCAATACAAAAACCCAAAGTCACAGCCCAGCCCAGCCCAGCAATCACAATCACATCATCGTACATATATATATACCAGTCGTAATAAGCACTAAGTACAGTAGACAGACAGCGTGATCGAGCGATCGAGTGATCGTGTGAGCACCGAGCTCCTCCTACCCGAATCAAATCAAATCACGCTACGAAGTACGAACCCATTGAGCAATGGATGGACCCCAAAACCGGGAATCACTCCAGGCTAAACATAGAAGTACCTAGTAAGTACCGAGTACAGGTAAGTGAGTGGGTTGGGACGCACTCGGTACTGTACCTATTTGTAAGGGTGTGGGTGGATGGGTGGGTGGCTAATGCAGCCTTGAGGAGAGAGAGGACACCCGACGGCAGCGATCTGCGTCTTGGATACCCTTTGTCTTTGGGCTTTGTCTTTGTTTTGTTTTTTTTTTTTTTTTTGATCAAGGGTCCGATGATGTCAATTTTTTTCATGGGCTGAGTAGCTAGTGCTAGCTTCGCTTCGTGCAGGAGATCAGCTCCCGAGGGAGATGAGCCATCTGGTCCATTAAGATGTGGAAGTGGATGTGGATTTGGTTGCAGGGATTATCTTTGTCGCGTTGCGCGAATTCAATGGGGAGAGGCTACTTAACAAGTAAGACACATATAGCCGCCTGCACTGCGACGAGCCTGCAATTGTAGAAACTGAGACCTGCGCCCTGGCGATTCGTCGTGCTAGTGAAGTTTTTTGTCCATCGGAGACTGCACCGCTACATCACCCCATTGAGATGAGGGAGATCCCCCAGAGTCAACCTCACTACACTACATTTCCCCCTCCTCGAATCATCCAGCAAAGACAGTAAACCAGTCCAAGTCAATCCCTATTCTAGCGTAGCTCAGACTAAAATCCTAGTTGTACATACACAAGACACGTACGCCCGAAGTGCAGACGCGCGAAACAAGAGAAAACCACGCCTAAACAACAACGGCAATTCTAAGCGAGCACCATCGTAGTGTCCTCATCATGGTTGTGGCCGTCATCACCAACTGGGTCAAGCAGTCCAAACTCCCAATCACCGCGTTCGATCCGACTGACCCGATCCAGTTCGGCCTGGTACTCGCGACGGAGGTGGTCCAGTGTCACTATTACCCGCTTCTGAGGAATGTGGGAGATGGCACTGCTGATGGAAGCCTTGCTGTCGCGGCGGCTCGATGGCCGGATGGCCGTCGCGCTAGCGCTGAGGCGGCGCCCGGAGGGGGAGCCACCCACGGGGGCGGGGTTGGGCGACGGAGAAATCGCGACGGCGTCATCCATGCTGACGTTGCCATCGTTGTCGGGTTGCAAGTGTTGCTGGAAACTGCGGCGTCTGGCCTCAGGCGGTGACGATGGTGGCTGCTGCGGTTCTTCCTTGTTCACGAGGATGTACGATTCGCTCTTGTCGACGCATGCAAGGAGATTGATTAGCGACAAAAGCTCGTGCCGGAGTTCCTTGCTTTCCGGGTCATCCTCTTCGATTGGGTGGGTGTCGTCGGCTTCTCTTGCCCTACTGAGAATGAGGTGCGTGGAGACGTCTCGGGCGTGACGGAGGCGCTGGACGTTCCGGTAGGCGATCTCGGCAGCGCCACGGTAATCGCCTCTCTCAATACGGTAGGCTTGTAGGATGCGTTGGTAGTCCGGAGTGCTGTCGCTCCATTTGTTGTCTGAGTCGAGGCAAGAGGTGAAAGAGGTCTGCTTTTGAGCAAGTGAGGTCAAGGTTTCGTCGACGTAGGACGCAATATTAGGGATGAGAGACGTCGGAAAGTGAAGAATCTGCTGGAGACCCGCAGTTCCAGGGCCAGAGGCTGACAGGATGCCGGTAATCAGAGAGCCCAGGGCGGACTTTTGCAGAGTTCGATCCTTATATCTGGAAAGAGCAGAGTATGCCTGGTCGAACTGGCAGTTCTGTAAGGAGGCATAGAACAAGCGCGACAGTAGGTCCGATCGCAAGCTAGAGTAGTCCACATCATGCTGCTGGCTTCCATGCTCACTGGCCAGGGCCTGCAGCGCGAGGCTCGCGAAGTCAGCAACATGCGAAAACGAGCGCCCATGTTCGAAGATGGTCACAATGTGTTGAAAGTACTTGGGGAGGCCGTTGTGGAAGCAGTCCACCGCGACAATATCGAGCAAGTTCGACGACATTTCGTGCAGATTACCCAAAGGTTTTCCGCAAGCTATAAAGAGTTAGATAAACAGTGTTTCCCAAGCACCTCTGCAAAGATCGCACTTACAAAGAAGATAGGCAGCTTTACGAAAATATATAGCCGCAGTGTCGAATTCGGACATGGCCGCATAAAGTCGACCCTTAACATAGGTCGCCCAGGACGTACTTGCTTGAAACCGGAGAAAATCCCAAGCAAGGTCGATATTGTTCTTAGCAATGAGGTCGCACTGTATGTAGACCAAGGCATTGGGATAGGCCACCTCGCCTTGACGGGTCACCCACGACAGGATATCACGGATCCCCATCGTGATTGTGTAGCTCTGAGGAAGTCCGATGGTTTGGCGTGGCTTGATGTCACTCGCAAACAGATCTTCCAGGATAGTGGCCGTTCTCTCCCCCTTGTTCTTCCGGGAAGAGTCCTTCGAGGCCATAGGCGAAGATCCACCGGGTGTTTTAGTTGATCGATCAGTGTACTTCCGAGAATGCGAGCTCAGCCAGGACATCATTTCATATTCCCTCAGCAGGGTAATCAGCGTGACGAACAGGTCAGCAGCATCGAATTCCGAACCGGCCTCCTGCTCGACCTCCCCGTCCACAAACAAAACAAGGAATAGAAGGTCGGCCAGGATCTTGCGCGTCAGTATGATGGTCTCTTGAACTCCATTCACAATCACCTTCACGCCAAAGTGGGTGTGGAAGAGGTCAGAGTTCTTGCCTGGGAAATCGAGCGGAATAGTATCAATAATGGTGTAGAACACATCGTTGGGCATTTTGGAGATGTTCAGATGCTCGCTCATCACAGCGACCAACGCATCATACGTTTTGTTAGATACCTGCTCCCCAAAATCACAGCGCTCACGGAATGTGTCCATCCTATCTTGCACGGACGTAGAGGGCTCAGTGAAGATTTCTGCCTCAAGAGCCTCCTGACAAGCAGCTTCCAGCTCAGCAGAGAATGCCTTGCGGAAGCCAGATGCGACCGTAATCAGATGAGACGCTTGCTCGAATAGACTACCAATCTCCGTCTCCAGCTTTCGGTGCCTCCAGCGATCAACAATGACTGACCCATCTGAGCGGAGCTCGGGGCCAGAGTTGTGCAAAATTAGCTCCGCAGAGCTGCATTCACGAATGACTGCGCAACCGTCTGAGAGAAGCATCCAAGGAGTTTCGTAATAGGCATCGTACGCGAGCGAAACTGGTTCGAATCTGCGTTTATTGACATCGTCCGCGATCTGCCAAAACTGGCGCCACTTCGAATCCGTGTCCATGCGATAGCGAGTATAGTCCATCTCATCATCAGCATGTTTACGAAGGGACACATGAGTGCCAATTGTGGAACAGAGTCTTTCTTCCAGGCTATGGGTCCGCTTGGGGAAACCGGCCGAAGACATGGGTTTAAGAGCCTCTTGGTAGATAGACAATGCAGTCTCGAGAACCTCTGGCGAGAATCTATTCGGCTTCAACAGAAATCCCAACCACTTCTCAGTCGGGTCAACAACATCGGACGTAGCCATGACGGGTGGGGGTTCCTGCCAGCGCGTGTCCATGGCGGTTGATACCCAGTTGGAAGTCCAGTCTTTGGCCAGAGACTCGAAGCTGAAGTGCAGGGTATACAATTGATACAGGCTGCTGTTTCTCCAGAGGACCCACAATTCCATGCGCTTACCCTCCTCCGCTGGCTTAATCTGGAAATCGGCAATGCTCCAGAACATGCTTCCAGTTGAATCTGGATCAACTGGCTTCAACGCCACACCGGGGTACAGATCCTCAATCACCAACGGCGAAGTCAGGCCGCCCTTGACAGCCCAGAACTTGAAGCGCCCATCCTCGAACGGCGAGTAGGTGACGACATAATAGCGGTAGCCTCCATCCAGCGCGCGTTCCATGTTGAAGACCCGGATGAACGAAGATTCGGCAGGGTTCAGCGAGTATGATAATTCCTCTGGCTGCTGAACTTCGCGGTCCAGCAAATCCTTCGTAGCAGCGAGCTTGTTGGTTGCGAGGTTCCATATCTTCAGTGTATGGTTGAGACAGACGGCGAAGACGTAGGTCTGATCGGATGTCGTAGTTATGGCATTCGCGACGTTCGTATCAAGCGTGCGCCCCTTGTATCTGATTGCAGGCTGTGCGTGCCACCTGACCAAGCCGCGGATCGATGCGCCCCATGTTCTCTCGTCAAAAGTAAGTGGTGTCCAATGCGAACCTTGACACCAGATGAGTTTAGTATACTGTATTCCGAGGTCCAGTGCATGTTATGAATAGCACAGTGTAGGGCCCGAGCTTACCGTCATCGCTAGACTTCCGCGTCAATCGCAGCAGAGCGCCGTTATCGAGAGAGATGAATAACTCCAGCGGGCTGCTCGCGTGTAGCCGGTGGGGGTTCGTGAAGGTCAACGGCGCGGGAACACAGGACTTGCACCATTCAGAGATATTCTCGTCAATCGCTTCTGTCCTCCGGAAGAACTCAGGGCGCAGGGTCAAGGTGTGCAGGTGCTTGTCGGCCGTGATGACGAAAACGCTCAACGCTTCGTGTTCCTCCAAATCGGCGAAGTCGACACCGGAAGGAACAATGCCATCTTCGAATTCCAAGCGCAGTGTCACATTGTATTCGTGGTGTTCAACGCCGCCCTTGGTCAAATCGACACATTGAATTTCCAGAACCCTGTTGTCATCGACAACTCGCCAGAGGAACGCCCGGGGGTAGACACTGCGTTTGCGGAAGTAGATCGATCCCTGCGTCGCCAGATACCGCTTGGTAAAGTCCTCTTCGTCTCTCGCTATCGGTAGATCTTGACTGGTGAAGGTGGAAATCGCGAAGCGAGCTCGGCTTTGGGTGCTTGCTTCTGTTGGAATCTGAATGTTAACAACGGTGCTGGGGGAGTGCGGTCGGAGATCGACCCGGGTATCCTTGTAGAATTTCGCCATGATGAAACGAGAACTGAGATAAGACCACTCTTCACGATGCTGAAAAGAGGTCAACTCAAGTCTCCATGGCCGATTGGGGGGTGGGAATGGAAAGAGAGTATCGCAAGACAGCGCGGAGTTGAAGGGCAGAAGCCGCAGCTCTTGCGGCGCCTCCAAAAAACCGGTCTTGGCGCGGCCCGCAGCCCAAAAAAGTTCCTCCACCGCCTTTGCTGATTGTCTACGGATGGAACAAAATGCTGGGTAGACTGCCTCTGATACTCTATTTTTGCAAACACTTAATTAGAAGGGTGGAACCAGCTCAACATGCAGAGCAGCTTAGTTATACATAATCATAAATTCATAGCCTCAGATAATATGTGCAGCCATCTGCCGATCACTCATGCTCCAGATCCTTGGGGCTGGGGTCTCCAATTCCATCTTCATTGATGGCGAAGAGACAGTCACTCTCCGGAAGACACGGACTGTCGTAGATCTTACATACTCGAGTCTCTCCCCTCCCCTTCTTCAAACTCAATCTTGTCGTACTAGCATGTGCAATGATGTTTCCACCGATGGGCTTTTTGGGATCAGGGTTAAACATGTTCGGGCCACCATCTACCTGGGCGACGACCTGATTCGTGATAACGACCGCGATCCCAAATTCATCCGCGAGACGCTGCAGAGTCCGCATAAACTTCGCCAGATGGGTCTGACGCGTAGACAGCTCGCCACGGCCGTTGAAATCTGTTCGATACAATGAAGTAGCCGAATCGACAACGAGAAGCGAAAAGCGAGTTTCGCACATCATCTGTGAGGCCTGGTTAAGCAGTTGAAGCTGATGATCCGAGTTATAGGCTCGAGCATAAGCCACATTGTCCAGAACCTCCTCGCCCACAAGTCCGTATCGTTGGGCAACCGCCAACAAACGCACCGGACGGAAAGTTCCTTCGGTATCAATATACAGACACTTTCCCTCTCCACCGCCCATGTCAAAAGGCAGCTGGCAGGTCACCGCAAGGGTATGACATATTTGACTCTTTCCTGTTCTGAACTCGCCGAAGATCTCCGTGATCGACCCCGTCTCGATGCCACCGCCAAGGAGAGTGTCTAATTGCTTAGAACCAGTGGTGATCGATATGAGCTCGCTTCGTCGCGCATGCATCTCCGTAGCTGTCGTGAAGCCCATGGGTACAAGTTTCGCCGCTTTGAGGTACAATCTAGTCAGCCATATGGTTCTCGACGGTTCTCGGGGTTCAGGAAGACCTACCCTCGACCAGGATCTTGGTGGCCTTTTGCTCCGAAATCCCTTTGATCTGCTCCAGCAAGCGCTTCGGCCTAGACACATACGATGGACCAGCAGTTAGCATACCGGGAAGATGGCATGTGCCGCCTGCTTCGCAAACCCCGGGATCAGTGAACCTACGTATACGCGATTGCCTCAACGGTGTGGTAGCCGGCGTCAACGAAGAGTTTGATATCTCGCCCAGTCAGTCCTGCAACGCCCTATTGTGTAAGAAATCATCAGTACGTTTCATGCGATACGCGATTGACGGTGATGCTTCCAAGGGCCTCGCGATGCAGATATATGCTTACCTCCAGAGCTGAGAGCGGAGTGGGCGCTCCAGGACCAGGAAGTCCTTCCTCATAATCGTTCTGTGTCTCCATATCTGCCGTCATCTTCTCGAAGAATCTCAAAGCAGTACAATTCGGAACTATCCAGTTGTGATATCAGCCAGGTGACTGCACAAATCAGATGAGCTGAACGCGGAACGCGTGTGCTAGTTCAGTGGTGTTTTCTTCAATTTTGGGCGGCTGGGATGATAGGTTCTATGAGAGAAGAGGGTATAAAGACTGTGCAGATAATCTTGCTAAATGACACTTCCAGTCGCCTGATTGCTGGCAAATTTGAACGTGAGGGTGGCGAAATGGCTTTTTCGCTCGTCCCTCAAGAGTCATGGCGAACGGACGCGTTGCGGCAGTCGCGAGATCACGTGCTAGTCCTGATGCCTATCAGCCGTTGCTGCCTGAAGTCCCGGGACAACACCCGATCCCGGTTCGGAATGGTGTCGGACCATCCATGCTTATTGAATCATTTATGCTACAGCATGCTAGGACGAGCTGCTGGATCTCTGGACACAGAATCGAGCAGATTAGTAACTATAGCATATGAAGGTCTCTATCTATATACCACCAGCATTCCACTTGAAACCTGTTTTATTCCGGGCCATAATTCATTGAAGCGCTCCAATGAGATGCTCAAATACAATGTTCGCTGACGATGACAATCTAACAAGGCTTCACATGTGTTTGGACTCATTGGGGTAACGAGCCTATCTCAAGCCCCTTATTCAGACTTCATAGTATCATTTTATCTTTTCACCGCTTCTGGGGACTGTCCACGGTCTCCTTGTCTCCTGCTCCCTGATTAATTGGTCTCAACTGGTATGCTTCGGTCGAGCCTGTCTGAATACTCTCATCGATCAGCTTGCTGATCCTGCGTCTGAAGCTTTCCGACGAAGTTCGACGGTGTCCTGGATGTCCTGGGCCATAATGAGCGCTGACCTCGCAAGACCACTATTCTCATGTGACTTACCTTCGTGTCTCGACATGCGCTTGTAGCTGTCAAACGGCTTCCTCACCCATGAGTTCCGGGGATTGAACCATCCTCTCGATCGCCTCTTCCTCCCTGAATCAGGGGGAATCTCAGCCTCGCAGTTCATTCGCACAGTCGGTTGTGGTGCATTGTTTGCGGTAAACACACGCATCGCCTCCGTCCCGAGCTCGACATCTGGAATCTTCATGGAAATGCGTGGACTGAGCAAGCTGGGCTTCGGCGCCAACTGATACGATCTCGTCGGCCTCTGGACGCCACTTGTAGGCACTAGTGATGGCTGGCTTTGTACGGGACTGGGGATTGCGGGTGACGGTGGCTCTTCTGGCACGATGACAGACTGCCTCGGCGAGTATTCCTTAGGAGTCCAGATGCCTTCAACCTGGATGCCCTTTTCCAACGCTCTAGCGCCAAAGGGTATATCAGTTGTTTCGGCCAATATCCGCTGCATCTCGGTGGCCTGTTCTGCCCTCTCACGTTCTTCGGCAGCGGCATACTTCTTTGTCACCCTGCGATTGTACGCGAGGACGCAGAACGAATAGATCAGGACGATGGCCTTGCAGTGTCAGTTGCTGCGTCTCGCAGTGCACGGTTGACGTCTTACCAGAAGACCCGCGAGCACCTATATACCTCGTCAGCCACGGTTCCGATTTACTTGATAGGAGTCGAGCAGACTCACGAAACTTAGCTTCTCCCAGAGTGCCCATCCGACCCAGAAGCGCATCTTGAATTGACCAGGATTATATCCGGGGTCACGTCGAGGATCCGTTTGTCGGGATTCGGACGTTGGGGGTGAACGTAGTATTCCGTGAGCGTTAGTGAGATGGAGGATGCAGGACAAGAGCATCAATGGTGTGCTTCAGGTTTGAACTCCGAATGGAGATTTGAGCGGTTCAAGCGACATTGTGGATAGCGTATCAGAGAAGTCCGAATGTCCTTGGAAGTCACTGTCGACTCAGTTGAGCAGGAAAAGCAGGTGCGCCCTGGGAAGATACAGGAACGGAAGGCGAACTTCTACTGGGCCGGAGTCCGTCAAGACCGGCTCGGAAGGTAGTTCGTTCGTAGAGTAGGAATATGTGCATCGCTGCTGGTAGGCAAATCTTCGATCTACAAGTTTGGCTGTATAATGCGGTCGCTTTCCTCGACGCATATGTTGGAGGTATGGAGGGCGATGCCATTCGGGCGTACTATATATAGCTGGGCACGATGCCCTCAACACCGACCCAAGTTACCCGTATCCAGGACTTGGTTGTAGAGAATAAGCGATGGTAAAAGATAGCCAGAGCCTAGTATAGGGAAATGAAAGGTGGCAGTAGAAGCCATTCCGTAGACATTGAAAAACAATACAAAAAAGCAAAAAGTAGTTGTCCAGCCAAACTGCCAATGTCCCTGTAACAGGACGGTGTAATCTGGTGACGCCATCCCAGGGTGGAAATGTCTCTGCAGAATTGCTTCCCTCAAGGGTCACTTCCATTGCTTAACGCCGTGTAGCGATCGTGGACTACTCGCACGAGTACAACGACGACCCCCGGATTCGTACCAGGCACCAGTCCCGCTGGCAATTACCTAAGCAAGGTTATTGACTTAACGGCTGACCTCCCACTGGACTATCCATGACAGATTAAATAATTTATGCTTCGAAAAAGTTCATATAGAACGCACATTAATGGGTATGCTACATCAATCTACGCCTTGGAGAACTATTTTTGTCCACATTAGCAATGGTATTGCTTTTGTGACGACATCACAATCGCTACACTTTACCCCGACAGTAAGAATAACCTCTTACTCGTACACAGACATATACTGATAACAGGAAGAACAGGATCGAGAAACAAACAACATGAGAACAGCCAACGCAACTGAAAGGACACCAGGTCATTTGTCTCAATCCGCAAGCTGAACACCTCAAGGGAATATCTTGATCGAGCTTCTGCACTTCTTGCTGCCAAAGACAGCGGCAAATCGGTCGCAACGACCAGAGCAGCACTGGTAGTCGTGAGTGCATCGGTTCCTGTTGGAAAGGCAAGCTCCTCCGCGGGGATCCATGCAAGTTCCATTGGTGCATGTGTGTAGACGAGAGCAATCACTGTCGCTGATGCAGCTCAGGGTACAACGACTGTTGAGACATGTGAATCCCACTTCGCACTGTGATCTGTTGTAGCAGGTATCGGCGGTGGCATCGCTGTCCGCGGACGAGTCTAGCTCATCGTCGGTGACATCCACGAAGGCTTCCTCTTCCCCTCGAGCCAGAATGGGCTGAGAACGATAGCTCTCGCTCCCACAGTGCACACCAGGGCACGCCACAATGAAATCTTGTGTTTGAGCTTGAGGGACGACGCTGGCAGCGGTTCCCCCAACGACCATGAGGATGGCAACAGCGGAAACGATCGAGGTCGAAAGGCGAGACATGATGTTCGTCGAAAGAAAGGGTCACTGGGTTGAGCACGTATCAGCTAAAGCCTTGTCCACCCCCACTTGAACAGCTTCGCATTGCTGACCAATGTGAAGCAGGCCAGACGAGAGGAAATGTACCTTGATGAAGCAGGTGTTCGTCTGGGGAATAGTATCGGCTTAGGTGAGTATAAGACGTGGGTATATCTGAGCGAATGAATGTGTGACTGTGGATGACTGAATGAGTGGATGGGTAGATGTATGGATAAGGGCTTGAAAGTGATGGGTTTGATATAGCTGTCGAGAGGGGATAGATGGGTTATAAGGCTCTAGGACTCGGGATTCGATAGGATGGGAAGGAATGGACGGTGGTTGCGATGGAGAGGCAAGCTCGATTCGGGTGAGGAAGCAGCACCGGCATCTTCGCAGCACACCTCTTGAGCCTAAGTATGGTAAGTGGCTTTTTCAAGTTGTTGATTGCTGGGGCTAGACGCATGGCAGGCACTACGAATGAACATGGCAGTTTCCCCCCAGAGCCCTAGGGAGATGTGAATTATGCGAGACGGCTGGCAGACAAAGGCACTGTCAACATACATGCCCAGTTTCGGGAACATGGCTAATGGACCTCAATGACTTCTATGGGGTCTTGCCATTGCTGTTGATCTGACAAGAAAATACCGAGAAGCTTCACCCTGTCAAGTGTCTTCGCCAGGCTGAAGCTGTTGGCAAGCGGCATGGTTCGTAAGCGTACTAGGTGAAGCGTGGAAATAGCATCCGAGATATCTGGCTTCTTGTGAACACAATGAACTACAAGCAAAAGGGGGGAGGGGTTATGTGTTGGTCTCACTAACTCAGCGCAGAATCAAGCCATGACTTCTAAATAAAATGCCGCTCAATTGTACACTTGATGGGATGCACTGACGATGCAAGAGGCCACGCCCGATCGTTGTGATCTTGTTCCTCAACATGCCTCAAGGTGTTCATGATTATGTATTTGCCAGGTTGCGTAGCTCTACAATTGCTCCCTGAAGCAAAGATTGGCGGATCGAACCATAGATCGGCAAAAAAGAAAAGATACTCACACTCGGACTCGAACCGAGGATCTCAGCATTACTAGTGCTGCGCTTTACCATCTAAGCCATGCGAGCTGATTTGCGAAATGCTACAAGCATGTACGATAAATGATCAACTTTGATGTGATAGCAAGGCAGGGTCAGAATCTAATGCATAGTTAACTCCGAATTCTGCAATGTGAAACATCTCCTAGCATATTTGTCCGAGGTTCTATTTTCAGCCGATTGTTCGTTGTTATGCAATTATATGCCTTAGTCATTGAGACTGCATAATTGACCCTCATCCCGGGGAAATTGTGAACTAAATGCGATAGTCCTACTAATGACGCTATGGGCATGGCCAACTCCAGACTAAACGATGATGATATACGCACGACCAAGTTTTCCACTAATAACAATGTTTGAAGCCAGGCACATGGCGCGGTGGCAAAGGGAGCCACGGTTTGCGAGTAGCATTCTCCAGGGGACTGGAGGGGTCCCAACCACTGATGCATTATTAGAATTTCTCACATTGATGATCCATTTGCCAGGTGGATGAACCACCCTTTCATAAAATGAACCGACGCCCGAGGCCGCCGATCATGTGAGAGTTGAACGTTCGTGCATTATTCCATCCAACTCTCTCTCTTTTTCTCTCTCTCAATAAGATCTCACCATTGCCGCTTGTACGCTCCCTCCAGCCTTGTATCTTTCTTAACCCTCCTTTCCTGGATTGCGCCCACGCAACTGGATTTGCGCTCCGCATCCCTATTCCTTCATAATCACTCCCTCAAAAATGGCCCCATTCCGTAACTTCCTGTCTCGAAAGCCCGCGGCACCCAGCGGCGGGGATATCACCACGCACGACAATACCAGCACAACCAGTCGTTTATCAATTGATGGCCAACGCTCAACGCCCTTGAGCTTTAAGAAGAGCTTCGAAAAAGAACCGCCAGAATATAAATTGAGTGGTATGGAAATGTTGAACGAACATGATGGGGTGGGAATTTTACCCCGCTAACTTAAGTGTTTCGCCAACAGTTGTCGATGCCAATGGCGCTTATCTTCCGGTAATATAGTCCGCACACGCATCGTTGTCGTAGCGCTCTGAATTCCGCATGAATGCTAAGATGATTGCTCTCGGATAGCCATCACCGCCCGAGAAACAGAGCTTCTGGCCCAAGTATCCCGGTTCGCCCAAATCCTCCCACCATCGGGATCTCGTCAATGAGAACGAACCCTTCTCGATATCGCGGGAGTCCTTCGACTCCTATCGTCGCTCCTTTGTGAGTCCTCGCAAAAGCCACCTCTACGCCTTGCGACTACGCAAACAGGGACTAATCCTGTGACTGACAGGACATCTCCGCTCGCTCCCCCGTGAGCTACACCGACGCACTGCCCTCGCGGACATCGCTCGACTCGCGCGTCTCTCGAATGACATCACCGCCATCCACATTACACACCGGCCTTTGCAAACAGCCCGAATCCATGGAAGAAGAGCAATTCGAGGACGTGGGCCTCGACGACGAGAACGAGACCAAGCCAAAAAGGAAGAGCATTTTCTCTCGGTTTGGCGATTTCACCAGCGATTCGCACTCGTCCAACAACACCAAATCCTCTTCTTTAGGTTTCCATATCCCAGGCCGCAAACGAGGACAAAGCAGTGTAGGCTCGGAATTAGGCGCCTTCAAGTCCCCACCGGCCAGTGCCGGATCGGATACCCGTGGGGCATGATCCAAGCGCGGATTTTGTAAATTGATATATCATGTTTCGGCCGCTGGATGGAGTTGCCAGTGACCAGACCTTGCTCTAATCGCTCAATCGCAGATTCGACGGACGGCTTTGCAAATGTGAGCCCCGCTTTAGTAGCTAATTGGGGGGATTGAGTTGACGACCTGGCCGCAATGCGTGTTTCCTTCTCTGTCGTACGGAGCCAACCTGGCACCCTTTCTACACTGCGATAGATCATATTCTTGTATATACTTTATACCTGGTTTCTTATTCATCTGACTGATTGCTCCAATTCTCTCCGGACACTCATACCAAACCCGCGGGAAGACAGTGAGGGGGAAAAGATGATTCCGCTCCCCGAGTCCTTATCCCCCAACCCGCCTTATCAGTACCCCTGCAAACCAGACAAACACGCTCGACCGCCCTTGAACGGGCAAAAAAAGTAGAAAAAAAAAGTAGGACGGGACCGCGGCCGATAATCCAAGCAGGAAAACCTAGACTCCGCGGGCGGCCCCATTATCAAATTTCAATTTTCCCGGCCTGGGTCAGTCGCCTTACTAAATTCTCCTTTTCTTCTCCTTCTGTTAGAAAACAAGAATACACACATCATGGTCGGGGTTAAGCGCCGTGTCGATACCGGCGACGATCGCGATGGCAAGCGGACGAAAACGAAGACTGCGGTTCCCGCGTCGACGAAGAAAGGTGGCTCCAAGTCCGCGCCTGTGAAGTCGGCGAAGAAGGCCGACTTCAAGAAGGGATCCGACAAGGGCGGAAAGAAGGATAAGAAGGATTTGAGCAGCAAGAAGGGCAAGAAGGCGCGGAAGGAAGAATCCGAAGACGAGGAGGACGATGAGGATGAGTTCGACTTGGATGATGTTGAGGATTCTGAGATTGATGAGTTGGATGAGCTTGAGGGTGATGATGATGAGGATGTTGATATGGGTGGAGTTGAGGACGAGGGTGACGACGATGACGAGGAGGCAGAGAAGCCTACGAAGGCAGCAGATCCAAGTAAGTGGATTCTTTTATCTGGAAGCACTGCTTTTGGGCCTCCGGTTTACTGATCAACATCTCCTACAATTGTGCAGACAAGTCCACGTCGCGCGAATCGCATATCAAGCAGAAGGCCATGCAGCAAGAACGCAAAGCCGCCAAACCCAACGCCGACATTATCGCCCGCTCCAAGAAGCTTTGGGAGCAGCTGCGCCGGAAGTCCCACGTCCCGCTCGAGCAGAGAAAGAAGCTCATCAAGGAGCTTTTCGAGATCATCACCGGCCGTGTCAAGGACTTTGTGTTCAAGCACGACTCGGTTCGTGTCGTCCAGACCGCTCTGAAATACGCCAACATCGAGCAACGGAAACAGATCGCCGCGGAGCTCAAGGGCAGCTACCGCGAGCTTGCGCAGAGCCGGTATGCCAAGTTCTTGGTCGGCAAGTTGATTGTTCACGGTGACAATGAGATTCGCGACCTGATCATCCCCGAGTTCTACGGCCACGTCAAGCGCCTCATCCGACACCCCGAGGGATCCTGGATTCTCGACGATATCTACCGGACAGTTGCGACGAAGCAGCAGAAGGCCAACCTTCTGCGTGAGTGGTACGGACCCGAGTTCGTCATCTTCAAGCAGGAGAACGGAACCGCCGAGCTTTCTGAGATTCTGAAGGAAAGCCCCGAGAAGAGAGGACCCATCATGCACTCTCTGTTCGAACTCATCAACCAGCTCGTCCAGAAGAAGAACTCTGGCTTCACCATTCTCCACGACGCCATGCTCCAGTACTATCTCAACGTTAAGGTCGGCAGCACGGAGGCTAACGAGTTCGTTGAGCTTCTGAAGGGTGATGAAGAGGGAGATCTTGTCAAGAACTTGGCATTCACCAAGTCGGGCGCGCGGGTGATGTCTCGGGCTCTGGCTTACTCGAACGCTAAGGACCGCAAACTTCTGACTCGTTTCTATCGCGATACGATCAAAATGATGGCAGGTGATCTTCATGGACACCTGGTCCTCCTGGCGGCCTACGAAGTCATTGATGACACCAAGCTTACCTCGAAACTGGTCTTCCCCGAGCTTCTGAATCAAGGAATGGACGCCGAATCCCGGAATGAAGAGCTACTCTACCAAGTGACCGACCTGACGGCTCGTATTCCCATCTTGTATCCATTCGCTGGTGACCGCGCCAAGTGGCTGCTGCCGGAACAGGATCATGAGCTGTTGAAGGAGGTCCGTGAGATTCGTGCGGAAACGTCGAAGAAAGAGCCCGAGGTCCGCCGACAGGAGCTGGTCAAGGCTGCGTCCCCCACTGTTCTCGAGTTGATCGCTGCCCGTGCGGACTCCTTGTTGGAGACCAGCTTCGGGTGCCAGTTCATCTCCGAGGTTCTTTTCGATGCGGATGGAGACAAGAGCGCCGCTCTTGCTGCCGTGGCCGAGGCGGCCAAGTCCCGCGCCGACACCAAGGAGGCCCCGTTCGTGGGCCGGTTGTTGAAGTCGCTTGTTCAGGGTGGACGGTTCAACAGCGCGGAGAAGAAGATTGAGAAGGTCCAGCCCCCGCTCAACTTCCACGATCTGCTGTACGAGCAGATCCAGGCCGAGATCATGTCTTGGGCCACCGGGTCGAATACGTTCGTTGTCGTGGCTCTCGCCGAGTCCGAGGACTTCGCGAAGAAGGCCGATCTGCTGAAGACCCTGAAGAAGAACAAGAAGGCCCTGGAGAAGGCCTCGTCGGAGACTGGAAAGGATGGTAAGAAGGGCAGCCCAGCCAGCAGCGGTGCTAAGATTCTTCTGGAGAAGATTCGGTAGTGGCAATGACGGATTCAATTCTACTAGTATAGGATGCATGACATGTGTGTAATACCGGCCGGTTGACTGCAAAAGCATATCCCTTGGGTGTTTTGCTTTGATTTTTGACTATTCTGTTCTTTTTTTCTTATCATACCGTGAGATATCTATTCGTCTTCTGTACAGGGTTTGTGATAAATATCTGGGATCAATGAAGTTCAACAAAAAGTATTCGATGATTATCTTCTGGCTTCGACTTACTCGTCGCTAGACAAGGACAGCTTAATAGCAGCCAGAATTATAGGTGAAAGCCCCGTAGAGAATTGTCATGGGAGGACCTTGGGCCGTGAGGCTGGGATTCCCCCCCCTGAGCGGACTCCAGGACAGATGAGGCGGTTAAGGAGACAACCACAGCCACAGCAATATATTTCCACTTTCGAAGGAGACTACATGCCTGGCATAAGCATTTTGCGCCACGAACTAGTTGAAACCTCAATTGTTAATGAAATTGTGGTACAAAGTGAAAGGAGAAGGAGTGAGGATTGTTGAGCCGGGATTATTATAAGGTAGTCTAGGTAGTACTGTAGTCATTACAAGCTGCCGGCTGTGTCAGTCAGTCAGGGGGAGAGTTAGCTATGGATATTATGGGATATGGCATTGGTGGAGCCGAACGCAAGGACTTTTTTCTCTTTGGCTTGTCTCTCTTCCCGCTCAAACAGGCTTAACTCGCTGGGGGGAACCATGGAACCAGCAGGTGCAGATATCAACTTGGCTGATCATAAATGACGATCTCCATTTCTCTCGCCTGCAATTGACGCTCGACTCTCTTTTACTCTTTTACTTATACTAGTCTAGTTCTATCTTGGTGTCTCTGTCTCCACTCATGCATGCTGTTGTCGGCAAAGAAGTTAGAACGAGGAGGCCCATTGATACATCGATTCCTCCATCACTTACTTGATCGGCCACCCGTTGATCGAGTCGAGTCCCTCTTCCTGTCGCTACCCGTGAACGAGGAAGATTAACATCCAACTGAACGGGGGGGGGGGGCTTTATGCATATTCCACCCCTTGTATTTTTCCCCAGATCGGCTCTATTATTCTCTTCCTCTCAATCACATCTCTTGTCACCATGTTCTTTCTATCCAAAACCATTGCAACTACCCTTCTTCCTCTCCCTAACAATGCTGCTTGGTTCATGAATCCAGACCTCCGGAGAAGATTCCTTATCTACATTCTTCCCATTAACAATGGCCGAAGATCTTCAGGACGTGACGGTAACGGATCCCTGCCTGATCGGGGCTGGCCAGAAAAAAAAAGGGACACTGAGTAGAACCTACCAACAATGCCCTTCCCCTTCCCCCGTCAGCTTCAGAGTAGTGTGTTTAATTCCTTCAATCCTTCGGCTCCATCGTCTTTCTCCTCAACTTCTTTCTTTCTTCTTTCTTCCTCCTTTCTCTCGTTTCCCTTCCGGCCCGGTCGCATCGCTTGTCCTCACTTAATCTTTACTATGACTATTTTCTAATCCTTAATCTTTAATTATTTCTTTTCTTTGTTTGTGTTTTGCTTCTGCGGTATAATCTCCCCACGATCATCTGATTCGCGGAGAGAGTGCGCCTGCCTTGTCTCAGATCTCGTCTGCGACTGACTGCATCGCTCAATTCCCCAGCAACAGAGTCTCTTGCAGGACACTTCTGTCTCCTCCATCCCTTCATTTCCCAACTCTATCTGTCTGCACCGCCCGGGCCTTTGAAGTGCAACCAAACTTGCGCAACACCCCCCTTCCCTGGTTGCAGATGGCCTGGGTCTGAGCGGCATAGTTCCTGTCGTGTACCAGATATCGATTGCCTCAATTGACTCGGACAGCCATTCCAAGCAAATTTAAAGCATGATGGTCACCTCGTCCCTTGGGGAGGACGCTGGCCATCCTTCTCGTCAGCACCTCCCGCCAATTCCTCCGTCGCCGACGTTATCCAACCCCGACATGATCCTACCGTTTGACTCCAACGAGCGCGAATCCTCGACCCCGTCCCCTCCGTTCAACCTGCCTTCCTTAGGCAACCTGCAGGCGTTTTACGAAAGGCGCCCGGCCCTCGACGACAATACGGATCACAATCAGGGTGTCGCGCAATTGGGGATCGCTCTGTCCTACGGCAGTCGCCCCCAGAAAAAAGGATTTCCGCGTCACGCATGGCTGCAAGAGGGTCATGATGCTCGTCGCTTGTCGGACATCGGTGAGGAGGATTCATCGTCGTCGTCGTCGTATGCGCACTTTCCTGGGTTCTCTGGTGCATCTCGAATGGTGTCGCAAACGGGTCGGCTGGAGGGCTCTCCTGTTTCGCAGCGTGAGACAGCTGATTCGGACACTAGGGAGACGGGGGCGTGGAGCGGCTCGTCTAGCTCGACAGCTAGTGGTGCTAGTGACTCGTCTTGGGATGGGGCGAAAGGCCACCACGACAGTCGTGGAGCTGAGGAGCCCCGTCATAACTTGGAGGACAGTGTTCGCGAGCCTGTCAATGGTAACGACGATACTCCAAGCATAATGGCAACCGCACATGAGAACGGGTCTGGAGTGGAACTATCGTCAGCCGTATTAAGTACCGAGGCGGAAAGGATTCTCGAGAACGCTAAGAAGCGTCTGACGGTATGTTCAAGTCAGAGTATATTGGGAAAGAGAGAGAATGATGATAGCACTTGCTGACGACTACTATAGCTTATGGAAGGCAACCTGAGTCGGGCTCGCACATCGGTACGAGTCTCGCCATCGCTCCCGACCTCGCCAACGCCGCCCGTGGGGCAGTCGCCATTGGGGCTGGGCCAGCCTGTCGGCGGCCTGTATCAGTCAATCTCTCGCGCGGACCGTCGAGTCTCGAATCACCGTCCGCGCACGACGTACAGCTCATCCCAGGATGTGACGAGCAATCGACATTCACGTGTCTATAGCGAGACCAAACTACCGTCAGCAGCGCAGTCAAGCCTTTCCACAGCGGACACCAACCCGTCTCGGTCTCTCAGCGCCTTAGGCTCAACCAGCGCATCCACTTATCGGAGCGATGAGCGGACTTTCCGTTATGACCCCACACGGTCGTATCTGACCCATCGGGCCTCTATCTCATCCATGCAGAGGCCGCCGGCTCGCTCGCCGCCGATGGTAAAGGAGCGAGCCTCTTCTGAGTCCCCTAAGGGATTGGGTATCTCCACCGATGAGATCGAGAGTCTCAGCCCGAGCACGGAGGGGTCTAATGAGACCTACCCTGCACAAGATCCGCCGTCTCGTTCCCAGTCGCAAATGCAAGTACGCGACCTGCACAATCAGATGAAGGGACTTCACATCAAGATCTCTAGCCTGAAGGTCAAAACGCAGGAGGATAATTTGCGCCGGCGTAGTATGCAAAGCCTGCGGACTCCGAGTCCCTTGAATGCTGCTGATCAATGGTACCCTAATGCTCTGGACCTGAAAGGCCGCCACAACAATCTTAAGCCCAACGGTGCACAGGGCCAGTCATCGAGCCATTCGGCAGAGAATCTATACCGTGGCGAATTTGGCTCTGCTGTTAGAATCGAGCCTGACACAAAGACGCGGCAGGCCGAAACACGAGAGCAGGTCGCAGCGCATCATCCAACCGGTTACACGGGACATCAACCAGAAGATGGGTCCGAGCTCGATGATTCGCAATCGGTGAGCGAGAGCCTGTATGAGGATGCGCAAGAGGGAAACTATGACGAGAGCGGCTTCTTGACTTCTGATGCCGACCGTGAGTCCCTGGATGATAATCTGGACGATACACTGGAGGCTTTCCCTCCCGTGCCCCAGAGTTTCCAGGACACACCCCACGAGGAGCGAGAGGATGCTTTTGACTACGAGCATTTTATTCTGCATAGCGCATTGGGTAATTACACCCAAGCTCGGCTGCGTCGTGAGAGCAACGGTTCGACCAGCTCGGTGGAGACCACACGGCCGACCGACCACCGCTCCGTTCGTCACTCACGGGCTAATAGCACGCCATCGCTCTCCTCGGTAGCGACATTTGAGACCGCCATCGAGGGGAATCATGATGGCCTGGAGAGCGTTCTCTACTGGGACCGGAAGTTCAACGATGGTAAGTTTAATGCTCCACCTCTAACACGCGCTCGTGCTAATTTGCCCCAGAATTCAAAAATCGCCATCCGGCGGGCGGCGAGAGCTCGGAAGGAGCTGACATGGAAGACGAAAGTAACCCCCGCACTCTTCGGCGACAGCCTAATCGACTAGTGAGCAGCGACAAGGACTCAAAGGTCAATCTAATGCCACCACGATCCGAGTCAGCAATGACAGGAGCAGCGACGCCGACATCCCTCGCATCGTCTCTTGTGTCCACCGTGCGTGCGGCGTCTAGCTCCCATACCAGTGCGTCGGCCAATGGCAACATGGGACTGAATGATGATGACACACAGCTTCTGGAACAGCTATTCCAGAGCCTCGGGGATGTTTGTACGGAGCTTCAGACCATCACCACCTCTGCACATCCTGATCTTAAACAGGTGCGACTGTTGAGGCGGCGGCTGGATGCCGCTCGGCGGGTCCTCGATGGAGAGTTGGACACCTAATTATATGTGTAATACAGCGGTTGATCATCGATAGTTGATTTCTGCAAGAAGATTGGTGGGCAGAGCTGCTGTTTTTGTGTTTGCTGTTGAAGCAATCTAGGCGAAAGCCTTGGATATGATACCCTGATTTTGATTTAGCCAGTGCAGGTTCATTACCAGTAGAGTATATATGCAGAGTTGATTGATCGAAAATAATTCTATGCAGATGCCCCAGCCTGACCTTGAAGGAGCGTAAACCCAGCCTTAGTAGAGTAGTGCCGTGTTTCAACCATGAAGACGGTTGTATACAGGATATCCCGAGGCATAGAATTCGATCACTCAAATAGGCAAAGCATGACCCCACCCCCACCCATGCACGTGCTTTCGCAGTTCTTTCGCAATGCGACGCGCCACGCGCAGCAGCCACATCCTTCCCGGAAAGTAAATAATCCCATTATCATGGCACAATGAAGGTCCACACTCCGACCACTACCACCACCATTAGCACTAGGGTCAGATATCCTCTCGAAGACTTGCTATCCATTGAGTGATCTCGTGTCGAATCGGACCCTTTCTTTTGTTGGTTGCATCGTCCTCGATCTCTCCGTGCGTACTTTTTGCCCCGCACCCCGTAAGAAATAATTCCGACTGACAACCCGCCACAGGTACAGTACAGCAATCCTGAGACCTGAGTGGAGCAAATCAGGCTGGCTTGATTTGACGACAATCTACAGCCCTACTTCAAACAAAGAAGAGGCAATTGAGTGCTTGCACGGGTCTCTACTATTAGATCCTCGAGAGCGATTGAATCCGGCGCAAAGGGGCGCTTATTTTCCTCCTCAAGCTTGTGGAAAAAAAAAAAAAAAGAACCTCGATAAGACGTCCCGCCAAGACAATCACCCACCCAGTACTTTCTCAAACGGAGTGTCATACATCCACGAGAGAAAGCCTGCGCAAACGAACAAATAAGGGGAAGATCTCAAACAACACCCAAGATACCCAAGTCACAAAAACATGTCCCCTCAACCCCCATCCCGCCGCCTCCTCATCTTCCAAGAAGCCCGGCACCCGCAGACAGCCGAGGTCGTCTATCTCCCCGTCAACAAACTGGGACTGCCCATCTGCGGTGACGGGCCCGACTTACCCTCGATTCTGGAGCTGCCGTTACGGATCCTGAAGGCCTTTACGGAGATCTTTAATCAGCCGAAGTATAAAGGATGGTGAGTGTGTCCTTTCCTTCCTCCCTTCCTCTCCTCTCACTTTGTTATGCGGGTGAGTGGGTGGGTGGCTGACGGCGCTGATTAGGGCTGTTGTGTCGGCGGGACCGTATCATGATACCTCTGAGGAAGGGAAGTATTATGCTGTGGTGTTGGAGCAGACGACATCGGGGCAGCATTCGGAATCGATGGGGTCGATTTTGTGATGGATGATGAGAAGGGTTGATTATGTGCGAATGTCGCTTGATGTGTTATGCTTTGCTGATATCTGTATATTGTTGATATGATTTGATGGTTGTTCTTTTGCTCTGGCTTGGGCTAGTTGTGTTCTGTGTGGACGGAGTGTGATGGGTTTTCTGATTGAGGGAAGCATCTGTAGTATCCTGTTTTATCTTATTATGGTTATCATGGCTGTTCTTGCTTCGAATGCTATATACCCTATCTCGTTGTTATTCTTCAATACTCGTGGTCCGCTCTCTGAGTCTTCAGTCCTCTGGCAGTGCCTGTTTGTACACTTGATATGCCGGGTACCCTATGCCTAATGTTGGCAATATCCGTGTGCCTCTACATATTGTTTCCACGCAGAGTCATGATATACAAGTAATGCTTCTCTGCCAATTCTATACACGTAAGATAGTAAAAATTCGAAGCTGAAAAGCGAGCTCATCTTCTGCAAGCTTGAGTCCTACCCATACACCTTTGACTTCAGTCGTAAGAAGGTACAGCTTGATCACTTGTTCTTATGGTTCTGCATCCAGCCAGCCTGCCGATGTATCCCGCCTTCCAAACTGCCCCCTCGAACAACAGTGAATGAAATAGGGTCAGGGAACTGACCCCGCCACGTCTGTCCGGAACCATTGAATGAATCTCACGGGAATAGTTCCATTATCCAGGCCTATATAAGCATCCAACTCGCCCCTCGAACTTCTTCCCTCCCTCCTCTTCTTCTCGTGACCCATCAAGCATCAGTTTTGCTCATCTCTAAAATATCTTAACATATCTATCTAATAGCTCCACCAGCCAAAATCCATTATCATTATCATGCATACATAGAAACACAGTCAACATCCACAATAAGTCTTAAGATAGTTCAATACTACAAGCATCCCTAACCATCCATAATCTCAAAATGTCTACCTCAGTCATACCAGCCGAGCCCCAGCTCGCCTCCTACAGATTTGAACCTCTAGTGCAAATCGCAACGACTCTGTTTGCATACACCATAGCCTTGCTCTCCACCATCGCCAACAACTTCAGCGCAGGACTCTTCGCTGCTACATAGTATGCTCTGTCCTCTTTTCCCCATGCTACAATCAGCCCATCCTACATACCCCCACAAGGACTATATCAGATATACCCCACCCCACAATCAACCATCCTGTAACCCCCCCAACCAAAATCTACCACATATAACCCCCATCCCAAACTAAACCAAGAAAACTAACACTAAATAGTGAACACATCACCCACCCCCTCCTCGGCCACTCCCCAGCCTACATCGCAAACAAAGGCATAGAAGCCGGCACCAGCTCCGCAGCCGTGCTAGACTCCTTTCTCATGCTTCCGGAAGCGGGAATCACCACCGACCTGGCTCTTTATCATCCTGCTGGTGACGAAGACGATGAGTTTGGGTCTGAGAGTACGGGCTCTGGCTGGTCAGGGACATTCTTCGATAAGAAGATCTGGGAGAAATTTGATGAGTATGTTGCTTGGATTTTGGCTTCTTATGTTGCGGAGAGGAATGCGAGGGCTGAGTTGAGGGTTGGGGGTGATGTTGTTGAAGAGAATGGGGAGGTAGACGAGGAAGAGGTGGAGGAAGATGAGGAGGATACGAACGAGGACCATGATGAAGAGGATGACTACGTGATCATCAATGACGACATGTTTGACGACGACGAACACGAGGACGAGCAGGCTCCTCCCAAGCACGATAATACATCAAACCAGGGCGTCGGCGCCTCGATGGCCCTGCTCGAACTGCATGATGCCAAATTCAAGGAGATCATCGCCCAGCACAAGGGGTCCCTCACCCGCGAGACTCCTCGAATGCAGATCAAGCGGAAGGTTGCTCAGCTTAGGCATGTCGTGATTAACAAGGCTTCGCCTATCACGGAGGCGGAGTACAATAGGCTTGTAGCCGCCAGCTATGTCTCCTGTCTTTCTCAGTCGGCCTCCAGCAAGGGTTTCATCTCTCCCAGCTCAGTGTCCAGCAATTCCTCAAAACCTCCTCACTCGGCCGCCAGCACTGTCTCCGTTCCTACCGGCTGTATCTCCAGAAATGCCTCCATCTCCCCCAGCTTAGGGTCCAGCGATGTTTCTAAGCGTCTCCAATCAGCATCTACCAACACCTCCATCTCTTCCAGCACAGTGTTTAGCAATACCTCAAGCCCTCCTGGCTCAACCTCCAGCAATGCCTTCAGCCAGCTCAGCTCAGCGCCCAGTAATGGTTCCAATCCTCCCAGCTCTAACACCAGAAAAGCCTCCAAGCGTCCTCACTCGGCCTCCAGCAATACCTCGAATCCTCCCTCCAGTAATGGCCCCATTCCTCTTAGCTCAGCGTCATGGGGGAATGCCTCACTCCCACCCAGCTCAACCTCCAGCAACGCCTCCACTCACCATGGAACCTCAACCAGCGCCGTGCCCTGCACATCCACCAGCCGTGCCCCTATCCAGGCTACCTCTCCGACGAGCAGTACAGTCCCAAGCACTTCTTTGATGAACGAGCCTCCAACCGGCACCATACCCAGCACCAACATCCGACCCAAAGAACAAGAACAGCCCGAAGAACGACCCTCAACCTCCAGCTACCACCATCCAGAATCAACCACCAGCACGCCTCTCACACAAGAGCCACAAGATACCACACCCCCAGAACAACCCACACCCACAGCTCCAACCTCAAGCCTCAACCACAACCCAGAACCAACCCCGTCCCCAACGCCCTCAACACCCAGAATCAAACCCCAAGAACTGCAAACACTCCACCCCCAACTCGTAACCACCACACCCCTTAACCTTAACCGAAACTCCCAAAACCCCCAAATCACCCCCAACCAAACGAACCCCCCAACAACAAAGCTAACCGTCGAAGAACGCGAAGACCTCCTAGACCTAAAAACCACGCTAAACCTCCTGCTAAACCAGACCGCCATGCGAATCGACAAAAACCCCAAGTACGCAGAGCACGCCGCCCTCGCTCTCCAGCACGCCGCAGCGACAGTGACCTCCCTCGCAGCAGCGCCCCGGATGCCCCGGTCCCCCCCGCGGCAGCAGCAGCAGCTACCGAAAAACTTCAAATCCGTGGGATTCAACCCCATGGTCACCCGCATCGAGACGAAAGTGTGTCAGCGGTATTTACGTACGCGGGCGCATCCGGATCCCGTTGGGGACGGGGAGGTGATTGTTCGGGGGGATGTTTCGGGGGTTGCGTTGCGGAAGGGAGGAGGGGGGGGGGGGGGGGGGAAAAAGTTAAAAATTAATTATTTAATTCTTAAGGGGTGGGTTTGGGTGGGGGTGGGGGACTATGGAGGGAGAGGTGGTTGGGGAGGGGGGGATATTTATTTCTTATCAGGGTTTTGTGGTGTCTAGTTCAATGCAGGTCTGGTTTAGTTCGTTTGGGTTGCATTGTTGGTGCTATTCTTGTGTTCATGCTGGATCTTTACTTTGGGGAAGGGAGGTTCTGATCTTTTCAGAGATGGATGAGGATAGGAGGGTGCTCTTATGCAGTATAGCCTGTCTTTTATGGACTCTCTTTCTATATTGGGCCCGATATGGGAATTATGACCACCACTTAATCTAAAGGATCTGGCACCAGCGGAAGTTGATGTTAGAAATATCGTTCCGGGTTCTATTTCTGGCAGACGAGGAATATTTTAGGGAGCGTTTTACCCCCTGGAACAAGAAGAATGGATTCATGACATAGTCCGATGAGTCGCCTATCCAGATATTTCCATTACGAACGGAGACCTCTCCCAGGACTTCGTAAGATGCAGCAAGAGCCCATTTCAGACCATCCCAATACATAGCAGCCAACACCACACTAATCGACACAGACACTGTAACTGAAGTAGGGAAATTGATTGTTTTGAGATTATTAACAGATAATATCAACGTGCAACATCATCAACGACCAAACCTACCTCCCTGATTCAGTCAACCACCTCACCACCCCACTGCAAAATAAATGAACTCCCCCATACCAACTAATATTAAAGCATACTCACTACAATAACAATAACAAGAACGACAACTAAAAAACCTTCAGGCACAAGATATCGCAAAGACAAGTCGAAACGAAATCCGCTTAATGTGGAAGTAAGTAAAAGTGAAGTAGGAATCAAAATTTCTCATCATCAGGGTCATTCCGCTTAGTTTTGTTTTTGAAGGTGTGTGGCGTTTTTGCTTCCTATTCTTTCTTGGTGGTAACTGTAATGGTAACACACAAGGTTCAACTAGCTAGCTAGGGAGGTAGGTAAGATAGACGATAGGCAAGATATGGTCAAAAGAAATTAGGTGTAGACGTTGGATGGGGGCAGGAGTTTGGCTCCGTAGCGGAGGTCGAGGGAACGAGAGTCGGCAGGGTCAAAAACGGTGGTTTGACGCTGTTCGAGAAACAAGGCTATTGGCTCTGTCAGCTTCCTGGTTCTTGAGTGGATGAAGGGCAGAAGGGAGATCTTACAGGTGATCTTGATCATGTCGAACCAGCGCGCCGCGTTCTCGTCACTCCCGTCCACCGCCTTGAGGATTCCGGTATCGGGGCGCGGAGTCGCCTTAGGCGGTAAGCTGCGCATCTTCAACAGCATATGCAAGATATCCGAAAAGCGGTCACCCTGGCTGGCGTAATAAGTAGGGCGCTTGTCCAACGGCCACTGTCGATGTGTTAGTATGCTTGAGCGTAACCCTCAAAATCATGCCACTTACACGCTGAGCGAAGTTGTCGTCGTCCCAGGAGCGGAATAACCAGCAAGTCCTCTCCACACAGTTCAACAAGATGATCGCTACCAGGAAGGTCTCAAACCAACCACTCTGCTGGCGCTGCAGAAGTCGCCGCTCGAGGTCGTTCATCACCGACTTGCTCAGTTGGGACGCACGCTTCTCGGTTGCCGCACGCAGCTGGCAGCACAGCAGAGCATATGATTCGTTATTGGTGACCTCGTCGATCGGTGTGCGACCATCATCGGAAGGCTGCGCGAAAGAGTGCACCGAGGTCGGCGGAAGAGTGGGGTTACAGTACGTCTTCCACTGCAGCTCCGAATCCACTAGGATATGGGTAGCAATCCACAGCTCCAACACACGTTCCAGCAACATGTCCTAGGTGTCTGTTAGTAGCGTGTCTCGTATACCCAGCGATGGAAACATACCTTCTTCTGCTGACTTAACTCTGCTGCAAGCATCAAGGTGGGTCGCATGAACTCCGAAGTCTCACGCTCATAGAAGTAGGGCGCGGTCTTCTTGATGTACATCTCGATCTTGCCGGGCAGGTCATCGGCATCGCTATCCAGCAAGTACAGCTCAGAAAGAGGTCCCTGGAATTGTGTCTCATCCCCCAGACCCTGCAGCTGAGGATCGAGTGTGGAAGCAGAAGACTTGTGACCGTGAAGCGCGCTGAAAGTGACGTAAACCAAGCTCTCCTCGAAGTGAGTGACCTCAATACGACCAGCGTAGTGTTCGAATTTGACCTGGTTTCGAATGCCGCTCACATCGTGATATGCCAGTGTAGCGTGCAAGTCTGTGACTATTAGCGCCTATCCAGACATGACCGGGAACACGACAAACATACTTGCGTTGTAAAGCTCGAATTCTTCGGCAATCCGAGTACGGATGCAAGGGTGCTTCCACAGACGAGCGCTCTCGACGCTAGCACAGGTGGTGCAAGGACTGTCTCCGGAGCACTAGACATGACCTGTCAGTAGAACACTAACCAGAATGGTAAGACCAGTCCATACCGGCTTCTTCAGCATGCGACAGCGAATACAAGCGCCCCGCTTTCTGACCTCCTGGACCTCCCTGCGTCGTGCAGCGGAGAACCGACCGCGCACCTTGGGCTTTGTAGGCTTAGTCGAGTTTCCAAACTCGTTCACGAAGCCCTTGGCTTGCGAGTTCGGATTCATCGCAATCGGACGGGGGAAGGATGCTGCGCGCTGCGTAGCGGCGGTCAGGGTAGGGTCGTGTTCATGAAGGCTGTCGAAAAGGAGCTGCTCCTGGGTGGAAAGCTGTTGATTCCAAGGCGGACTCATTTTGGGAAGGCCGTCTCCAAGTCCGACAGTAGAATCTTGGTCCATCGGAAGTCCGTGAGGCACCATCTCACTCGCAGAGGCGGCGATCATGGACAACTGTGACTGACGCGCGTTGGCAGCGGGATCGGTCGCGAGGGACGCTTCCGCCATTGCCGGAGATGCAGACGGTTGTGGTTCGGCTGGGGAACTACTGGGAAGGGAAGGCAGGGAAGAGGCGTTGGAAGCTGGTTGAGGGGTTCCTGTGGGCGCGCAAAAACGACATTAGTGAATGGACCACCCCACACAACCGTGTTGCTAACAAAGTTCGAATGCAACCAGAAAAGAAAACAACAACTTACCAGGTGGCTTCACATCCTCCTCGACCGTCTCTGGCTGAGTCGGATTACCCTGGAAGCCCTCGGCCTCGAGTGCAGGATCCACGACGACCGTCTTGCCTCCAACCGTCAACGACTGAGTGTACGCGGGCCCGCCCCGTTTGGTCTGGTCGGAGGCGCCCACCTGTCTCGAAGCCTCGGCCAACACGTTAAGCCCGTCGAAATTCTGCCGAGCTGCAGCCGTGAAGGGCAAATCCACCGACTTGCCTTTGTTCGGTCCCGTCACGTCTTTGTTTTGATCGCCGTCGGCAAGGTCGGGAAGTTCGTGAAGTCGCAACAAGACGCGTTGTCGGTCGCGCAGAGGGATCGCCTGACACTTTTTGACGAGATGGTTGGTCAGACTATCGATGCGACCCTTGGGAAATTTTTCGCCGCAGGCTTTGCAGGTGTGTTGGTAGCGATTACTGGCGTCCTCGAGCTTCTGGCCGCGGATGAAGAACTCGAGGATCAACTGATTTGGCTTGCGACCCATTGCGGAAGGCGTGGGTGGCAGAAGACACGAGGATTGGGGGGGGGTGGGAAGGGAATCCCAAGGGTCAAGGGAATCGAGGAGAATCTCGAGTCACAGACCCTGGTTTGGGAAGGTTATTCAGAGATGTTTTTCTTTTTCCTTGAAGAATAGGGTTGGAGGGAAAGACCGGCAGTAAAATGGAGCACGACCGGAGTGACGCACACAGGGGAAAGCGGACGAGGGGTGGAAGAGGGAGAGCGGATGGCAAAATAGCAGTTGGCCACAATCCCGACCGGCAGAACCCACCACCCGCTCGAAGATCAGGTCTCAGTGGGTCAAAAGGGGTGGGAAGAGTCGCGACAGAGGCGCAAAGCAGTCAGTAAGGCAATGACGGCAATTGCAAGAGGGGATCGGATGACAATGCAGGTGAGGGATGGGGGAGGAAAGAGTCGAAAGGAGTGGGATGGAAGGGAATAATGTTGCGAGTCGCGGCAAAACACCGACTTTTACACGGGCGGTCTGTCACTGGCCGCCCTCCAAAGTCACGGGTTGGTCGGGTTTCGGTTGGGATGCGCTTCACCGCATGAAAGGCGGTGATGAGATCGGTGAATCTTCTCCAAGTGCTGCGTGTGGATGTATGTGAATGTAGATGAGGAAGAAAGAATAAAAAAGATGAGTTGGAAAACACCCATCCTTCTTACCTTTGGTCTGTCTGTTTGTCTGTCACTCGTTCTTCGCTAAACCCTCTCTGTGCGACCATCACTGGCTGGTCCACCTCTCACATCCACACCTCCCTCCCTCAATGCTTCTCTCTCTCTCTCTCTGTGTGTCTTTCTTACACTCTTACTCCCTCCCTCTCCTCAATCTCAACCATGAATCTAACCTCCTGTGACCGCCTTTTCTTCGGTCTCGGCTCCGAATCACAACTAAACTCTACATGGACTGAGAAGTATCGTATATACATGTTATCACTGTTACTAGTGGCAATTTCGAGTCTCAATGTAATACAAATCAATTCAAGGGGTTTGAAAACACCCAGAATAATTCAAAAAAACACCCTCAATGAACCACATCATTCATTCCCGCTGTCCAGCCCCTCCCTGGTTTGACTGCGGGAATTTCGGGCCTCCGGGCTGTTGCCGTGTATGTACGTACGGTACATACAGCTAGCGATCTGACGCACGGAGAGAAGTCGGTCTGAGATGCCAAAAAAGCCAATGCATCACCACTGGGTCCCAGCTGGCAGCTCCGATGTTATCTGTCATCCCGCTTCCCGTCCTGCCCCTACGTGTCTTTCGAGAGGCAGGTAAACCCAGAGACCCGTTTGGGCACATCAGCAGATGCGATGCTCGGGAGGCCGCCAGGGAACTCCCAGTATCTCGAAGATGCGTCGCTCATCGCGTCCCTCGACCAGCCGACCTGTCGTCAGTTTGACCCGCTGGGGTCCGCGTAGCACATCCGCATAGAGCCCTCGTTGGTTGAGCCGCATGCCCTTCTTGCTGGCCAGAAGTCTCATGCTTCGGTTGAAGATGTCATTGCCGGTAAAGTAGATCAAAGCTGCCCCGATCTCGGATCCGGGCACGAAGAGCAGGTCAATACGTCGCCAGAGCCGACCGTCAGGAAGCTTCGAGGCCCCGTGCCACTTGGATCCATCCCCGCGGGAGGTGGCTGCCAGGCTGGTTTGTAGAAAGCCCTGCTGGAAAAGCCCCGGGACAACGGTCTCGACCATGAGGGTCTGAATCTGCTCGATTGTAGCGGACGGCTTGGTAATGATCAGGTCGACGTCGCCTGAACTGGATGCACCACGTCGGTAGGAACCTCCAATGATGACCTGCATCGCTGGGTCGGCCTTTCGCACTGCCGCCCGCACGATTTCACCATGCACTTCAACCTCGTTCCGTGGAATACGCTGGGCGAAGTCGTGATAATGCTCCACGCCCACCCGCTGATTCGGAGTAAGGGGCGCTTTAGTTCTCAAGTCCTCCAGCGACCGGTAGCCTTGAGCAAGCCATCTCGAGGCCTGGGTGATGCCAGCGCCATAGACGCCCAGAAACTCCTGCAGTATCCGATCTTCGGGAGTACTGCTGGCGTTTTCCAACCGACGCAGACGGTTCGTGAAGACAATCTCTTCGATTTTGTCAGCCAGACGCGTGCCGATCCCAGGCAGGGACAGAGCCTGGGATCTGGTGGCGATTTTCTTCGGATGTTTCCGAAGGGCACTGATCGCCTTGCGATAGGCGAGCGTGCGCCATTGATCACCTGATCGATCATAGTAGTCCAGCATTTGCTGGAGGACGGCGATGGTCCGATTGTTCGCATTTTCAGCATTGGCCTTTGTATCATGCTTCTGCATGCATACAAAACTCTGCTGCCAGGCCGATCGCGCCCCATCACTACTACGTGCGCTCATCTTCCTTTTCTTCCGGCATGAGGCGGCCGAATCAGACTCCTCAGAATCTGATGTCTCAGCCGTACTGGGATGTTCATCATCAGAGTCTAGAGGCTACGATCGATTAGATCGAGTCTCCAGGCGAGTTCTTTGTCTGCACTCACCAGGTCTTTCACAGCCTTCGCTTCCTCGATGATACAGTCCAAAACATCCCTCTCGCGAACAGGCTCGGAGACAGCAAATGTGTCTTCCACGCACTCGATGACCGGATCTTCAGTATATAGCTCAGCAGGTTGTTGTTCGATAGCCTGCCGCTCAGTGACCTGACCCCCAACAACCCGAGCATCCACCTCAGTATGCGAGAGTTGTAACTGCGTCTCGCGCTGCAGCTCTCGTCTGCTCGGTTTCAGCGGCAAAGACCCACTCTCTGGAGGATCTTCCACAGACGAAGAACCTTTTTCTCCTGCAGGGACAGGTGTACTGGTGACGCGGAACCGCACCTGGGCGGTGTTTAATACGGAGCGAAACTTGACGCACTCAGAGGGGTAACTTTCGTCCACGAGCGCAACTTGTGGCTGTGTCCATGTCAGCGGGTGTAGCTGGTCCCAGCTCTGCTGTCTGCCTACCTACCGGGAACGTCTCGAGGTGTAGATGCTTCATGACGTCGTGGAAGGTGAGTCCCTTGTCGACTATGAGATGGGTGACATGGTCACCCCAGGTATCTGCGGCAGAGGCACCATAGTCCTGCGCGCGCTGGATGCGCAGACGTCGAAGGCTAGACGCGCTGTTGTTCGGGAAGAAGACTGCGGACGACGAGTATGTGAGTTCTGGGCCAAGCTTATGAGGCGATAGTGAGAGCAATCTTACGAAAGACAAGACCTTTGAAGACCTGCAGTTGTTCCGGGATAGCCCTGGCCAAGTATTGTCGTTTACCATTACCCGAGGCAGGTACGGCTTTTTTGTTGCGAGTCATCTCCACCTCAGTCTTCGAGCTCTTCAAGACTTGCACCTCCGCCTGGATATCGTCTGTTCGTGCAATCACAGGATGAGACTGATTAACCTGCTCAGTGCAAACTTTAATAGCAGAAGACGCTGCAACCACTCGGACTTCAGATTGAGTCAGTTTCGACCTGGGAACACCAGAGCACCCATCTTTTATACCTTTCTTCAGCGAAGAATGAAGAACGGGGGTCACTCGATCGTCCTCCTCGTCCGACAAAGAATCTAACCGCTCGAGGGCCTCAAAGAAGGCCTTCTTGGCCGCATCCGCCGACGCCATGGTATGGTGGCTGAGGTCGCGACACCCAGAAGCCGTCGAGCCATGAGTAGTCCTTGCGTCGGTGCTGCCTAGTAGGCAGACGAGGTAGGCACGATACAAGCAAGATTACAATAGAACACAAGGTGAATAACCAAGGGGTGACACGAGCAAACGGAGTAGTCACGCGTAGCCCGAACCACGAAAATGCCACCAAGTCACGGGATCGACGACGGGAATCAATTAAAGTCGGGGACTGCAGGGGTGGATCTGGAGCCCAGCCTGTCCGTAGGCGGAACTACGGCAGTTTTGCATACAGCTCCGACAAACCAATTCCAACAACATCCTCGCACCGAGTCACCCCAAGCGAAGCCCTCACGATGTGGAAGCCCAACAGGCTCGTGTCGTCCGTCGCAGACCTGCAAAACGGTCGCTGTCTCAGCTGTCAATTGCGCACGGCGACGGCGTACCTCCACAAGCCAGCGCTGCGGTACTATACCAACGGCAAAACCAGCAGCAAAGCCTCCGCACCAAGCAAAGCCACGGACGCCAGCAAGAGGGCCGTCGCATCGAAACCGATCTACTCGCCGACAGCGTCCAAGATCCCATCACTATCGACCAGCCAACCAGGCGACAAGGACTTCGTGCCTCCGTCTCTGGACCGACCGATAGGGTCGACCGTGCCACCGCAGGAGGGCCAGAACACGGGCGTCGACGACCGATCGTTCCGGCAACGACGCGATGACTTCGTGAACTACGAGCGACACCTGGAGAGGCGGAAAGAACTGTACGCGATCTTGCCCCTTATCACCCGAACCCATTCCTACCCCCCATCGAGCAACCAAATCAAACCCTCTACACTCCCCAAAAGCACAAAAACTAACCCGCAATTCCTTCCTCGCAGAGCCAACCAAGTAATCCAACCCTACTTCCGCGACTGGAGCAACATGCGTCACCACTCAGGCAAGACCTTCCGGTCGAACACACGGCTCTTCAAGCGGGACAAGGCGCTATACTTCCCGAACATGTGCGGACTGACGCTAGCATCGGCGGGCAAGCCGCGGCACACGACGCCGCTCTTCCGGGGCCGGATCACAGTGGTCAGCCTGTTCTCGGGACTGTGGGCGGAGACGCAGGCGGCGACGTTCACGCACGCGGACAAGAACCCGGGCCTGTACGAGGCGTTCCGGGCGGCTGGCGGCGACAAGGACAAGGACGGCAGCGTCGTGCAGAAGGTCGACATTAACCTCGAGGAGAACGTGCTGAAGCGGATGCTGGTGCGGATGTTCATGGGGTCGATGCGGAAGAAGTTGCCTGCGGCGCAGCATGAGCGGTATTTTCTCGTGAGCAAGGGTGTGGACCGCAGTCTCAAGGAGATGATCGGTATGATGAACTCTAAGGTTGGGTATGTGTATCTGCTGGATGAGAACTGTCGGATTCGGTGGGCGGGTAGTGGAAATGCTGAGCCGCAGGAGTTGGAGGCGTTGAATAATGGCGTGCGGAAGTTGGTACAGGAGCGGCGCGTCAGTGTCGAGAGTGAGACGCCGGCTGCGGAGTGGGCTAGCGAGGAGAAGGGAGAGCAGGTGAAGAAGGCTAGGGTGGTTATGCCTTGATACTCTTGCGTACCAGCAAATGGGGCCCACGGGAGAAGCATCTAGTGTGTGTATATGTATGTACATACTTGTGTTTAGTAGTGTGTGCACTGTAAGATAGAGATGCTAAGCACGCAGACGCAGACAGAGACACCTCCAACACCGAGGGGAGAGAGCAACAACATGCCGTCCTCCCTATTAGTATACTTTGTATAACGTACTTGAAAAAGGAAACAATCCCAAACGCCTCTCGTACCCTCAGTCAAACTCATTATCAACAACCCCAACCCACATCCCCACCACCACCAGAAACAAAACCCTATCTCAACAAAAACACCACCAAGAAGCAGAACCCGATAAACGCCCCGAGAATAACCGCATCCCTCCTCCTCTTGGACCCAATCTTCCCAATCAACGCATTCATCCCCGGCACCTGGCCCGCAGCGCCCACGATCCTGCGATTAATGCTCGCCAGCGTCTCGCGCTGCAATCCGAAGTTCTCGTTGATGGCGTACGCCTGGCTCAGCACGCCATCGATGACGTTGTGGCTCTCGTCGATGCGGCCGCGCTCCTCGAGCATGTAGTCGGCCTCGGCCTGGGCGGGGTTACTGGAGCGGAAGGAGTCGATGTCGTTGCGGACGTTGGAGAGCAGGTTGGCGCGGTCGCGGGCCTCGGCGATGGCGGCGGTCAGACGGGCGAGCTCGCGGCGGTGGTCGTGCAAGATCTCGCGGTGCCGGGCGAGATTGTTCTGCTTCAGGGCGGAGGAGGTGAGGGTCGCTTCGGAGTCGAGGAGGCGGGAGAGTTGGGCGATGAGGGTTTCTCGCTATTTGACTCTGGGTTAGTGGTGGGGAGGGCGCCTTTGTGTAAAGGGAGAGGGATGGCTTGCTCACTCGGTCGAGAATGTCCTTGAGTTGGGATTCGTTGCGGAGTTCTTCTTCGGAGGGGGTCGGCGGTGGTTTGGATAAGGCGGCGTATTGTGAGTAGGTGTGGAATAGGTTCTCGGTCTGTGGGGGTTGGCTGGTTAGTGTGCTTGCTGCGGAATTTGAAATTGGAATAGATGGATGAATGAATGAGTAGGTAAATCATGGTACGTACCTGAGTCTCTAGAGATCGGGCTTGTTGTCGGAGCTGTGTCCAGCCTGATCCGGTTGAAGTAGCCATCTGAATGAGAGGCGGAGAAAATGCAGTGAATAGATTAAGAGAAACGGAAAAATGACGGATGTAGAACAAGTTGAACCGGCCCGAGGTCAAGATATACAGCAAGTACTTGAGCGAAGTTCTGTCCGACCTGCGGAAAACCAACTGTCACAAGCACGTAGTCTAGATGATAGCTAAGTTGAAACTACCAGGCCGCCATGCGCGCGCAGGCGCCAAGTCAGACAGGATGACGCCGCCCTCCGTTGTCCGCTGCCGCTGCCGCTGCCGCAGCTGCCCCATCTTCCCTTTCCCTCCCCTCCAGGCACCCAGGCCGCATTGGACACACCGCCCACACCGCCCACAGCCAGCACAACCACAAAACCACCCGCACCAGCCACACATCACGTGCCCGCTTAGGCCGCCGCACACCCAGAAAAAATCAAACCCTAGTCCCACAACGACCATCACCAAATTGACCCGGTCCATCTTCAATCCCCTTCACGTCGACAACCCGTTACGATACCGACACGAAGCCGCCCACCATGGTATGTTGGAATGCTGTTCGACAGGAAAATCAGCGCTGATGATTTCGTTTTCTGAAAATAGTCGTCCAAGGTCAAGGCTGGTCAGCTCTGGGGAAAGAGCAAGGATGACCTCACCAAGCAGTTGGAGGAGTTGAAGACCGAGCTCAGCCAGCTCCGTGTCCAGAAGATCTCCAACGGTGCCTCGTCGAAGACCACGAGAATGTGCGTTGATACATGAAACTCCCCTTTTGTTGCCCTTTCTTTTGGTTACCTGTGATTGCGAAATTGCGACCTGCGATTGGATGGAACAATGCAAGAGACGGATATTGGAATCTTACAACGACAATCGCACATTCAGAAAAAGAAAAAGAGGAAATGATATTGGAAACGAAGGACAATTCGACAACACTGCGACACTCGCACGACAACAATAAACTTCGCAATCTCCCACCATCAACACAAACGAAAAACTGGACATTGAACAGGCGCAATTCTCGCAACACAAGGAACCAGGGGAAATCCCACGCCCATTGCAACCAACACAACAAGACAAAGAGACATGGAAGGAAGAAACATACTGATTGAACACCTGGAAAAAACAGCCACGACGTCCGCAAGTCGATCGCTCGCGTTCTCACCGTCATCAACGCCAACCAGCGCGCCCAGCTCCGCCTGTTCTACAAGAACAAGAAGTACGCTCCCCTCGACCTCCGCGCCAAGCAGACCCGCGCCATCCGTCGCCGCCTCACCAAGCACGAGGCCACCCTCAAGACCGAGCGCCAGCGCAAGCAGGAGATCCACTTCCCCCAGCGCAAGTACGCTGTTAAGGTACGACGCACCCTGCCAACGTCTTTCTACAAAAGTCCCAAAAACAAAAGGACCAGCAATTAAGTTCGAACCCACGCACTAACTTTGGCACTCACAGGCTTAAATGTAAAGAAACCTTGGGGTTAGGATGGGAGTTTGTTTTTCTTTTAAACGGGAACACGTCAATTGTTCTGAAACAAAAATTGATGAACGGGTTTGACCTGGCACCTTGTGTGGGAAGGGGTCCGGTTTCCATCTAAGGGGGGGACAGGGAAAAGGAAATTAGAACTTGATTTTTGTGATCTTAGAAAGAAAGATGCAGAATCGATGGGCTTTTTCTTTTTCTTCTTCTCTTCAATGAAAGGCTTTACATGACATGATACACCTTCTGTTCCTTGTGCAGAGCTTTTTTTTTCTGTCAGTATAAACGGTAAATACTCGTAGGGTCCGGGTAGCATGCATGGTCTTTTGGTTTAGGTTGGAAGGTGTTTGTGATTGCTTTTCGTAGTAAATAACTATACTCGTCTTAGGACGCCGACATCCTACGTCTTGAAACTGTGGTATTACTGTATAGTTGCTGCATAGTTGCTGAACAGTATCCACGTGTTGGCTATTGATGTTCGCTTCTAGTATAAACCCCAACCAAAAGAATAGAGCAACCAATACATGGGTCTATATTCGCATTCATAGCCGATACCTACTACCCGTCTAACCCCAGAATCTGAATCCGCAAACCTTCAGTCACAACCCACGACCGCAAGATTCCAACCTACGAAGGCCCAATCTGCTTCCCCACCTCACCCGACCCAGCCGCGGACTCCAAAACCCACATCCCACAGCAAATACACGCGCGCAGATATCCCAACTTGAAGATCATGCGGAACGCCAACACCGAGCGCGGCGGATACGAGCCCTCGGAGACCTCACAGCAGCGCACACACCTCCGTCTGAGGTGCTGGCCGCCCGCAGCGGCGGCCATGGCCTGAACCTCCTTCTGCTTGGGCCCGGCGACCGCCGCGGGATGATTCAGCCGGATCTGGGTCTTCTTGATGATATCCAGGGCGCGGGTGCGCCGGAACAGCTCCGTGCGGTGGTCCGAGCCAAAGCCCAGCCAGCTGTAGTCGCGCTCGAGGATGTCCAGGCGGTTGACGTCCTCTCGGAGCTTGGGGACTGTCTGCCGCAGGATCGTGGATACGGCGGTCACCAGCGCCGGCGGGATGCGGGCGCTGACGAGTAGCTCCTTCTCGGGGCCGGGGCGTTCCGCATCGCCGAACCCTGCGCTGTGGTAGGCGTGACGCACGGCCGAGTCGACCCCCGCGAGGAATTTCTCGTACGCGTCGATGGCGGCGGGCGACTTTCCCAGGGCTTGGCAGATCTCTGAGTAGTAGACGCGACCATCGCCTGTGAGTGGGGCGCTGGCGTAGCCGGCGTGGATGCCGCGCAGGCCGCGGCAAATGAAGCGGAGAAAGGCGCGTGACATGCTGGAGAGGAGAATGATGAGAGAGAGATTGTTGGTGGATTTGACTGCCCCGGTTCATGAAGGTTAGTTAGACACGGGGTTCAAAGGGTGGAGCGAGCCGCGGACTTACGTTTCTGGCTGAAAGCTTCTTGATCTGATGTTACATCTTCGAATTCGTCGGCAAGGTCGAAAATCTGGTCGAGGACGTATAATGAAAAGTCAAGGGCCCACTTGGTATTCCCAAGGACCATGCGAAGAACGTCTATGCACAGCATATTGTCAGTGGGTAGGTACGAATTGTGTTCGGGGGTGGTCGTACCAGGATCATGGGGCTCTGCTGGCATCCCTTTATTATATTGGAAGAAGAATGGGTAGAGAATAGAAGCATGACGCAGCTGAAGAATGGACCAAGAGACAGAAGAGGCGAAGCTTCGTTGTTGATTTTTGCCCCTATTCCCTAATGCAGCCTGTATGCTGAGACAGCGTGGAATGTACGGGTGGTTCATCAGCTTGTCCTGCTCAACAGTGAAGTTGCAGTTGATGGGCAGCGCGCGATAGACTTCATTGATGAAGGAGGTTTGAGCGTCTGTGGCTAGCGTTAGACTCAGAGATGTCCATCAAAGACCAAGCAACACAACTGACCAGGCGACAGTTGGCGTGTCAATATTAATAAGATATCGTCCGTATTGACTTCACTTCCGCATCCACGACAGAATGCCAACGTCAATGACGCGATGGCTGCTGAAAATTTGTCTGAACAGTTATATTAGCGCTTGAATTAGCATGGGAAAGACAACAACATACTCTCGTCGTAAAGACCATTGTCTGCCCCGTATGAGTGCCCCATCACCCTAAGCTGTACATGTCCGCTACTGTCCAACGTTACAGCAGCGCAAGCGCTCGGAGAGAAGCTGATATGAAGAGCTATACAAACGGGTTAGACTGGTTAGCTATATCGTCTCCACGAACCGACATTTTGGATTACTGACCTGGAGTGTCCGGGGAATAATGGAACCCCGCTTGAGCCAAGCTAGTCACCGTGCTGGCATCGTCAACCCCGTTGAATGCAGCCATGGTTTTCGGATCGTAGAAAGAAATGGAGCTGTCATCGTGAGTCACTGCTAATACATTGGCGTATTCAACGTGATCGATCGACAAGACATAACGATCACAAAAGATGTCTTCTAGCCGACGGAGCACAGCTTTGGGCTGGACAACAATTAGCATTTCTCATTCTAGAACCTCGACTAGTCTTCAGCCACTAACCTTTATCTGCATACTGTTTCTCTTTGTCGTGACTTCATCAAATTTTGGGTGGAGGGTGAGAGGAGCCGATTCGAGTTGCCATCGAACAATGATACTCGATGGTCCCTGTTGGTGTGGGTGATCAGGGGCTGTCTGGGGGAGGATTGAAAATGTAGCAACGATCCACGGGGTCGCAGAAGATCCTGCAGCGTTATCTGAAGTTGGGAGGATGATATCCAAGCGAGTGAGGCAGTAAAGAGAATTGGGAAAAGGTTGTTGAAGTTCATCAGAAGGGTCTCCGTTGTTGCGCACGGGACCAGGAACGTTGCAGGAGGTCTCAACCTTGCAATGCGCGAAACGGAAGCTGGGCACAGGAAATTGCGGCGGCTTTTGTTTGGGTTGCTGAGCGGGGTCATACTGAGGAGGGTTCCAAATGATTTGCACTCGATAGAAACGGATCGTCTGGCATGTCGAGTATGTCGCAACTAGAATCCCAGTCTGGGTTGCGACCAACGCCGCATGGGTCAACAGCCGGTCGGAGTAACTAGTGTTCTTCAACTCGGCAGAGATCTCGTCCCACTTCCCATCGGGATTCTGATACAATAGCTTGATCATCCCCGACCTGGTGATGTAGACCAGGGCAGCCTTGTTTGCTGGATGGAAGGGACCAATTGGCCGACGACGATAGGGCGAGTAAGCCCAGCGACCCTGTACCTTGGCGGCTTGGTAGAAAGCATGCACCTACAGGGATTTAGTTATCATCCAGAGAGTCACTGCAGGTTACTTACGGAGCGTTGTGTGTTTAGCCACAGCATGCCGACGATCTGGGCACTGTCGTCGGGTTCGAAGGATGGCGCTCGGAGTCCGTTGACACTGTTGAGTGCGATTGGGATGGAATAGACTGATAATCGGCCAGACAGATCAACCACCGCTAGATCTGAGCCAGACTCGTTCCAGCTCAGATGGGCTAGGGCAGTGCCACCATGGGCCTCGGTGACCGGCAGTAACGGCGTTTCATCACTAAGCGTCCATTTGCCATCGGCGGGTTGACACTGAAGGTAACGGACATGGACCTTGGACGGATCATGGGCGATGTAAGCGATGCACCCTAGTTTTGACCATGCGATTTTCCTGGTTCAGATGTTAGTCAACTTTGAGAGAGGTGCTTTGCGATGGGGTTCGACTCACTGGCAGCATCCGAGCAAACGCATTTCATCCAAGCGCTCGGCCAGGCCCTTAGTGGAAGTGGTAGAAGGCAAGCCCAGCTCAAGGGAAGCGGGCTCCCCGAAAAGATCATCGACATTGATACCGTCCTCCATCATTAAGGGCATGATGGGTTGGGGAGGGATGGGATTTGACAGTCAGTTATCACAAATGCCTAAAGGAGAAAGCGATATCGCACTGCCCCGACAGCATAGTTCAATTGCGAAGGACCCCGGAAACAATCACAACTGTGTGGGGTATCTAGGCTCGAAGGCGCCGCAAGGCAGTATCACAATTTAGATTAGATTGGAGAAGTACTTCATTAGTTCATCCACAGCAATGAAACTCGGACCTCCACCCTCACACTGAAGATCCCAAGCATGAATCAAGTTGATTCTCATGATGTTAGACTCAATCATAACTAGTGGTTGTTGGGGTGGAGCCCTTGCCGGGGGACTTCTTAGTCAGCATGTCATGTGAGGTCATGTGCTGTGGTAGCCGGGTCAACGGGGCAATTCACGCGACATCATCAACCCTGATCCCAGGCTGACTTGCTAGAGCTACCAACTACTAGGTAATTCCAGGATATCGAACATCTCTTTCCAGATCGCGGAAATAATGATTCTTCACACTTCCCACGTCAAAGCAATTCAATGGAAAGAAGCGGTCCACTTAATCAGTGCCAATGGGGAGAACAGTCTTGCGGAGATTTTCTGGTAGTATATGCCAGATACGGATGAGACTAGTTCAGCGCTATCAACATCTCTCGACGCGTCTGGTTTTAATACCGGTCGTTCGTTTTCACGGGAGTCCTGTTCGCGTGTAAATGAGCCTTCAACTTGGGACTGCAAAGCGAACCGACCGGGTCTACCACAAACCGGAAGTTGTAGCCAGCATGACCCCGTCATCATTAGCAAGTCGCAACCACGAAATGACAAGAAGAATCTGGTAAGAAACTGATCACTCCCAAGGAACATGTTACGCGTATTCAATTGAAGACTTGTGAACGGGCTCGCAACTGCAATGCGACCGGTCGACCTTGGAGAGGAAGCATCAGCACCTGCAGTGGCCCGGGAGTGATGGAGGACTATAAAAATGATGCTGGTTCCGCCAATCAGCGTGCGGGGAGGACAAAGTAGACAAGAGAGTGTCTAACCGCAAGATCGTTAGGAGTGTAAGAGTCTGGTAACGAGATCAGCCAACACAGTAGAAACACGCGCACCCCAACACCCCCCACTTGTATGGCCATACCAGTTGAATTTTACTTCCCTTCCCATAGTAACCCAAACCACTCTATCAGATCTCTCCATCATATATATCACACAGCCTCGCAACCACCACCAGCTACTCCGTATAAATATATAAATATATAAATATATACTTCCAGACCTTATACTTGTGGCAGCTGCCGCAATTGATACATTCTTCGCAACATACCGACCGTTGCTAGCGTTGGGAATCCTCTTCCCCCACCTTCCTACCTTATTCTCGCCTTGTGCCCTAGGATCTCTTTCTTCGACAACTTGGCTCTTGTCTTCCTCCCGGACAAATTGCCGTGGGTCAAAATAAACACGCTGCAAGCGAGCAGAGGATCTGACCGGCAGCCGGACGGGCGTTCCAGCTCCAACTCCCTTCAGGGTTACTTACTTACTTTATTCTTCTCCTCTTTCCATCATCCCACTTGACCTCATCATTCTCCTTTGACCCCCAATAGTCACGGGGTTCGAGTGTTCTGTTCTTCTGTTCTTCCTCTTCTCTTCTCTTTCTCCCTTCCCCCGCTTCCTCTGTCTGTCTGAGTAGTTATCGTGTTCCTTTTCCTCTTTTTCTTTTTTCTCCTCTTGACGTATTTCTTTCTCCTTGGGTCTGGTTCCAGCTCGTTTGTCAACCCTTTTCCCACCTCCTCCGAACAAAGGAGGATTGAGGAGAATTAAATTCTCTGCTCAGGACCTGTGAACCGCCCCTTACCGGTCCTTCCTCGTCTGCAATTGATGTTCCAATTCTCTCTTGCGTCCTCGATGCTTCTCTCCACGGATCGCTAGGATCTCTAATTTGCGTACCCGACAACTTCCGTCCAAAAAGCTGCTGCTGTCGACCAGCCACCTTTTCTGACGTGTTTCTCGCTCTGCCGTGTTTTTTATCTTGTCCGTCACCACCTCAGGTCTGACCAGATGGCGCCTTCTTCACGATCTCAGACCTCCAGCGCCGCCTCCGTTAAATCCTCCTGTTCCATACCACACAGTCAACTGGCTTCACTGGGGATGGATGATGATTCGGATTGTTCGAGTCTGAGCTCAGCGCCGCCGTCTCCCATGACACCACCAGAATTTTACCCTTCGCCGCCCCCATCGCAGGAGACGGACGAGGCTAGTAGTAGTGGTACTGGTGGTGGTGCGGCCGCCCGCAGCCAAGACGACTTGCCGCCCGCTCGGAAGAAGCGTCGGGTGGCCGTCCCCAAGGAACGCTGCACTCAGCATCTCGACCTATCGTCTGACGCAGCTCTCTCCTATGATCAGCAGCAGTCGCAGATCGACTACCTCGTCAAGACTATCCGCCGTCATCGCAAAATTGTCGTCATCGCCGGTGCCGGCATTTCTACCTCTGCAGGAAGTATGCAACTCGTGCCCATCTCCCACCGTTCCCCACCCTACCTCTCCTTCAACTTAACATCAATGACCGCAAATGATTCTAATCTCCTCGTTACTGCTAGTACCCGATTTTCGCTCCACCGATGGTCTTTTCAAAACTCTGCAGAAGAAGCACAACCTCAAAGCTTCAGGAAAGCTCCTCTTCGATGCTGCGGTGTATCAAGATGAAACCTTGACCGCTTCTTTCCAGGACATGGTACGGTCGCTGTCGGAGGAGGCCGCCAACACATCTCCCACTGCATTCCACCATATGTTGGCTCGTCTGGGACAGGAAAACCGCCTCACGCGCCTCTACACGCAGAACATTGATGGGATTGAGACATCTATGCCCCCGCTGGCCACCCAGATTCCTCTGAACGTCAAGGCGCCATGGCCGCGCACCATTCAATTGCACGGCAGTCTCGAGAAAATGGTGTGTCAAAAGTGTCGTCATCTGAGCAAATTCGACGGTAATCTGTTCGATCGGCCGGATGCCCCCGAGTGTCCGGAATGTGTGTTGACCAACCAATTTCGCATGGAAACGGGCCAGCGCAGTCACGGGATCGGCAAAATGCGACCGCGCCTCGTCCTCTACAACGAACACAACCCCGATGAAGAAGCCATCACCTCTGTCATGAATGCCGACATCCGCTCCCGTCCTGATGCTTTGATTGTGGTTGGCACTAGTTTGAAGATTCCCGGTGTTCGCCGTCTAGTGAAGAGCCTTTGCTCTGTGATTCGGGGTCGTCGCAATGGTGTGACTATGTGGATTAACAACGAACCGCCGAGCGGGAAAGAATTCGAGGACTGCTGGGATTTAATGGTCAAGGGCGATTGCGAAGAAGTGGCGCGACTCGCCGACCTCAAGCGCTGGGATGCTCCGGACGAGGTATTCGATGAATGCAATGTGTCCGAAGCCGAGCGGGTGAAAAGTGAGCAAGGAGAGGTGGAGATTGTCATCCAAACGCCCCGGAAGAAGCAGCGCACGCCAACCGGGTTTCTCACGCCGTCTTCCAGCCACGATGAGGACATTTCGAAGAATCTGTCCAAGACACTATCCAAATCGGCTCGTCCCAACCCTGCCAGCCAGGGGCGGAGTCTCAAGGAAGTCTTGCAGAGTTCGAAGACTGACGGACCGAAGAAGGCTGCGCCCAAGAAGAGCGCGCCCAAGAAGCGCCCAAGAAAGACGGAACCAGCCAAGAACTCGAAGATTAACAACTTCGGCAAGGTCACCAAGGCGCAGAAGCTCACGGCGGACGGCGACAAGTCGATCAAGCTGGAAAAGGAAGACAACAAGCCGATGGTTCCCTTGCCTCCAGGCGCTGCGCGCAACAATGGTCCGATGTTTCCTCATCTGGTGGGCAAGGGCGAATCGACACCTCGGACTACCGGTCGGTGGCGCCAGCCGGAGACCATCTCCCCCAAATCCGTTCCCAACGGGATGAGCGGCCTTCTCAACGAGCCGGCTGCGTAAATACTACTTTATGTTTTTTTTATTGCGCGATTTCAGTCGGGGATTTGTTCGGATCTGGTTTAAGGAGATACCACTGATAGACTATTCGGGGTGCTGGCGTTCAAGGGTGTTCGGAATGAAAGGAGGGACGACCGTCCGCGTGGATTTTTCGTCGCTGGGGCTTGGACAGCTCTGGCACAGATCGCTTTATCTTATTTTCTACCTCGAGCCTGCGGGCTGTACTGTACTATGATTGCATAATATGAGAACCAATGGCGTTGCCGGAGGGGATATTTCTACGGCATATGATTTTGGCTGTGTTACGAAGAACCGATTTTGTCCGTTGATCTGGGGTATCAACACGCATTGTACATTTGGAACATTGACGCAAGATCTCATCATCGGATACAATCAAATCGTAAGATCGGAAGAGCGTTGGGGAGGGTAATTAACCCAACTCGCCCCTGAGCTGGTTCCCGGGGCCCGACTCACTTTCACTATCGGTCTCATCGCCATCGACATCTGGGTTCATGACTCTGGCGCGACTCCTGGCGTCTCCGGCATCCAGATCCTCCACCCGGTCGATATCCTCATCATCCTTATGCTCCTGCTCGTCGTCCTCTTCGTCGTCGTCCTCTTCGTCCTCGTCCTCATCCTCCTCGTCATCCTCCTCCTCTACCTCCTCCACCTCCTCCACCTCCTCCGTCTCATTCCCATCCGCATGCCCCTGCTCCTCCTGCGTCTCATCCCCATCCGATCCTTTCACGCCATCCCCCTTGCCAGTCTGTGCCCTAGCTCCAGCCCCAGCCGCAGCAGCAGCAGCAGTAGTAGTAGTAGTAGCAACAGAACCCCTCTTAACCCTCTTCGCGCCACGATCCCGATCCTGATCCTGATCCTCCTCCGCACCCTTCTCCGCGACAACCTCCTTCTTCCCCCTCCTCTTCCCAGCCTTCAACTCCGTAAACGCATCAAGCTCCTTCTCCAAGCGCGCGCGGAACGAATCAAACTCCAACTCGGAGATCGCACTGAAGACGTCCGAGGGTGCGACGGTGCGTTTGAGGGTTGCCTCGTTGGCGCTGCACGGTACAGAACATACAGATATTAGCTTTGGTGTTTTTCCTACTCCCGGGGATGTGTATCTATCCAAGCAAGTTCATCCAGATCAAGACAATCGGGTGGGGGGAGGAAAACACGCACTGCGAACTCAAGTACGAGACGAAGACGGTGGCGGCCTTCTGGATCGCGAGCACAGCGTCCTTCTGGATGGAGGTGTTGGGCGGGAGGACGGATTTGGCGAGGCGGATTGTTAGGGAGCGGGGGAGGAGGTAGTCCTTTTTCTTTATTAGTTTTCTTTACTGCAGTATGGATTGAGGTGCTCAGGAAGCTGAAAGGAAGGGGGGTCCGGGGGTTCTCTCCCGGAACGTAATGCCTTTCTGGTGCGAGTATGGGTGCAAGGGAGGGAGGGATTGTACCTCGATGCCTACGCCGGCTTCGGCGCGGGCTTTAAGTTGTTGTTCGGTGGCTTCGACGGTTCCTGGTGCGGAGTTTGCATCGGGTTGGGGGGAAGTCGAGGGGGGTTGTTGTTGTTGTTGTTGTTGGGAGGGGGAGGACGCGGTGGTGCTGGGATTAGCGGGGTGATGGTCTGTTGTTGTGCTGGAGGTGGATTTGCGCGCCATTGTTTGGGTGCTTCTTTGTTTCTTGTCTGGTCTGTGGTAGAGATGGGAGGGTGAGAGGTTGCGTGAGGGGATTTCCTCTCGCGCTGGTTTTTTGGGGTCAGGGGTCGGGGGGTCGAGGTTGGTGGTGTTGCGGTCGATATTCAGTTGAAGGGTCGATTCTCCAATTCAGAGCGAGGAGGTGGGCAGCAATGAGGTCGATGTTGGAATCACAGGCAAAGGCCAAATGGTCGACGCGTCGCGATGGAGATGGCGGAGAGAAAAGCGCGTGTGGAGCAGATCCCATTTTCTCTTCCGCGACGGTTATCGGTGGCGATAAGATTGTCTACCGGTGGACGGTATGCATCTATGCTCAGATGGCATGATTCTGGCTCTACCTGCGTTTTGGCATGATGAATATAGTCATAGATTCTTATTCTATCCCATCTTCGTCTTCCTCCTCCTACTGAGCTCAAATCCCATGGGAATTGAACCAACTTCAAGTTTCATGGTGGTTGGAGTATCACTTCCCTTACCGCTTTAGGTTCAACCTGGCGCCGCTTTTGGCTCACTGAGCGGCCGGAGCACAAGTCTGGTAAGCATAACATAAGTGCGTGTCCCGAGCGATCCCGGATTGCTGGAGCAGCGACTCCAATGCACTTGACTGTCACTCTGAGTGCTTAACTGCAGCCTCGATCAAGATATCCCATTCATCGTAACATAAGAATGGCCTTCCAGTGTGAGTTGAGACGGATGCTGACGGGGTAGTAGTCATCTGGCTTGAACCACTAACCAACCCTCGTGGAGTATCTATGGATGTTCGCCGCGCACCCGAGATCACGTATATACATTACATCAAGCCTTAACCTAATACTATACTAAAGTCAAAGAAAATACACCAGATCGAAAGAGACCACTCAATAGCCTTCCCGAGTAAGAAGAACACAACCCTCCTCCCGGCTTACTGTCCTTCACTCCCATCCCCCACATACTCCCACACAAAAGGCACGCTATCCGGATCTCGCATCTGAATAACCAGCAGCTGATGAGTATCCATAGTCATAGCCACCAGGCGCTTCTGCATGGCCTCAAAATCCTTCCCAGGCAGACGGATAGCCCGCAGCCGGTGAGCGCGGAAGCACGCCGCCAGCAGGGCGACGGTTTCGACCTGAGCGAATTTCTGGCCCGCGCACACCTGCACCCCGGCTGACCAGGGGATATAGGTGCCTGGCTTGGGGTCCATGATCGTCTCTTGCTGTGTATCTGCTGCTTTGGCTGTTGTGGTGGTGGCCTGGATCCAGCGTCGTGGACGCCAGTGCTGGGGCTCCTCGGGCCAGTACCGGGGGTGGGTCTGGACGGCGAGGAGACTGGGGAGGATGGCGGTGCCCTGTGGCAGGGTGAGGGTGCGGTTGCTCTCGAGCAGATGTAGTGTGGTTCCTTCTTGCGGGGCGACGGATTTCGGCAGGGCGATGATTGCTGGGTATAGGCGGACGGTTTCGAGCTTCCCTCGCAGCGTTAGCTATTAGCATGGGACGTGGGTAGATGAGAAGAGGTGAAAGAGAGACATCGCCGTACCAGGACAGCGAAACAGCGTTTCAGCCGGGGAAAGGCCTCCTTGTAGCTGCCCAACCCCGGTGTTTGGTCTGTATCTCTAATGGCGGGTATGACCGTTCGGATCTCCTCCGCGATCCATTCCTGAATATCCGGGTAGGCGGCCAGCAGGAACATCAGGTAGGTCAGGGTGTTGGCGGTGGTATCGTGGCCGGCGAAGTTGATCACGTAGATGTTGCCCAGGATCTCATGGAGGGTGAGGGGAGGCTGCTTGCGCGCGCCGCTGCTAGAGTGGCCGGTGGTGGTGACCTCAGACTCGCGGATCAGGGTCGACATCAGCGTCCCCGTGCCAGGCTGACCCCGGTCGATGAGCGCTTTCTCCTCGTTGAACATGGCCAACATATGTTGCCTGAAGTCCTCGAACGCATGGCCGACGCGCCGACACCAGCTGGGCAGGATCGGCAACCGCAGGATCCAGGGAGGGATGACCATGATCAGGAAGGAATTCTCCATCAAGATGTTGAGAGACTCGCCGTAGGAGCGACGGTGATCCCCCGAGCTGGAGCTTTGGAAGGATTGCGCGCGCTTGAAGCCCGTGGCGGCCAGAACGTTCAGGGCTAATATACGAATGTCCGTGCCCAAGCCGCGGAACTGAGAGTCTTTTCCGCGGCTGGCGAGCAGGCCTTGCGTCTGGGAGATGGCCTCGTCCCAGACAAAGCTGTTCAGCCTCTCGTTGAAGGGGGCGGCCACGATCTTGCGGTGACGTTGCCAATCGGCTCCGATAGTCTGAAAATTACATTTGTAGTCAATATCAGCAAATCAAAGGAGAGAGGGCCAGGGTGGAAAACTGACTGTCGCCACATTAGGACCAAAGACATCTAACATTTCTGCAAAGAGTATATTAGAATTAGTTTACCTAAGAAGGAGTATAATCATACTATAAAGCTCAACCGGGCGAACAAAATCAGAGCGACGGTTAATAATCTCCGTGATCGCCTGGGCATCGCAGATATAGACAAACACTTCGAATGGAGTTGCAATCGCAAACGCGTCTCCCATGCGAAGATGTGATTGTGCCTTATCTTTGAATTGCCAACCCCGCCGGCCATAGTGTGTAAGGCGACCAAACTGAAAAGGCAAGCGATCTAGAACATAGAAGATTACTGGTTCAAGTACAACCCAGAGTGGGTTGACAGGGCTGACGGGGAGGATATGGTAGGGAAGCCCTAGTTTCCGGGCCCGGTTGATATTCTGAATCAGACAATAGATGCTATACCAGAGCCAGGCGAGGAGGGCGGTGATAATAATCGAGAGTAACATTTCCAGATGCAAATGACAGGTGCAGAATTTGGAAGTCAAGGTGGGGAATTTGAAGTCCTCTGGGGCGGGCATCAAGGTCTTAATAAAGTCCTGAAATCTGGATGGCAGATCCCAATTGATGTGTGAGACGAAAGGGGGGGGAAGGATGAACAAAGCGAACGGGGGACGGTTAGAATGCGACTAATCTGATTTGACAGGGATATTTGGTGGCTAATGCAGGCTAAAATCAACTGAAATGAGCTGACATTGTCGAGCTATTTCATAGGAAGAGAGCAATCTGGGAGGCATTGATCAGGAAATCACTGGAGCACAGAACATATACTATCGGGATCGCCTCCGTCGCCTTGCGGGTCAGCGTGGGGTACATAGGATAAACGGCTACCATGTGCTCCCAGAACAGCAGCTATTGAATCGCTCCACAATATCGGCCAGGAATGAAAGAAGGCTCCGTAAAGGTGGCCCTTTGCGAAACTCAGCTCAGCGCTAGATAGTTAGTTGGCAAGGATTCTGACTCGACCATCAGCCTACAACAGGGGGGCTTCTCCAGTCGCAATCAAGAGTTCCAGACGGCCTGGAGGACCAGTGGAAACCCAGTACTATAGTACTGTACACTACACATAATCAATGAAGGGACTTAGCAGTATACCTGACCTTCCATCATTCCTCCATTTTTTTTGTCTCTTGTCCTTCACCTAAGCGCTGGTTCTCCTTTTCCTAACCCCAGGACAACTTCGTACCCTGTCTTATCTTCCATACCTTGTTGCCCCAGAGAACAAGTCAAGCACCATTGAGATCACGTCTAATCCCCTCGGGCGTACCAATCAATATTTGAGTGGATGGAACTGAGACTGGTGATCCTGTCACTCTTCTTGAGGTGTTTGTGTAATTTCCTTGGATTCCAGAGATATTCCTGTCGCTATCCCCCAAATTCCTCCCATTTTCAGGCTCTTGATGATGTGGGATGGTACGGAAGCGCGTATCTGCTCACCATAACAGCCTTTTAATCGCTGTACAAATAATCCAACGTCGAAGTGTTTTCGTGGGCGCCAACTGCTGTCTGTGCTCCTCTTGCGATATGGGGAAAGGGTCATACGAAGCCGTGGCGCTGTGCCACTATCATTGGCCTATTAAATGGGGTGGGACTGCTGCCATGTCAGTGCTGTCTGTCTGCATCCAGTTCTAAGGGGAAGGAATATCTGGACTGCTGGGGGTGTTGGATTCTGACTGGGCGCTGCCACCACAAGAGAAATCAACATTACCTCGTCTGATTCCCAGAGTAAGCACTAGACAAGCACTGGACTAGCAAGACAAGCAAGACAAGCACTAACTACTTAGTAGACTAGCCAGAGACTGGTTCAGTGCAACTCATCGCCGACCAGACAACTAAGCCTCGCAACTTCTGGATCAGAGGATTGAGAAGTGTATCCCAGCACCTTTAGTTATGCTGAAGGCAGTACTTCATCTGTAAAGCTCTCATTCTCCTCTCTCCCACGTCTTTCCTGCAATATCACACAAAATGATCTTTCTCCTTCACAATGACCAGGAAGTTGACCGACCTTCTCGCTAGCCGAGGTAGCGAGCATGCGACTCGAATGCAGCTTCCCAAAGCCTTTGACCAGGTCCAAGTGACCTTAGAGCCTCCCCGACTAACAGTGCTCAATCACTCTTTCTCGATAAAGCTCTTGGTCTCTCAATTCTCCTTCCGTGCCATTACTGATCGATCAGTTGTACTAGTGCTACGTTCGGACTACCGTGCGAGCGGGCCGAGAGAACAAACCCTTGACAGTGGATGGATTATTATATATAACATACGGCTCTCTTCAACCTTTCCCACAAGATGACATGAGGGGTAATTTTAGTCATGTTAGCGTATAACTCACGGGGAAGCCCGAGTCCTTATAATTATTTTCATCTCCCTATAGAAGTAGTAAGTTGTTTGTAGATTCTTTCTTATGCACAGTTCAGAAGCTTGGTGCTAGTCATTCGGGAAGCAAGCGGGAGCTGCGTAGGTAGGAGAAGCGACAGGAGCAGCCAGTGCGTGCCCAGTGGATGGTGATAGGTGAGTGCGCACTACTGTACAGTATGTACACAGAATAAATACTCTTGTGCTGCCCGCGCAAAAGCGGCGGCACCCGTGCTGGTACCGGGCAAAGCGAAGGGGCCTGCAGCACAACCCTCCAGTAATCAAATTACTACTACAATGTAATGACAGCGGTGCGTAGATATCTACTCATTGTAACGGTATGCGTTGATATCTTTATACCCCTTCAATGGTAGACCAAGCTGACATGTCGAAGAATGTAAGTAAAAGGCCCCTGGACCCTCTGAGTCTCTACAAGGATAACCAAATTTGTAGTAGAAGAAATCATGCTCAATTATCTACCTTTTATGAACCATAACGCCTGGTATCCTGAACAAATCATCTATTCAGCCATTTCATCATCCTCGCCCTCGCCGTTGCCCCAGAGGCCCTCGATCTTGAACTCCGCCGCCCACTCGGTCACGATCTGTTTCGTGTCCACACCAGCCGCCGCAGCCGGGGCCGCGCCGTTGGCCGGCGCCGTCACCACCTGCAGCACAGGAGGGTTGACCCATCCTTGGATGCGTCCATCTCTCCAGTCCGTGATGACGGTCATGGCCGCAGCCTCGAGGTTGGGCACACCGCCCTTGCCGAGACGGCCACGCTTGCGTGCGACCTGCACCAAGAAGTCGTGGGTCTGGTCGCCCCCGGACGGGAGGAGAGGAGGCACACCGTAGACCTTCAGCAACTTTGCGATGAGATCCTCCGAAGTGGACAACCGCTTGAGCAGCAGGGACACGGCCGGGACCGGGTCTTCAATGTGCTTCGGGGGAACCGCGTTCAACAGGACCAGGCGGGCATGCTCCTCCTGCTTCTTCTTGCCCTTCTTGCTGCTGCTGCTGCTCTTCTCGCCCGCGTTGGGGAAGACAATACCAGGAGAGTCGATCAGCTTGAGCTTGCTGTCCAGCTTGACCTCCCGCAGGCTGGTGGTCACACCGGCCTCGGCGCCAGTCGGGCAGGCGTTGCTCGAGCCCTTGCTCATGCGGGCCGTCAGGGCGTTGATGACGGACGATTTGCCGACGTTGGGGTACCCGATCACACCCACGGAGATGGATCGCTTGAGCTGCTTGCTCTGTGAATATGTCTTGAGAGCACGGAAGAGCGTCTCCGAGGTGCCCTTCACCGTCAATTGCTTGTGGTCGAAAGTGTGCGCATTGCCCGAGCCGTTGGATGCCTTCAGGGGCAGAGTGGGGAAGTAGCGACGCAGGTGAATCAGCCAGTCCTTGAGGACCGGAGGAGGGATGAGATCGATTTTGTTGAGAATCAGGATCAATCGCTTCGAGCCGCGGTCGGCTGCCATGATGGCGCGCTCCACCTCCTTGGACCGAGTGCCCTCCGGATCACGAGCATCCAGCACGTACAAGACCACATCGGCGGCGTCAACGACCTGCTTGAACACCTTGTCGAACGCTTTCCGCGAGCTCTCTTTGGAAGTCAACTGTGCTGCCAATGAAGGAGCGCTGATGTTCTCCAGAGAAGCGCCACCCTCCTCGGCATCCTCATCCATTTCCATATCATCATCATCCTCTTCGTCGTCGTCACTCATCTCATCTTCATCCTCCTCGCTGTCGCTGTACTCAGCGGCGCGAGCCCGGGCAGAAGCGAGCAGCGCAGCCATGGGGTTCGACGAATCGTCCTCATCCATCTCGTCGTCAAGGAGATCGTTCTCGTCGATCATCGCGCCAGCCTGGGCGCCATGTTCTCCGGACTCCTTCTGTGCGGCGCGGCGCGCGCGGGCTTCTTCACGGATGCGTTCCTGTTCCTCCGCCTTCAAGCGCTTCTTCTCCTCGATCTCGTGCAGGATCTTGTCCTTGTGAGGGAAGAGGTTGGGGATACCCGGGTCCTTCTTGATCTTGGACCGCCATTCGGGGTTCTGAGGGTTGCGTTAGCTGAGTATACCATCAGGTATGCATAAAAGCGCTTTACCTTCTTGGCGAGCTTTCTCTGCTTGCGCTGCTTCGCCGCAGAGGCCTTCTCAATCTTGTGCCTCAAGCGGACGGGCACCCGCTTGGAGTTCTTGCCTATGCAGGGGTCAGTTCCTGCAGAAAAGATAGATCCGGAGCAAATTACCTAGCTTGACCATCTTGAAGAATCGGCTAGAGACCAAATCACAAACACAACGAAGAGATCAAGGCCGAGCGATTGATCTGCAAGGCCAGCGAAAATCGAGTCGCCCGAACAATTTTGTGCCGCCAAGATTTGACGCTAAGATAACCGGCCACAAGTATGGCCGATCTCCGAAGGCGGTGTCGGCTCGGTTTTCCCGCTGCGGGACAAATCAATCCCCTAATCGGCCACTTTGTTATCTCCTCCACCGTCATCATCAATTGAGTCACAATAGATTTACTCTTCTTCTCCCTAGACAGTCATTTGTTTACGACGGACTGTGTCCGCTCCTTACTTCGCTCTATCCTATAGGTTCTTTCCTGAATTTAAGTCTCTCTGCTTATCGCCGCCTCTCTTCTGCATCACCAGTCCGCTGTCCTACTCCGGACCCCGCTCTTTATCATGTCCAACTCAACCGGCTCTTTCTCTGCCCCTCCGCAAACCCTCACTTTCGACGGTCTACTTTCCGACTTTGATGGTACCATCATCGACTCAACTGATGGTAAGTCTGGCTCTTCGTGCTGATTTACTTCTATTTATGACCTACATCGTCACATCGTCGCACACTTGAACCTCGATCGATCCGAACTGACGCTCTGATCTTTCTCTTTCTTCCCCGCACCAGCGATCGTGAAACATTGGCACAAGTTAGTCCCGCCCAGTCCTCGCTACAATACCACAAAACCGCAACCCGTACAACTGTTCAAACACGATGGCTAACCGTAGCGAAAAAAAATCGCCGTTGATAGAATTGGTGCAGAGTTAGGCGTCGACCCCGCGACGATTCTGGCCACTTCACACGGACGTCGAAGCATTGATACGCTGCAGCTGTATGACCCCTCGAAGGCCAACTGGGAGTGTAAGTTCTCCGTCTTCTTTACACGCAACATGCACGCCATCACGCAGTTCAAATCAAACTTCCATGCTCCGCAAAGACAACACACACACGATCTTCAGCAACACACAGACCCCCTGCCTCGGTGAAACCACTAAATTAAAAGCCCCAAACACCACTACCGCACAAACCGCACAACGCTGACAACGTTTCAGACGTCAGCTACGTTGAAGGCTGCATTCCCAAGGAGTACGGATCCGACGCCGTTGAGATCCCCGGCGCGCGGTCCCTGCTGTCAGCGTTGGACGAGGCCGGCGCTCGCTGGGGTGTGGTGACATCCGGAACGCGCGCCTTGCTCGAAGGCTGGCTGGGCGTGCTGAACCTCACGCATCCGGACATGCTGGTGGTGGCCGAGGACGTTGAGCTGGGCAAGCCCGACCCGCGGTGCTATCTCCTGGGTCGGACACGTCTGGGTCTGGAGCACTCGTCGTCGCTGGTCGTGCTGGAGGATGCGCCGTCCGGGATCAAGGCGGGCAAGGCGGCCGGGTTCACGGTCATTGCGTTGACGACGACCCACACGCTGGAGCAGCTTCAGGCGGCCGGGGCGGATGTGATTGTTGAAGATCTGCGGAGCATCAGTGTCAAGGGCGTGGTTGATGGGCGGATTCAACTGGAGGTCCAGAACGCCTTCCAGTGAAGATAGATACATTTAGAAGCATAGAGAGGGTTCTAGGAGTTGGAACTCAATTGGAAGTAAGGGAATACCATGTCTCCCTTTCCGATGGACTGTTCTGGATGCGGGTGGAACAATTCATCTCACTTTGTATCTGGAACTGCCTGTTTCTTTGTGAATCGGTGCTGTATCTTCAGCCAGGTATTCTTAAAGAGATGCAGATCCGCGCAACATCTACACTGTACATACCATACACACCTCATAGATAGACATAGACGGTGAGATAGCTGGCTAGTCCAACTCAACTTGCAAAGAAATGGATGATGGAAATACCACCCAGAACCAGACAAGATAATATGCAATCACAGATCGACGACGAACAAGCATCCTACCCCTATGTGATATGTACAGTACTAGGTATGGGTGATAGGTACCCAAGTCGATCAAGCCAGACATTCAGGGTATGGTCTGGGTACCTTTCCTCATAGCCTCACCTCGTACCAACCCTCTCAAACCTCACCTCGTACCAACCCAAAACACACATTGCCCATCCTTCAACCCAAGCTGCCATACAGCACAACAACTGAACCTAAGTTACCACAGACATCCCAGGCCACAGCAATCTTTCCACCCCTTATACCAATCTTTACTAAACCTACACTCCAAACCAAACCAAACACACCATCCTCTCCTCCTCAGAAGTATGTACTCAGGAGTATATATACAGCAAGAACCAAATACTTACCCACACTGACAACCCCCATCCCAAAAACCAATACAACCCACCTACCCACACAAATCTACAGAGTATAATACAGTACTACTTACATACATAAACCCCCTCCTTGCATCTGTACATACATACTGTACAAATACTTCTCCGTACAGCAGTCTCAGTATCACCATCTATAGCCCAGCCCAGCCGATCCCAACCAGCACGGTACATACCTAGGTCCTCAAGTACATAAAGTACATACACCAGAAACCATATTCATCTCCACTACGGTTGATCTTCCGAGGAAATTGTACTGACCTACCGTATAGTTACACCACACCACGCCACACCACACCACACCACACCACACCACACCACAACACGTCGGGCCGGGAAGGGGGCCGGTGGTGGTGGTGGTGGGATTCTAGATCAAGTCTAGACTTCCCTCTTGACTGTAGGTTGAGGGATCCGAGGTCTTGCGATGGTGGAGGTGAGATGAGTGTGTGCCTACTGTGTTTGTTTGCTGGGTTTTGTATGGATTTGAATTCGGGGTGTATAGCTGACTTCCATTGCTATGGGATTTGATAGGGAGCTGGGGTACTAAATTGGACTCTTTAGATTGGTTCATGGTACAGTAGGGGGGTATGGGTTTACTGTTTAGAATAGTGGTTTATATATTTGGGTTGACTGTGGACTTGGTTTGGGGGTTACGGGTGCTGCTATGCGGATGGGATTTGGCTTGGGGTACACGGTGCTAAAGAGAATGGGACTTGGGATTGAGCTCGGTACAGTGGTTACGGGCTGGACATTAACTAATAGGAAGGGAAGTTGAAACTTGGATGATGGATGGTGACTTGGTTGCGCTGTATGCTTGACTGCAGGAAAGACGGGTCGATGGGTTGTTGGTGCGGTCTACTTGCATTGATCTCACAGTTGTGATTCGGGCAATGAAGTATCTTCCTAGCCCTGGCGAGTAGTGGTGGATGCTGGTGGCAATGGTTGTTGTTGTTGCTTGCGTACGAGTGTAGAGCATAGCAAAGGATGAGATCAACATACGGAGTCCAGTCGAAAGGACAGACAGTAGACAGCAGACAGCGAGTAACTGTCTCCCTGTGTCTGCCTGTCAGTCAGTCAGTCAGTCAGTGGCAATTGGCATCCGAACCAACCCCTCTTCGCCCCCGACTTGTTTGCTTTACTCGGTCTCGAAAGGACCAGGGATCTCAACAAACCCCACCTCAGACCATGCATGGCGCGTGGCTTGTTGGCTTGTTTCTACAGTCCTCTTTGTTGTTCAGACAACGGACAACGGTATTGATTCATTGTGTACGTGTCGCAAGTTACGATATAGCAAGCTACCATGCACTTATGTTGTCCGTTCCACAACCTGCACTCGAAGTCACAGGTGATGCAGAGGGGGGAGTGGAGAAGGAGGCAAACAAGTCAACATGCGTATCAGAGAATCCCTCATCCACCTCGAAACACGACTTGAGTTCCGGCCAAACCCCCAAGAAATGAGAGAAAGATCCGCGACTGCGAGTACAGTACTAACGTCTCACCCGGAGTCCCGGGAACCTCGAAACAGTCGGGTTGATCACCGAAAACCCGAAGGTGGCCGTGACCTTCTCTCTGAGGTGCTAGCGGTGAGCCCAGCCCGTAAAGCCTGGATCTTTCCAGAGCAGAGAGAAAGTAGTTACCGGGGTGCAAGCTTCAATTCCGAGAAGAAAGCGGCGACAGAAAGCCCGTATATTTGCGATGGATTTTCCCGATGAAGGATGGCAGAATATTGTCCGACCAGAAGAAAAGAAGCACAGAGTTTCGGATTTCTTGTCATCTTCACCGCATACTTAGAAAAAAAAAAGAAAAAAAAAAAACAAATCCACATCACCGCTCTCTCGCCCTACCGTGACAGGTCTTATCCATCGAGACAGATCCGGAAATCCAGGAAGGCAATATATCATAAGATTAAGTTAAACGGCTGACTGTTGAGGATCGTTCGCGGGCGTGATTCACACCGACAACTCGGAGAGGAGGACCCGGAAGATGTATCATGTATGTATGCGCGTTTGTTTCCCCCCAACGGATGGGATGGGTCACGATTTTGCGCAATTGTAAGTTCCCCTCCGTAGTTCCTTGTAAAAGATAGAAGTTCGGAGAAATAAACAAAAAGGAACAAAACATCAGCGACAGAAGTCGGTCTTATTGCATGGTGGCTGCCGCAGTGCTCTCACCCACAGCTGACTCTGTGTTGTGTATCTGTTTTGCCTTATTCAAACCGAATGCTCCAGTCCGACTGGACGGAGACGCATTTGATGCAGAAACGTCCTTTGACATTCAGTAACTAGACCGGAGGTGAAACGCGACAAGATGAAGCGCGGCGCGACAGACTGGAAAAGACTGACCCCATATCTGAAGAGGCGACCCGTCCGAGAAAGAACACGAGCAGAGTCAAACCTGCAGAATCTTCTGTACATGTTCCAGGGAAGCGAGCAAAGAAGAAAAAAAAGAAAACACAGACGTATCCTTGTGGCGGGCCTTGTCCGCACATCGCAAGCCTCGTTGACCGAAGAGGCAGATCAGGTTCTAGAAAACAGACATGTCGAAATCACGGCCGAGGTCCGTGTGGATCGTCATGATCCCTGCTGCAGCCCCGGCTGGAGATCGAGCCGAGCTTTTCAGAAACGGCAAAATAGGCCCTCTAGCTGTGTCCTGGTGCCCTATGCAAGGGATGAAAGCTCGCTTCTATCAGGAGTTGATCTGAGCGTTTGTACTCTGCTTTCTCTCGATCCGTTGCTCCCAGGAAGGCCGCAATTTCTAAGGACGCTTCGACGGGGACGTATACCGCGGAATACACATTGACCATGGCCGATCGGATCAAAGGCTGGCTTGCTAAGCAATCCGAAAGCATCAAATTAGCTGAATGAAGATAACCACTGATGAGACCAAGATGGGGGGCTCGATTGTCCCCAGCAGCATTTGCTTCAGGCAGCAATGAAAGGATCTGATTTTCCCTGGTGTCAGCCCGGCAAAGAACACCATCTGATCTCACGGTCCTGGTCCAAGTTGGAACCCGGCAAGGAACTCATCAGGAAATCGGCCGCCCTGAGGCGTTGAGCACAGTCGTACAGTCACAGGATGATGGGGAAAAAAGAGGATGCCTGATTACGGAGCAGGTGTAGTAGGACGATCGCAGGGCAAGGGCCTAAGGATCGAACCATGGTGGCGAACTGACAAATCCTGGAAATGCTTTAGGGAACCATCTTCAGCAGAAAACAGGAACCTAATACAGCTTCTGGCCAGGCCTTTGAGTTTGGTGCTGAAGCGGTTGGAGGAGGGATCGTGGTAAGTTTGCACTACTGCAGCAGCTTCACTCAACTAAAAGGTGATGGATGGCCTCAAGGTCAAGGCATAGTTTCTAGTCAGGTGGAGAGGAGATCACAGAAGTGGCTGAAGCTACTCCTAGTTCAGCACCGCCACTCCATGCGTTTGTGGCGCCGCAATTCTGGCTGCGAATTGCTTACAGGGAAGTTGCGCGACGGCTCAAGTTGCACCGACGGAGACACCACACCATAACCAATGTTGGTTCATGCAGACAAGGGGGATGGAGAGGGTCCCGGTCTGCAATCACATCACAAAATTAAGCTCGCGGTCTCTAGTTTCTGCGTGGCAATCTGCTTCTACAATTCTTCCATCAAGCCCAGAGGAAAAATGATTGTCGCATGCTAAAAGTGCCGACCGGCAAGGCTTGAGGGCCGAACGGACGAACGAACGATATGATCAGACCCAAGGGGATGGAAGCGCTCCAGGCTGAATTGTGGACTGGCTCCGGCCGGTGGACTACTGGCAGTAGAGGAGGATCCCCCAGTGCCAAGTCAACCTTATACCCAGACAGGGATCCCCATGCCATCCATGAGGGAGGGGATCGACCTGCCCCAGTCGAGCTTACTGGCTTGGCTGCGATAATCGTCAAGTGAGGCTTACAGGGGAGGGACGGGGTGGAGGGGTTTGCCCTAGGACGTGCTGTGGTGGTGGTGCAATCGGCTTCCTTCGTCATGGCACACGCCACCCCTCCTCTGTCCAGGTAATACAGACAATCACATCCATGCACCGAGGATCATCGGGGATTTTTTTTCTTTTTTTTCTGTATTCCACTGCACTTGCTGTTCCCCTTTCCAGGGTCCAATCTTTGAGAATCCCCTCGGGCGGCCGGCAACGGTGTCTGCTGGATCCAATCATTCTCTGCAAACCACCGGGGAGGGGATCTGTGCGGATGCTTGCGGATCGCCTTAGGGGGTCAGTTCGAACAGGAGAATTCACGCTCACGTCCCCGAAATCCGTGTCCAGTATGGATGTAGTTAGAGGAACTGGTAAGCTCCAAGATGTGATGCATGATGTTCCCGGTGCTGGTTGGTCTGAGCTCGAGGGGTTGTCAGGTTACTCGACATGAAATCTCCTCTGCTTGAAAGCCATCACCCATGCTGGCTGAGTGGGTAGCTGTGATCTAAAGCACGCAGTGATTTGAACCGCTCATCCTAAGACCTCGACGAAGAGCTGCATCCCACACGTGAGCCAGCGGGATTCGGTACATTAAGGTGTTTGGTTGGATGCAGTCCCCGGCCACCCTGGTAAGCCCAAATCCTAGAAGAGCTCCAGTTGCAGGTCAGCATCTAGGCCGTCGAGAGCTATGACGGTGAACATGAGGTCAACAGTGACTCCGCCCCGCGTCTTGAGAGCCGTCCGTTGCTCGGGGTTCGAGTCATTGGTGGCCCCCCTTTTTCGAAGTTCCACACAGTGTTGTCTATCCATAAAGTACTCCATTTTTTGTAGAGTATGGGTCTCCAGTAGGTTGGGGGTCCCTCCAGAGGTCGGTTGTGGGGTGAACACACCCGATGCAGCGATCGCCCACGGTATCGCAAGTGAGCATCCAGACCAGAAACGTTCCAACTGTCGCTGGACTCAGCAGTCCCAGGCTACGGCATACAGGAAGAGAGGGCTCATTAACCTCACAGAGGCAGCAAAGAAAAGGGACCCATGCACACATGGCATGCATGCATATGTATATCAGATGGACAAGTCCAAACAACCAGCACAATTGACTACTTGTACTTGTTGCCCAGCGAGACCGGTGTGGCGAGCGCATGAAATGGCGTCGAGCCCCCAAGCCCCTCACATACTCCCATAACATGGATACTGCACTTCGTTAGTGTACGAACGTATGTAAGCCCGTGACGTTGACGCGCGGGCGCTTCAGTCTGTCTGCATGCCAACTAGCGCCGAAGAGGAATGAGTGGGTGGGTGTGGTTTTGACAGTCTGCCACAGGCAAGAACGGGCCGCTGTCTGGAGACATTCTTGGGAAGGGATGAACTCAGCCCAGAACTGGGCCTGAAACTCTTTTCTGAGCCCTGATACTTACTTACTCGAGGTACGAACGGTACAAACTCGGAGTAAGCATTGACAAATGGAAGGAACAGGGAAGAAGGTCGAAATGTTCGACCATCCACCGATCCCTGAGGCTGATCGACAGAGGATCTGTCGACTATTGGTTTTGGTGGGCCCTGGCTGGATAAGCTGCCCTGCCAGTCTGCCACGCTGTTGCAGCTCCTCCATCTCTTGAGGACACCTTCATGTCTTATCTTTTTTTCTCTTTCCTGCTCAATACTGCTTATTGGGGGCTAGTCTTTGCAGATCCAGGAACATGAACTCTGCCTGTACGCAAGAACCTTGCGGGAAGAAACAAAAGGAAAAGCGTTGACAGGCAGGTCTGAAGATCCGTGCCAACAGCCCTCTGGTCCTGATTCACCCGAACGGAACAATGAAGGTTATTCAAGCCATCATGCCAATGCGCAGTTATTCTCTTTCCTGCCTGTAGTCAACGTATTCGAAATGGCATCAAACTGACACACCCTCTTGCAGGCAATTCCCCGCTTGATCATTTTCGCCATTGTGCGTTCTCCAGGTTGCGATGGGTTGGGTAGGGTAGGTACAGCTGTACGTAAGTAGTAAGTATTTCGGGTGTATGAGATTAAACGTACGGTAAGTGGAATTCGAGCTGGACAGTACTCCGAGCATCCCATCATGCTCATTATGCTTTTGCGGAGACCCGACAGGAGGATTACCATCATGTGATGGGAGCCCCAACTTAGACGTGATGGTGCTCATCATGGGCTTAGTTACTGTGCCTAAGGTCTCGTAAGGCCTCAAATCCCAGGGTTTCTGTTTTCCCTTCAAGATCATCCAATATCAATCGGAAGTTGGGGGGGGAAGAGAGGGGAGGGGGAAGGATCTTCGGACCGCTGGTCGCTAACCGGATCCAGAATATGTACGGTGAATCTTAAGCGCTGCGGCCGCATTGAACAAACCATGGACCGAACCCCAAAGTCCCCGTGATCGCTGCATGGTCCAGTAGGAACAAACCCTGAGCCCCAGCCCACCACACATATATCTTGGATCCCAACTGGCCCAATTCATTGCAGGACCCACTTGGGGAGTTGTGATGGTCGTGCTCAAGAGACGCTTTTCCTCTGCACGGTAAGACGTGACGTTGCAGGTCTCGCTGTAACGGGGACGGAGGGAAGGGAGTCGCTGAGGATGAACAGCAGCAGCAGCAGCAATACTCTAGCGTCAGCTCTTCCATTATTATTTCCTCACCATCAAGGAAGATGTAATGGGACCCTCAAGGAGCGCACTGTCACACTTCCAATCGTCTGCTTGGCTCCTCCCAGACGGGACCCCTCCCCCTGGTAAGAGCTAAAATCGGCCCTTGATGTTCGTGGCGCTAATGCAGGAACTGACGAAAGTCCAGCGAACGCTTCATCCGAAGAAACAAGGGGAATCGCTACGAAAATCGCATCCCCCGTCTTATTTTGAATCATGAATTCCCGGGGAATTGGGCCAGACTGTCAATTCGAGCTGCCACTCGAGCTAAACTTTGACTGGAATCCAGAGCTCGCATTTCCCGGGAAGCGCTTGGGGGGTTTAGATGTCGAGACGAGGCGGTGGTGCGGAAGGGGCAGAAGTTAGAACAAGTAATCCGTGGTTTACCCAATGGGCATTCGGCCCGGGGGTGGTAGGGCTCTGTCTAGGGGCCGACATTCTGGTTCAATCGCTCAATGGGACAATACCGCGAATACACCAACAAACTTAGATCTCTGCCAAGCATCCATCAGATAGGTAAAATACACACACGGAGAGAGAGACACACACAATGCGAAGAGAAGAACAATCAAACTTGAAGAAAACAGAGGGTAAAAGAAAGGGGACTCAGACCAATAATTAGAATTTCCGCACGGGAGTGCGAGAGTCTCCCATTCCAAGGGAAAGACAGACTCCGGTCCATCTGGCGGGGACGCTCTTCCGGCATCGCTCGGACGGATCTGATGATAACGAGGAAAAAGCAATTGACCACCTTCTGAGGCACAGGTTGCATCGTGGACCCATCCATCGTCCCTACGATCGACCTTGCGATAGCGACCGACCATGAACCAGAAGAAGGCCATCGTCACCGCCACCATGGAGAGGCGGCGAAGAGAGAGAGAGAGCCGGGAGGGGGGGAGGGGGGGGGGCACCCTGTTAGAACTTGACTTGGCAGCATCCGGTTCTTCCTGAGCCCGATCTCGATCGCTATTCTTGGGCTGAAAGGGAAGTGGTACCGGTGAAATCTGAAGTGTTGGAAGCTAGACAAGTCCGAACAGGACAGTCAGAGATACAAACCCCAGGGAGGTAGCTAAGTTACTGTACCTACTACTATCCCCCACCGTCTCTCTCTTGGTGTTCTCTCTTCTCAAACAACAGGCGGAATGGGCTACCAGTTTGAGAGTTATTTTTAACCCCAAAAGGAAGCCATGGGCTCCTCCTGAAGGCTTCGTACTCGCAAGAAATGTGTAAGCCCAGGCCGCCACCCCCTTAGGTAGAAGCGCTTCGCTCTGGGTGTCTCTTTCGGGGGGCCGGAAGCGGGAAGCAATAAAAAAACCATGAATAATGAATAGAGAACTTTTCCCCCATCCCTCCCCCCGTACGGTACCTGGTAATGGGCTGGTTATCCGGCCAGCTCGGCTAGTCCCGAAGGGGCAGGAACCTACTCATTTCAGTATCATGTTTCTCTTGGCTGCCGAATCAGTGTAGATTGTCAAGGACAAGATAGATGACTTGAAGACTTTGGGGAATGTGAATGACGGCAACAAGTATAATGTCTATTGAGCAATTGATGAGGAGAACTACTAAGGGGAAGAGGAAATAAAACCCCAGCAAAAGAAAAAGGAAGGAACCGACTGCAGGAGAGATTCTAGCTGAGAGGAGAGATTTGACAGCAACAAACCGAATACACTACAAGGTAAGGTAATACGGCCCTGATACCAAAAACCCGGCCAGGCTTGAATCTCTCTCTTAATGCAGCTCCAGCCAGTTCCGGTGAACGATCGCCAATCATCAGTCAAACCTCCACACCTTCTTCTTGTCGACAACTTGGACGACTCCATCCACTGCCTGCTAGCCAATCCCCGTTTGCTGGTGGAGGAAAAAGTATGGAGCTGAACTGCTTGCTCTCGCTCTCTCCAGGCTCTCTCTCTCTCTCTCGTCCACTATCTCGCGCGCGCTTTCTCTCACTTTGTACAGTACTAATTCCGTACTGTCTTGTTCTGTCTCGTCTTGTCTTGTCCTGTCTGTCACTCCCTCACACTCACTCACTCACTCACTCTCTCATCTCATCAATCCAATCCATCATTCTCTGCTCTCTTGTCTCTTTTTTTGTTTTTTCCCTTTTGTCCCTTTTCCATCGTCACTCTCTGATTTTCTTCCTTCAACTTTCACCTCACTCACTCACCTCTTACTCTCCTTTTCCTCTTTCGTTCACTCTTTAATTTTTATCTTTTCTTGCTTTTCCCAGTCAGCTTAGTCGTTCCCTCCTTTTTCCTTTTCTGTGTTCCTCATCGGACATAATAATACCTTCCTTGATCTTTTTGCTTTTTGGCTGTCGCCCCCCCCCTCTTCCTCCATCGCATCTACCTCCACTATCTCCTCTGGGGCTGCTTCTCTCACACTCTCTGACAATTGTTTTCTTTTTTCCTTTTTAAAAAATCCACAGATCGACTGCAAGCATAGAACTATATACCTCCCGCTACTTCCAGTCCACTCATTCCAATCATTACCGCCACTCCATCTCTTATCCTCGTCCTTTAAGATCCGATCTGCCCGCCCTATCCCACTTCCAATTCACCCCTCCTACTCCTATCCAGAATCGTCATCAGTGATCGGTGGCCCAATTGTTCAATGATCAAGACTTTGTCCTCGTCATAGTTGCAGCTCCGTTGGCAGCAGCTTGTCAGGATCCCCCCAACACTTGGTCACCAACACCGCACCGCACCGCACCGCATCGCATCGCACCGCACCGCACTCCGCCTCCTTCCACTCAACTCTTCCCAATACAAGACCTTTCTGCTCAAATCTTCCTTCACTCACCTCTTCCTTCCTCCCTCCTCCGTCACCATGAACTACCTCCATCACCCATACGCCTTCACGGGCGTCCCCATGGATCAACCGGTTGCTTTCGACCCGACAATGACACATCCTGCTATGATGCACCCAATGGACGGCTACCTCTACCCACATCCACCGTTTGACATGGTCGACTTCTATCACCAGCCTATCATGGACTACGATGAATACGCAGAGAACCTCTCGCGTCCAAGGTTGACCAAGGAACAGGTGGAGACCTTGGAAGCTCAATTTCAAGCCCACCCCAAGCCCAGCAGCAATGTCAAGCGTCAATTGGCCGCGCAAACGAACCTCAGCCTACCTCGCGTCGCGGTTGGTGCTTCCTGCTCCTTCAAAAATAATTATGAACTGGGAAGGCTAACTTAACTTGCAGAACTGGTTCCAGAACCGTCGAGCAAAGGCGAAGCAGCAGAAGCGCCAGGAGGAGTTTGAGAGGATGCAGAAAGCCAAGGCAGAGGCTGAAGAGGCTGCCCGGGGGAAGTCAGATAACGCAGAGTCCTCATCCGAGTCGAACCAAGATTCCAAAACCTCGAACGATGAGGCGCCCGAAGATACCCCCAAGCCAACGACAGAAAAGCACAGTGAGCGGACAAAGACGACCTCGTCGTCTTCGCGGTCAAAGCATCAGAAGACGAGGAGTGAGTCGGCTCGGGAGGCGACCTTTGCCTCGCTGCAAAGAGCGTTGAATGCGGCTGTCGCGGCGCGGGATCGGTACAGCCACGACGGGGACAACAGCCACCCGGCAAGCTTAGAAGGATCGGTGTCGCCGACCACAACCTTTGCGGCCAACACTCGATGCGGCAGTCATGATGAACAGCGAGCGGGCTCGAGTGACTTGAGTACACCTTACACACAGACAACGCTTCCCTGGGAGTCCTCTCAGACCTCTCTGGAGTACGTGACAGCAGGTGGTGAGTCGTTGGCTGTTCCTACCTTGGAAAATCCGCACAGTATGCAGTTCCACCCCGCTCACACGGAAGACTGGGCTGGTCATATGCATTCGTCGGCCAAGCCAGTCCCGGGGTACCGATCAGCTAGTGACGCGGAGGCTTCCTACAATACAGTTCAATATCCCATGCATCAGGACCTGGAGCTCTCGAGACGGGCCTCATCTGATGAGCTTGCTGATAGCTTTGAAGGTATCGGGATTAACCCCTCCCAAGGGCTGTCGCATGTTGTCCACGAGGCCGACCGAGATTCTTGGAAAGAGGCGGGCAAGGAGCTTGACCTGGCTGCTCGCAGAAAGCGCCCGAGGCCTGCTGCTATTGGCACCTCCAGATCATCTTCTATGCTTTCGAGCTCGTCGGCCCTGTCGCCCACGAGCAGACTTCCAGGTTATGGTAGCATCAGACACTCGAAGTCGGCGCAGGGACTCAACTCGCGTTACGCCGGAGTGAGAAAAGCGTCCGCCGCGCAACGATCGCCCCTGAACCTGTCGACTTTTGCCGAAGCGGGATCCCTCAACTCCAAATCGTCGATGCTGCAACCCACCGCAACCACGGGCGGATTGGCACCCCCCACACCGCTGACTCCGGAGGATTTGCATCACCTGCTTCCCAACACCCCAAGTGACGGGGGCTATTGCCTGTCGGCACAACCCACCAGTGGACTGTTTCCCACGACTCAACCGATGCAAATCAACATAGCCTCTCCTCCGGCGACACCATTGGCAGTTGACATGCTTTCCGGGTATCCCTTTCAGGGGGTGGTTCCGCCAATGTCCGCCCCGGCTCACTACAACTCTTTCCCCGACTACGCATCATGTGAAGCTTCGATGACAGGGAGGAGTTGGCCCGATGCCACTTCCATGTCGTCCCCGGAAGCTTCCTTCCAAAGTCCCTGTCAGGTCACATCGCAGCCGGACATGGCTCCGATGTCGTATGACCACAGTGGTGAACATGTTCCCGTGACGGGTTCCCCATCTCTGGTGTACACGACCGCCGATGTGGATATGCCCATGTCAGCTGCCTTGGGTGGTGATTCGAAGCCTACCGAATTCATCTATGAATTCCCCGAGCAGCAGGAGGCCCAACGATTCGGTGCACAACAGCTTCCTTCGCAGAAGCCCGAAGCGTACACATTCAACAACAAAACTCCGAATGACTTCTGATCTGTTTGAGAAGGAAGACAAGACGAATTTGGAAACGATTACTTTGTGCAAATAATAATACCCCATATCGCCCGTCACTTGTACTTATTACCCGGTTCGTTTTTCTTCTGTCAGGGCCGTGACCGGGTTCGTTTGACCTTGTTCTTCTGTGGAATCTTGTTGGCATTACATATATATCCCAAGCCATGGGTTGTTGATTCCAGGCGCATTTCGTGTCGGTGTCTTTCTTTATCTGTTTTCCGAGTGAACTTGGAAGGGTCGTCATACTTCTTGTTTGGAACAAGCATGTGAAAGTTTTGGAAGCGGCTGTTTTTCTTTCCTTTTTTCTGAACATTCCTGGGGGCATTGGTTTACATTACCTTGTCACGTATCTACTACCACTACTACTACCTACATGTAATACATATAATCTGGAGGGTGATGGGCAGGGGGTCGACCTGTCGGATCTCATTGAACAAACCAAGAAAGAAGTTCATTCTTGTAATTCGATGGTAGAGAGGAAAGACTAGCAAGCTGTTTATACACCGAGCCGAGCAGTCCCAGTTGATGCCCACTGCGACCGGAGTAAACAGATGGATGGATGGATGATACCTGCTCAACACCATTTATCTCCCCGTTCACTTTAGAAGCAAGAACAAAATACCACCATCTCAATTCAATGATACTCTCCTCTTCTACATCCCTATTAACCCCATATCCTTTAAATCCCTTATCATCCAGCACAGCAGATACAACCATCCCGTTCGAACACTCTCTCACCCTTGGGCCCCTCCAGAACTCCCAACCCATCCTTCCAACCCCTACACCAAGTAAAAAAACCCACGATACCTCCAATTAAACAAGACAAGACACAAAACAACCACATCCCGCGGCACTCCCTCCCCCCCCCCCCCCCCCCCCCCCCCCCCGGTCCCACCTCCGAGCCCGGAATGCCGCCCCTGCAAGAACAGGCACCACACTGAGATCCTGAATCCGAGCAAGTCGATCCCATCAATAACTACCAAGATTTCTATCTAGAGCTAGCATAGCCTATTAGTTAGAGAAATCAAGCCTAGGACTTAGAAGATGAGCGGGGACTTGCAACGCAGGTCCTGAGAGGGTAGAGGGTAGATTGTAGGGTAGAGGGTAGTGTAGAGAGAATAAAGTATAGAGTTTCGTATCTAGACTAGACCCCCTTCGAAATACAGCGCATGAATACACGCATGGCATGCAAGCTAGCAGACTAGCCACCAGACTCCGGAATTGTTTGAGACTGACTAGTTAAGTGGGACTTCCTTCCTCTCCAGAGTTCTGGGGATTTAATTCGGTAGTACCCCTTTGATCTGACCTTTGCTTTTTCTAGCGGAGGATGAGGAGGGATGAGGAGGGGTGTGAGTGTGCTGGGGATTATGTGATGATTGCTGTTGCTGAGGTAAGTAGGTTATTTAGTTCAGGGTTTGGATGGTTTGGCTTTCCAAGGTAGGTAGGGGAAGGTCGGTAGGATACGGTTCGGTTCGTTCAGAATAGGATCTTGCTGGAGGGAGACTTGGGGTTGGTATGGAGAAATACTGAAGCTCGAGCTAGGTAGCGGTGAGATGCTGGAAGGGAAGACGGGCTTCTCTTCACTTTTGCGGAGGTTTGTCTCGGAGGTACATTATCCCACTGGATTCCGGAGCGTGCTTTTAATTCTCGAGGGTAGGTAGGGACATTACTGGACTGTCCATTATCCACTGCTATAAAGCTTCTTTTCTGCCTTGACTGCTGCATCTAGTCATGGCAACAGACTAGCGGTATCAGTTATCCAGTACGATTGTACGAAACACGACCGGGCCATGGTCTAATCAAGACAGTCCCTCGGTAATTAATCTACAGAGAAACAACTACAAAGCCAGGAGCATGTATCAAGCCATGTGAGACGGGGCCGATCAAATTAAGAATCCCCGAAACTGTGCAACCCTGTACGTGATCTGCATACCATAGACACATAGAAAAGAATAATCATAAGACACATGACGAAGAGACAAAGACAATATCTGTATGCGAAAATGAAGACCACTAGAGTCGTGACGATAAGGCCCAGAGAGAAATAATAAAAAATAAACAGCACTGTAAAGTCAATGGAGTAGAGTGGGAGGAGCCATCGATGCAAACAGACAAGAGAAGAGAAACATATCATTGGAGGCAGGAGAAAGAAACAGAACAATCCCAGGGCTGACAAAAAATAAAACGAGAGCACAAACCAGTGATTTACCGCCATCCTGTCTGACCGTCCCTCTATCCTAGACATATGAAAAACATGCACAATCTCCATATTCGTGACTGCGGAACTCAGCTTCACATATTCTTAGAAAACCACCATTGAGAAACAGACCGGAAATATCAAAACATGACAGGGTATAACAAAGGGTATAGACAAGGGAAACACGCGGATTATCATTAGCCATTATCCAAGGAGTAAGGATAATTGAGAGCAGGAATGAAATGGGGTATGTCAGACAGAACATCATAGGACGGAGGAGAAGGTCAGGTCAGATCAGATCAAGCAGGACTCAAGACTCATAAGAAACCAAACCATGCGTCTCTTTCTCAGGATTAACAGCTTTCTGCAGAAAAGCTCCCGCAAACGCCCAACCACGGACTAACGCCGGCTTAAACCTCTATCTGCTTCAATAACCAGACCATCCTAGAGGAGTGCCGGATTGACCCGGCTGCGGATGTCCGGGTTGCATCGGGCCACCGGGCGCTGGAGGCCAACCAGGCATTGCTCCACCAGGGTTCATCCCCATAGCCATCGGTGGCTGCGGAGCTCCGGCCATATACTGCTGACCGGCAGGTCCTTGAGTAGAAGGGTATATGGCGCGTGCGGCAGGTATGCCCGGATACTGCACAGCGGTGACGCCAGGGAAAGGCATAGCTCCCATGGGCTGCTGCTGGGGTGTCTGCGGGTGCATTGGGAACGGTTGCGACATCTGAGGTGCTGAAGGCCGAGCTTGATTGCGGGGAGACTGGGAGGCATGTTGCTGGGGAAGAGAGTGCGCGAGCGGCGAAGGAGACTGTTGCGGGTGCATCTGGGACGGAAACTGCGGCATTGCTACACCCTGCGGGCCAGCGGCCGAAAGAGGGGACGGCTGAGGCTGGGGAGGTGGCTGACCCCACATCTGCTGCGGCTGGGAGGGATACCCGTAAGGGCCGGGCGGTTGTGGTGCTCCCGCAGCCAGAGCAGGGTTGGATCGTTGGTGCATAAGATCTGGGCGAGCTGCAGGGACACCCCGAACAGGAGACTGCGCCACAGGCGGTTGCTGGTGGGCTGCTGCAGGCTGGAAGCCCGGCTGGCTAGACATCATTGGAGCCTGGTGGGGGAGCATTGGCTGAGGCGGCTGAGCTTGACTCATCACACCGGTCGACGGCAGCTGGGGTGACTGCAATGGCTGGGAGACTGACGGGGCCGAATCGAGCGGCCCGGGTTGCGAAGGCGCGGCCGAGGCGGAAATCTCACGCTGCTTGGAATAAAACTCTTCCAGTCCTTTCTGCCGGTAGCTACGCTGTTGAGTCAGAACCTTGTTGAAGTCAGCCGTGTGCGAGGCTTGATTCAAGATTTCAGCGGCAGTGCTCGGTGTTGAGCGGTCCTGGTACGGCTGGCCGGTCATTTCCTGACGGGGTCGAGGCATGCTGTTGTACTCTCTGAGACGCGGGTCATCCGCGGTGGTCGCCATGTGAATCATCGGGAGCGGTTGTGAGAGTGAGACTGAAGGTGGTGCGCCGATCGTCATGTTACTCGGTACGGCTTCTAGCGCGTTGCTGTAGATGACATCGCCATGGGTCAGAGCGGGCAAGAAGTTGGCGGCACCGGCTGCTTCTGCTGCCGCCGCATCGCGTGCTTTGGTACCACCGGGACGTTTTTCGCCTGCGAGATCGTCCTCTGTGAACCCCTGCTTCCGCGCCTTGCCCTCCCAGTAGTCATCACGCACACGCCGGCCATTCACTATAACTCGGCTGCCGAATTGGCGAAACATTGACTTGGCGGTTACGATGGCGATCTGACGAGACCGGTATGAGTACGGCAGGATATCCTGTTGAATCAGATCATCCTTTTCGATTTGCGTGGCGATTATTTTGTGCAGAGATCGATTTTTGTTGAACAGGAGATACGAGTCTCGATAGCCCAAGACTCGCGCACATTCAGTAGCCAGCATGAACAGCTTTGTCCCACGAAGGGGCACGCGGAACGTGCGGCATTTGTACTCACGACCACCTTGAAGGTAGCCCATATCGTCCACCTTCTTCTCACCAGCATCGTCGAATTCTTTAGGGACGTACTCGTCGCCTGCCTCGTTCAGCTGGTCGGTAGTGTGGTCGCGTACGGTGGGAAGGGCCTTGACTAATGCAGCCTTGGTTGGCGTGCTCTTATCGGGCGGTGAGGCCAGCGGCGGGGACGCATTGGCGGAGGTCTGAGCCGAGAGAGGCTGGGTTTGCATGCGAGGGGTTTGGAGATGAGTACCGGACGAAGCAGGCTGATCACTACTCGATGCCGTTGCCGGCCGTGGAGTCTTGGGAGGGCGGCCTCGTTTCCGACGGCCATGATCATCTGCTGCTTGCGTATGCATATTAGTCCACAATCACAGAATGAAGAGTAGAAAGCAGGGTGAGGATCCAAAGAAATCAAAAGAACACAAGCAATGAAAGTACAAAAGCAGACATAACCCCTTCAGACAAAACACAAAACCTCCATGATGTAAATAAAAATGCACGCGACGCGAAAGCACGACTAGCACATCCTTCCTTGAAATTTCGAAAAGTGAATCGCCGGGAAATCCGGCGCACACATACCGTCGTCATGGTCCCCATCTACGCGTGAATTTCCTCGCTGATCTGGGGTACGACTTCGCTTCACACCACGAGGGGCTATGCTAGGATTCGAGGGACCGTATGATGAAGGGGGAATAGCAACGGCGACTAGGAGAAGGCCGTCAGTTGGGAGGTTGTCGCGGTGGACAAACAGAAGAGGAATGGACACCCATTATGACCTCCATAACTGGCGACAAAGCGGCTGCACCGCTATTGACCGCGCCGATAAGATGCGGAAATCAACTTTCATCTTGGAAGCTATGTGCAAACAGCGACAAAATAGGGTTGATTGAAGACGAGCATCAAGGCGCGAGGTGCACGAGGCTGACAAGCATGCAGGTACAGGAAGATGAGACAGACGAAAGAGCACACACGTACCGTTGTTTAAGGCTGCAGGATTGATCGTGCCCGAGCCATCAACCAGATCCCCTCCGATACCATTCATCGGGGCGGGGACGGAAGAGTGGGAGGTGCCATACATGGCGGGCCAAGGAAGGACGGGAGGGGAGGCGAAAGGTTGAGGGAGCCGTCGCAAGGCGGCGGGCGCGTCAGGCGAACGCGACAGGTATCAGGATGTCAGACGAGGGGATGGGAGGACGGGGTCTGGGTTGGCTCCTGGTGCTGTTGGTGCTGGTTGCTGCTGCGAGACCCAAGAAAGAACTAGAGGACGAGAACGCAAGTAATGACGAACAAACGAGGACGGACGGGCCACGAGTCGCGCATGCAGTGGTCGCTGGAAGCGGATCAGCGGAAAGGCTGGAGCAAATCGCCAGACGGAGATTGAATGAATAATAATGAAGGATGATGGAAGATGGGGAAATCAGGCGGTGAGAGGTACAGAAGCGGTGAGATTAAGGAACCACTAACAACAACACAACAGACAGATGACACAGGTTGGAAATAGACAAGACGAGAGAGAATTTGAGTTAGGAAATGAGATAAGTTCAAAGGCAATACGAATTGATCTGCAAGTAAGACTTCTTTCTGTCCAGGACAGCCCCGCAAGGTAGTCCGCAAGCAAGAATGTGCTATGTGTGTGTGTGTGTGTGGGTGGGTGGCTGAAAGGGACGACGAGATGTGGCGAGTGGGAGGAAGTTTATTGCCAGGCACTGTACCGCCACATGAGGCTGGTCGCGGAGTACAGTACTGAGTAGTAGTAGACAACAGACGGAAAGATCGATAACCACCACCACGATCCAAGGTTTCCCCTGTCTGCAGAACGTAGTGGTTCCTAGTCCAGGTGGAGGTACCAAACCACTAGTAGATTCCTGAATCGGTACACTGCTGGAAATCAGCCGTGGATGATTCACAGCGTGCCGCTGATGGAACCGATCAGTGGGGACGGGGATGACGGGGGGAAGGGGGGGGAAAGGGGAAGGGGGTGTGGATGGTGTGTGTGGTATGGTATGGGTTGGTGTGTGTGTGTGTGTGTGTGTGTGTGTGTGTGTGTGGATGTGTCTGTATGTGTGTGTGGTAAGGGGAGGAAGGTAAAAGGATTATGTGTGACCAAAGGGTAAGGAAATTTAGATGTGCGTGGGTGCAAGACAAACTGACCGGGACGCTTGGGACAAGTTGAGTGGAGTGGGGAAGAAGGTTAAGTTGGAGACAGGACTGGAAAGGAAAGGAAAGAGGGTAAAAAAAAAGAGTTGAGGGGGGGGAAACGGCAGGATGATGATGGGTGATGGGATGGAGAGGGCAACTTGGGAAAGTGATTGAAAGGGGGAGGGGAGAGGAGAGACTACCGAGATGGGAGGGGGGAACACAAAGTCAACTGGGGAGGGCGGAAAATGGCGGGAGGCGGCGCCACTCTTGCGCGCATTGGCTACCCGCTGCGCTGCAACTCGGATCGAATCTCCAACTCCAGAATGAGCATAACAATCCCAAAATGACCCTAACTAGTAACAAATGAGAAGATAATTTGGAGAATGCTGACAGGATTAGAGAGTATTAGAAGAATTAAGAAAAAAAAAAAAAAAAAAAAAAAACAAAGCCAAATAGAACTGAGTAAGCCAGTCAGAAGACTGAAGGAAATATAGATTACGTCGCAAGTTGAGAAGAACTCGTGAGGAATGCCCGGGGTTAGACAATTGCCGTCGCGAAGAACAATGGGAAACTCATCCAATCACTCCTCAGATCGCGCTTCTTCAGACAAACAAATAAACTCACAATTCCTCAAGTCTGCCGCTTAATCGCATTAGTGATTCAGACACTCTGAATATGTAGACAGCAGGTGGGCGATCGGGTTGCGCAGACGCCAGCCAGCACGGAGCGAGCACTATTGCGAGTCTAGCTATCAATCGGAAGGGTGGAACAGACCGGAGCCCTGTCCTGGACGACCCCTGCACGTCTGATCGATAATAACCCCGGGTCACCACTTTCATCGGCCAGTAAGAGCGGATTATACTTCAAAGAAGCCCGAAACCCTCCCCGAAGACAAAGGAGAGTCGGAGTCAGCACTGAATGCGTAATCCAACCGATCACTGGGCAGAGGCTGATTTCTTTGTTATCCAGCCCACGCAGATGAGGAGTGCGCAACTTTCCTTCCTTTGGTAGAGAGAGTGCACCGAACACTGGCGGCGATGGCGTGGGCTCGGTCGAGGATGGCGACGTTCCGATCCAAGCTCATCCACTTTCAAGCTAGCCAAAGAACTGCCTGAACAGCCGCAGCGAGAAAGGGAAATGCGAAACGGAGCGACAAAGGCGATACTATGTGCAATGATCTGCAGCTCTTCGACGCAACGAATGTAAACTGGTTTGTCAAGACAGCCAAGACTATAAAGCGTAGTGTCTCGCAGGCTGAAGTCACTTCCGGCCGCGGGGAGAAAATACGCGTTCGCGGGTGCGGAAGAAATGCCACGATGCGAACGGTCGCGGCCGCCTTGACTCTGCGGCAGGTGCGAGAGATAGAGAGTAAGGAGAGTCGCGCACGGTGCAGGTCAACACGAGGTGAGATAAGTGTTGGCCGGAGCGGATGCGGGTGTGGCTTGGACCGGCGCTGGAATGGAGAAGCACATGCAATTCCACGAAACAGGCAGCTCGTTTAGAAGCAATCGCGGCAGACCAGGCAGCCCAAAAAGGGGACTGAACAAATCGGCAGATCGAACAGGATTGACAGCCAGAGGGGACGAGGGGAGGCTATCAAAGGTGCTGCGAACGCGGACGATTGGCAAGCTCCGGCGTGTAAGATCCGAGCCTAACGATTGACTAGTAGTCAGTGAGACAGGGTCTAGTCAAGCCTTGTCCAAGTGTCTGCAAGTTCACCAGTGTCCGCCAACCACGAACTCGATGGAATAAGCCGGGAATTCCCCCGTCGACTGAATCAAGGTGTGCTTCGTTCGCTGGTGGCTAGTCAAACGGGAAGAAGCGACCGTGGTGTTGGAGACCGATAAGAGTGTTGGAGACGAAGGAGGTAAGTAGGTAGCGATGGGCGGCTAGGTATATCTACGGTAGATCACTTTGGGGGTTGCGATCGCATCATCGCTTTTCAATACCAGCTACACTGCATCGCGTCGATACTAGTACTTTTTATTTTGTATAGCAGGGCTGAGGCACTACGCCATGTTCCCTCTTTGGCTCTGTCTCTCTCCCTCTCTCTCTCTCTCCCCCCTTCCTCCATTTGTCGTCTATTGTTCGGATATCTTGTTACCTGCCTTGTCCGAGACAACAGCTAGATACCAGTAGTCCAGTACTACTCCGGAAGACTATTCTCTTACAACCAGTCATCGACTGTGGCATATTCCCTGTTTAGAATCCTACGCCTTTCCCCTTCAAGACCAATCACAAGACAGGCGCTTCTCCTCGCTTCTGATTCGTATGGCGCCGGATGACCCAGTCGGGCAAGTATCGTCACTGCGGCCTGGTATCTCATCGAGCCCTGCAATGATCAAGCAACCCGGCCAGCAATTATTCCCAGGCATCGCCGCTGGCCATTCAAGTGGCGATCAGTCATGGCAAGGTGTTAGAATGTCCTTGGGTTGCAGGCCCAGGGGGTTGTAGAGAAAAAGAAATCCATGCTGAATGATGCAAACTCGAGCGGTTGATGACCACTGTATTGGATTCCTATGAATAAGTTTATCTTTAGACTTGTGCGACTTCATCGAAAGTCTTAGTTGACGTGCCTGTTTGAAGGAAGAACTATTCTAAAGAGCTCGTCGAGAGAGACCGGTGGAAGAAGGCTGTTTGTTAGCTAAGGGGCTAAAGCTGCGTGCCAAACAAGCGCCTGCAATCGGAACAATCCCAAGTCATTATTTCACGACAGCCATGGGACGATAATGATGAGATAATGTGGGTGATGACAAGTTGAAGAAAGGAGATGATGAGTGGATGGATGGATCGACTCTAGGAATCCCGTTGTGGCTGAATGGGCAGATGACCCTTCGGGCGGTCACTTGAGCGGGCACTAAAAAGAGGGGGCGATCAGGGACCGTGCGTTGTCTGTCCCGTCCGTCGCCTTAAACCTTCCTGCTAAACCTTGTCATTATTATTCAAACACGATAGACATACTTTTACAACTACATCTCTTTACTGTTCCCGGGCCAAATTCCCCATGCACTAGACTCATACGAGGACCTCTTGCAATGCAAATGATGGTCATTTGCTCAAGGCTCGCAAATTGAAGAAGATGCCAAAGCTACCTTTTGCCAGCGTCAGAAAAAGCATCCTTGAATGATGACGGAGGATGGTCTCTCACAAGGTATGCCGGCTGCAGGAAACGCAGCCTAGAGGGCGAAAAGACGTACCACACGCCCCTCTCTCTCCAAAATGGCAAGTGATTGCCCCCGATTGACTCTCACTCTGAGCCAGTTAAGGGATAATGACGACTCAAGATCTCCGACTCGTTACGGCAACTCCACTCATGCATGACCGGACCTCCGTGCCGTCGGGCCCAAGCTTCAATCCTCATCTGCACTGAACATTCCATAGTGCTTGTGCTTGATAGTGGGATGGAAGAGAGAATTTACGAAGGCATTCTACTGCTTGCTGGATGATGAAGGAGACCCGAAGTACAACATGACTTTGAGGGTGGGCTGGCGTATAGTCTCTCCTGTGGTTCAATCCTTTGGAGCATTCCCCCGCAAACGGGCGGGTCAAGCTTTTTTCGACCCCAGAGCAACGTAGCTCATCCTTGCACAAACGAGTGGTATGAAGCAAAGTACATCCTGCTCACTGTACTCCGGAGGCCCAACGGGGATGCACAAATCCTAGACAAGTCTCAGTCCCCGATTGGGTGCGCCAAGAGGCCAAGATCTCACTGGAAAGGACGGCGTATGCAAGTCATCAGCAGGACAGTCTCGGTCGGTGTCGCATTGGAGCTGGACCGTCTGGGATTTCTAGACACGGTTGGGGCACTCGTGGTCTGACTGGACGGACGCATTTCCGAAGCACCACAGACCTTCAGTCTTGCAGCATATCATATCGCAGCTCAGGACGCGGTCGGAGCGCTGCATCTGCCAAATCTAATGCGTCTTGAATGTGGTCAGATCTGGCGGGTTCGATATCGCAGGGTCGTCGACATCATCAACGGCGCTTTTGTTCACCACACCCCGGCTGTCGTCACTCAACGGAGCACGAGATGAGCCGTACATACTGACAACCATCCCAGGGTCAATCGATGCATGAGGGCGTATCGACCTACAGGAATGTCTCTGTGTCCGGTGACTCTTTGGCCCAGTCCATGTACGCCACTAATCTATGCTCCGGTTGCACATCGACTACCCGGCTCACTGTTTAAGAATCATGCAGTATAACATGTATAGCCTCTGATCATGTCCAGAGAGCCGGTTCTCTTTGGTCTGTACCACGTTGGATCGTTGCCATGAACGAGCGGTGGCGGTTGGTATGCAGTACGACGTCGTACATACATCTGGACTTCTTTCCTAACTAGGACCAGCATACGGACCTCATTATCCATCTTGTCTGGGCGATAGAGCCGGGAGTATTGACGTCTTGTCGCTGGAGCATGTCGACATAGTCTCCCATTGCAAGCTACTGCCGCCCGCCAGAAGCCCCGAGCACTTTCTCCTAGCCCTTGTAGGATCTGGACATGTAGACGCTCGATTAGGCCGACCCATTTACTTTTCCCTCTACGTTCGAGGCACTGTCTTCTATAGCGTTATCTGGAGGTAGCATCATCTGAGAACGATCTATAGAGCCTCACGTGAACACCATAATGTGACTGAATAATATAATCCTGCTATAGGTTTATACCACAACCTGATTGAGTACGAGCCGGTCAGTACCGACCATCAAGCCCAGAGTATGGCTTCCTCATGTGCAGATTGATAGTGAGACTAATCCTTTCTTCAACCATAGTCCCAAACACATCTGCCTACCGACATAACTATCCATCCACTCATCCTCCATTCATCCTTCTTCCATCCCTATCAATCCACCCATGCGTCGGCGAAACCAGAATCCCTCACGAAAGCATCCACCCCCAGAACACCGGTCCCACTGTCCCCGCGCAATAACCCCTCATCAGACCGTCTCTTGGACTCAACCAAATTTCGTTCTCAGACAACACTGTTAACAACAAGACCATTGACCGGGACGTCATAATCTAACAAATAGCCCTCTCACCCAGAAACCTACCGTTCCTCCGTCCAGACTCATCCTATTGACAATATTCCAGCCAGAAATAAACAGACCCCCAACCCACCTGCGCTCAATACCCCGGTCGCCGAACAAGCACGATCTGTCCTTCTGGCTTCACCGCCACGATCTTGGAACCACAGAACGCTGCGCGTTTCGCTTCTGCAACATCCTGATAGCGTTGACGAACCGCACATAGGCATCTTGATTGAGATTGGGGGTGTTGATCGGGGGTTACTGCAGAAGGTTTGGGAAGATCGAATCTCGGACTTGTTGGGTGGAGAAGGTAGGAGGAGATGGGATGATGCCTTATATGTTGTGCTGTACACCCGACAAGGGTGAAGAGTTGGCTATAGGTGCTCTGCGGATTGGATTATACCATGATTGCAACTCGTGCCATGCTGCTTGAAGGACGAGAAGAAGACAATGGTGCGATCTCGTCATACTCACAGGAGCGAGACTATTCCATCACTGAAGCTGTTACTAGGCCGCTACTGCAGCCATACCTTCGCAAGCTCAACCTACTTAGACTCTATCTCGCGCGTACTAGCTCGCTCAGCTCCAGTAAAAGGTTAGGAAGAGTTGCGTCGGTAGTGTATATGAACTTCCTGCCAACGAAAGGATACAGTTGGCCCCGCGTAAAGCAGGGCTATAAGTTGTTGACCGCAGGCTGTCTTCGTTCTACGAAACATCCACTATCTAACCACCTCAGTAACAGACAACTTACTCCTTCCCAGCTTAGTACGTGAACCTGGCCTCATTGAAAGCCTCCTCACGACTCCCTTTTCGGTTTAGTTATCACTAACGTGGCCTCCTCATCCACCACTAATCCCCAGCATCTCTCCCCGGCATCATCCAGAGCCCAGAGAGAACAACAAACCATCGAGGAGAGCCCCCGGATCACGGCTACCGCTGGAATCATCTTAAAGCTAGCGAACATCAGGCTTAGCCTCCCGCAACCGCGGATACAAGTGCCTTCGTATGCCCGCAAATCCCTTTATCCATCCTCTCTTCAACGACAGCGCTACCACAACACACAACGCGCATAGTTGTATTGTTCAATTGAAGAAAAGTTGGGATGCAGGCCGCACTAGATCCCCCTGCATCTGGATTCAAATACCAGGTCTTATCTATCAACCAAGTAAGCGCACGCAGTCGCAGCTAGATCCATGATGTCTCAGAGGGCAGAAAGTGAGAAGGCTCATCGTCCCCGATAGACAAACTCAACGCGTGGTTCGACGATCACCCGCATCATGAATGCCGGGTATCATGATGATGGAAGAAACTAGATGCCGATGGAGATATTCGGTCCGCATGCATTCAGCACGGGGTGTTGAAAGGTCGTGCTGACATGCAGTACACCGAGTATGATCTGCACAGAGGTTGATACGGAAGAACTTCATATAGATGGTTCAGAACGTGGATTGGTTCCGAAATGAGTTGAGGAGGCATGCAGACTAGGGCCTGGTCTGAGAAATTCTCGCATTTGCAAATCCGAGATGGGAAAATGAATTCCGAAGACAAAAGAGCAGGACAGCGAGGAGCTTCAGCAGAATTCAGTCTACGTCTCAGAGTAAAAGAAGAAAAGAATTATAACCAGCGCAATTCATCACCGCTCCCTGAAGTCAACAAGCTATCTGCTCCTGCGATACAAAGGATCAGCCAGCCCCAGGATAGGCACAAACCGCGGCAGCGTTTTCACGCGCTCAATCCAGCGGCGAACATTCCCGAACGGCTGCAACGAGACATCACCCATGGGCGCGAGCGCCACATAGACAAAGAACGCGATATTGGCGCTCGTGGGGCGGCCCAACGCCAGCCACTCGACGTCGCACAGATGCCAGTCCAGGATCTGCAGCGACTTGACGCCGCGCAGCTGGGCCTCGCGCAGGGAGTGCTCGGCGCGGGCGGTGCCCAGCGCGTCGTAGGAGCCCCCGAACGAGAATATGGCGCGGGCGGTGAGGACGCCGTACTGCACCCAGCTAGCCGCAAAGGCCAGCCACTCGGTGATGCGCGCCTGCTCGGTGACATCGGCCGACCACTAGCTGGACGGGATGTGTTGCGAGGAGTTGCTGCTTTCCGGGTCGAAGGCCGCTGCCATGACCCAAGAAAGACGGTGAAGTAGAGAAGCATCCCAAAAGACCGGACAGAGGGAGCCATTCCTACTGGACCCTGCGGGTTTCAGAATATCCAGAAGGCAGTGTCATGTCCTCGAGCAGAACGAGCGAGGAGTACTGGCTGTAGTTGCTTTTCTTCTGGGCGTCACAGGCCCACGGATGACAAACAACTCTCTTTGCAGCGATAGCCGGATACCCAGACATCCCATGAAGTCTGCTAGACAAGGGTTTCATGACAAGAAGTACTTTGAAGACATAATCATGGTGAGTGCTTGCTCGTTCTAACCATGTCCACGATCAAAACCCAAGGTTCTGGAGTTTCATTGGCGTTAGGTGCTTCGGCTCAAGGGCACATGATCTGGCCTCCTTTTCTGGCTGATGCATCAACCCCCGAAGGATGATTACTGATGGTAATATCTTTTGCCTGATTGCGAACCCAACGATGATGACGCTTTGACCGCTGAGCCCTATCCAATGCCTTGCGGACATTCGATTGGTCTGCCATGCTGCTCCTTTCCTGTCTTTTCGGAAGAAGCTCTTCGAGTCGGCCAAGGTTACACAAGATCCATCTGAACAGATCTCCCTCCTTGTCACATTGGATATGTACTGTACTGTACATACGCAGGTGGCGCTACCTATTTTCTCAAAAACCAACCAAGGGCTCTGCCTCTGCGTGGCGGCAAGATGAATATCCCAGGTCGGGATTGACGGGAAGTTCGGGAGAACGAATCAGAAACAAGATGAAGTAGAAGGCAGCTTTTCAAGGAGTTGGCTAGACACACGGAGAAGAGAGAGATTTTGTTCGGCCGGTTTCTGTTCAATGTCAGTCTCGCTACAGTTACTGAATCAGCCTGCTTCATGGCTCAAACCAGGATGTCCGGCAGTGTATTTTTTTCCCTTTGCAGCGTGCGGGCACAGAATTCTTTTTTGAAGCGACGGGCCTCATTGACCGTGCTCGTACCTACCTAGATTAGGTAATGTGATCATTGTCTTCTGGGTGGCTACTAGCTAAAAGACTAGTAGCGCGAAGGTGAAGAGCGAGCAATAACTCGGAAGTTGGTGAGATACACAAGGTACATTGATTAACAATACCTAACTACCTTAGTTACTTACTTAGTACGCAGTAGTCGGGTCACGTGGGCTCAAATACTACTGCTCTATACCGCTCCCGCCGCTGGTTCTCGGCAGGTGTCTAGCACGTGATCCAGTATATCGTATGCAAGGGATGGACTCTAGAAGAGTTTAACTAATCAATTAGCATAGGTACCGCTCAGGCATCGCATCAAAGGCTATGTATGAATCCTTGCAGATTCATCAGGCCTCAGCGCTTATGCATTTTTCAAGTAAAGACTACGGGAGCGAAAAGAAAAGTGACTGGGGAGAGGTGCCTGACGGGGTGCTTGGTCCAAGGACCTGCCTTGCATGCTTTCCTTACCTCTGGGTCTCGAATCACCCCCGAAGGGCAACTGACAGTATAGTTCGACTTACAAGACAGAATTATGAGCCTCTGCAGAGTCCTTACCGCGAAGCTCAATCTGTAAGGTGGCATGAGTCCGTACCCTCATTGGCAATTACCGCTTAGAAGAAATAGCTATACTTACTTTGATACACTAAATTAACGTATTCGGGGTAGAGTCTTCATTTCATATACTTGAGAGCTTAGAGAGAGAAAAGTCCAGACACCGTGGACAGCATCCAGAGAGACGCGGACTCGCTCGGGAGTGAAAGGTCCGGATGCCTCCCTCCCTATTCCCCGAAGGGCAGAAAGGGACGGGGCCCCCCCTCCGGCGGAAGCAATTTATCAGTGTCAAATGCAAACCCACACTTCTCCATTTCGACCTTGAAGTCATCGAGGCAATCTTGAGGAGGAATTGTATCCAGGTACGGAAGCTCATCGCGTCCCTTCATGTCGATGAACAGCTGGCACAAGTACCTGCGATAATCGGCCTCCGCATCACCGCAGAACTTTTTGTTAGCTGCCTGCCACAAGGCCACCAGCTTGGCCCAAGGCTCTGAAAGCCCAGAGATATTTGCCTTCTTTTTATCGTTCGCTGCCTGCCACAAGGCCGCCAGCGTGGCCCAAAGCTCAGAGATATCCACATTCATTTTGAGTTGCACCAGGAACACCAGGTCCGTATACACCGAGTACCCGAATCCACGAACACGCGTGTGGTAAGCATCAGTACCCGACATGAGTGGCATGTTTCGGATGATGCGAGACTGGTGAGCTTCCACTCATCGGGCCAAGCGAGGAATCTTGACTGGGTAGAACTCCTCCTTGTCTGACTGGCGCCCCCGGGGCTTAACTCCCTTCGCCGCATTGTATTTGAACGAACGAATGCGAGGGTCCAACGTCAGCCAATAGTACGCATCATCCTTGATGGAGCGCCGATGGGAGGGATAGGGAACCCTGGAAGAGCCGTGACATGCGGAAAAGATGGAGAGGACGCACTTGTTTCCAGTCACTAGGAGAAGTAGCATAAGTAAGGTGGAAATGATAGTCCGGAGTTTCGTAAACTCCCATGAATGTGCATTCCTGGGGTTCACGAGCCCACGGCGGGTATCCTGATTCAGCCCTACACGGCGAGTCTCCCAACTCAGTAAGTTCTTCCGCTGCCTCTTCGCTGTAATCATCCTGGACTACTCACGGCGGGTATTCTAATTCAGCCCTACACGGCGAGTATCCCAACTCAATAAGTTTCTCCGCTGCCTCTTTGATGAAATCATCCTGGATTACCCATATACGTTCATCACCATCGTAATGAAAAGGTGCGCCATAAATAGATAGAGCGTCCGGCCCGCACATGAAATTGGGGAAGCCATTGGAATCCAGGCAGTGAGCCAAGGAGGACTCCACGATCTGGTCCAGCAAATCATGGCGATGCCCGCTGGGCTCGTCAAGGATTTCAGTTGGAATCCATCCGGGAGCCAAACGAGACCTCTTGCAGACAATCACTTTTCAAGGGGCTCGAGTCAAGTGTAGATAAAGGTTTTGAATCCTGTCAACTAAGTTGCCGATACAGTAAATGTAGTCTGGGAGGCAAGAAGATAGTTTATATAGACATTCTCTGCCGCTTGAATTGGTCCTCTCGTGGAATAATCATAAATTGGGGGCGGAGCATGAAGTGTCGTCTCCTTTGTCTGCTGTATTTCTGAGCCAGCCACTCCAGACAATCTTCTTCAGGCCCTTGTTCCCTTGTACTGGAATGATAACCATGCCTTTCGATACTCTGTCCTCAGCTTTGGGTCTTTTGTCTCTCCAATGATCCGATTTCTTTGTACTTACACCAACAATATGTTCTCTTTTTGTTCTAGGCTTTTTAGCATTCGAGATACTGGTAGTAGGAACCAGCAACAACCAGTACCTCAAAAACTCTTTGTATCGGTCTACACTCAATTCAAAGCCGTGAGGGTAGGTGCAAACTGTCTTTGGGTCGATCGTATCAAGCCACCAACTTCAGTTGGAGTCTTCCCTTTCATTCGGACGCGGTGGCGGTAGCGATGGATTAGATCGAGGGCCGAGGCACCCTGGGGTCGTTCTACCACTCGCCTTCGAAAGAACTCAGCGCGATATGATGCACATGTGGTGTCATGCCAGGATGGTGGCCGAAAGCATGGACTAATCGGCTGCATGCACGACGTTGGGCAGATGTGCGCTCAGTGACGCTCCCGCCCACCGACCGCCAAATCTGCCCCGTTGGTGAAGTCAGCTGGCCCCGAACCCGAACAGCGGCAAGTCATTTCTTGGGGCGTTTGACCGAAGGTTGAAGGTTGTGTGCATGACCCTATCAGTCTAGAGTCTCTATTCATTCATGGCTTCCACAAGTAACATGAACCCGGAGACCGAGACAAACGATCTCTCCTACAAGCTAAACTCTACGAGAACCACAACCATGTCGTGCCAAGTCGAAGGAACCGCCCTGATTACCGGAGCTGGCTCAGGTTAGAGAGCACAGCAGTTTTTCAGTTCTTCTAGAAAGAAAGACTGACTCGACAAGGCAGGTATCGGAGAGCAGACAGCCCTTCAGCTCGCTGCGAACGGCATCTCAGCACTGACCTTGTTGGACATTGATCCGGCGGGCTTGGACCGCGTGCACCAGATCTTGCAAGCCAGCCATCCGGGCGTGCAAGTGCTTATTATGCCGGCGGATGTGGCTGATGAAGCAGCTGTGGATGCCGCATTTCAAGACACCGTGGCCAAGTTCCAGAGAGTTGATATTGTCATCAACGCAGCTGGAGTTGGTCAGCCTTTCCAGCCAACGCCTGAACTTAGCAAGGTGGACTGGGAGAAGGTGATCCGGGTCAATCTCACCGGCGTATGGCTATGCCAGCGGGCAGCTATCCGGCATATGCTTGAACAACCGTACAATACTCATGTCCCCCCACGGGCCCTCATTCTAAATTCTATACCGTCTAACTTGGTGAGTGCAGATCTCGCAGCGCGCGCCAGGGTCGAGGCGTCATCGTCAACATCGCCTCTGCTTTGGGCCTGACGACCCCATCGACTGGACTACCCACTACAGCCTATGTGTCTTCTAAGCATGGTAGGCGCTTCCAGACCCATGATAAGCATATCTGACCACGACCTTTCTGATGAGGGATATCAATTAGCGGTTATGGGCCTAACCAAGTCGGTCAGTAGGCGTGCTCGATTCGTGCACATGCCCCTCGCGCTAACAATCAACATCTTACAGGATGCGAGGATATACGCGGAGCAGGGAATACGGATCAATGCAGTGTGCCCAGGGTGGGTTCAACCATTCGCAGCTCGGTTGTGATTTCCCTTGGGTGCTGACTTGGTCACAGCTGGGTCCGCACTCCCTTAATGCAGTCGGAGCTTGACTCTGGTGCTCTGTCCGCAGAGATCCTCAGTGCTCCGGTGAAGAGAATAGCCGAGACCGAGGAGATTGCGAGTGCCATTCTATTCCTGGCGTCCCCGATGAGTAGCTTTGTCTATGGCGCTGGCCTGATGGTGGATGGAGGGTATAGCCTGTGACGGGTCGTGTGAGGCCAGCGCAAAACGTCTGAATTTCATAATGAGATGGTTGCCAGATCATGGCCAGGGACTGATGAATCTTAAGGGGCAGAAGCCCCCCCTGCGTTGCGTTGCAAAGGCATACTAAGCGTTTCTTCAATCTGAGCACTTTTCCAAGATCTCTCAAAGCATTTCCCCAAGCATCTCGTCTATTCAGTCACTTAGAAGCCCAATCACCTCCCCGCCCGGTCCGGTCCTCTTCCCACTCTTTACCTCACAGCCGGCAAACTGGCTGAACCGAGAAATGGAAATTAAGAGTGACGGAACAATTTCCCATAACCGCCAGTAGCGCAAACCAATCTATAGGTAACGGCCCGACCCCGCCCGCCCCGCTTTCTAGCCAGCTTTCTGTCCCGACAACCAATCAAGATCTCTCCCAGCTTCCAATAAGCATGGGCCAATCCACGCCAAACAGCCTCCGTCCATACATACCTTACCGTGGGCAGGGACGGTATAACCTCGAATCAGCTGACAACAAGCGACTGGCAACGATATCTCTGGAAATCCGAGTTCCACACTCATCCTCGGAAGAGCCCTCCCAGGGAGTTGTCAGATCTCACCTAATCAACATTACACTTGCTTCTGTGTAACCGCCCCACCTTATCCTGACCTCAGGACGAGATTTCGAGCTGTATGAGAGGAAATGCAGCACAAGTTCCCTCGGGGTTAGTTGGATGATTGACTGGGTGGTAGCTAGCTATTAACGGTCGGTCTCTTTCTACGTAAGTGGCTGAACGGCGAGGGATTATGCGCGCGACTGGCCGGGTAGGTATCAACGATGTGGTCTCCCGGGCGCAGCTATGTTCGGGAGAGAACCGGAACTGCCGTACGCATAGACTTGCGATTTCCTCTGTCGATTCTGCGGAGCGTCTCTCTTAGAAAGTATCTGGTGAGTGGATGGATTGGGATACCCGCTATACTAGTGGTAGCATGGACTAGAATATACATACCGGTCGTTTGGACGTGTGTTGCTTCGGTTCTACAGTATCTGTGAGAAGTTAAATAGTGCAGGTAGGTAGTTTGTATATTGATGTCTCCCAACTTGAGATCGTAAGACATGTAAAACGGCAGATGGATTGGTGCCTAGTGTCCTGGGACACCAATGGCAGGACGCTATGGGATGAGGCAAACAGTGGCTATGCTTATGCCCTGCACCACAAAATAAGAAGAGACTCCATTCAGAAGAAGCATCGTGATTGCGATCGCGCACTGAGATCGCGCACTGAGCAACTTGATCCTTGGCTCAGACCACGCGCAAATAGATCATCGCCGAACCTCCAGTCTTCATTTCCTTGCTGCATTGCAGCTAGTTCCCACGTCGAACTTGGCTGCCATGCTGTGTAATGTATTAAGTACAGTCATGTCGGTCTATCCTGGTCAACATGGTAGAACCATGCATGCTCCACACGATATGATCTAGATTCCCGTTTCCTATATTAGGGGGGGGGGGGGGTGTTTATTGGTCAATCTGACGAGTATCTCGAGTACAACATTACTGTGAGCAGCCATCTCCGCACTAACTACTGAGTCCCTGGCAAAAAGATCGCGACAGCATACGGAGTACAAGTAATATATCCAAGCCCGAGGCCGTCAGGAATTCCTTGGCAATGAGACACCACGACCAATAAGACCTCAAAATATCAAGGGTGAGTTGGCCACACAGATCGACGTGATAAGCGGGCCTGGACGGGTGTGATGGTGTCTCGATTGCACATGTCATGTTCCCTGTCGCCCCCTCCTCTTCTTCCTTTCCTTGCCTTGGACAGGGCGGCGGGCCGCGGCCGGGCCAGACAAACTGATACGTGAGATGCGTCGCGATCTACAAGACTCTCTTGTTCTAGAGCCGTCAATCTTGTTTCGGTTTGATCAATTTACCATCCTTCTTATCCCGGGAGGATATCCTGATAATCATGCTGGTATAGCCTGCCCGCCCCGTGGTGGTCTCGGACCCCCTCGATCTATCGAGCGGTGCATTCTAGGTCGATGGCTACTGGGCCATACGGAGGATCTGGAGGGGTTGAGTTTGGGGGTTGGGCGCCCAAGTGGAAAAGACAGACGGGCTGCGGGGGGCCTTGGAGATTGATTTTACTGGACTGAGTTTAAGAAGAGAAAAAGTATATTCTGGTAGGCGACTGTCTGCAAGCCACATGGATGGCGTTAGCGGGCTGGGGAGCAGCAGGATTGCGTTACCGTACCGCGTGAGACGGATGATGTGCTGCTGGATTTTCGATCCCAGGGAGATGTGGGTTGATCGTTGGAAAGCCAGATTGTCTGGGAAGTTATGTATGGTGAGTCAATCGGGATGGCGGTTGTGGCTTGTTCCGGATGATGCTAGAGGTTAAAGAACTATACGGAGTAATTCATTGTGTTGGGCTAAAGATAGCAATGGCTTTGTGTCGGAGGGATCCGGACACGGTTGGCAGGTGTCCCGGGTATGACCGGGTGTGCTGGGAATACCATGTAGACACATACCGTCTGTGTCCCCAGGGCAGTTGCACCAGTCAGAGCACAAGGCAGGGAAGAAGCAGACACGACAATCATTCCGGGCGTCTCCCAGTGGTGGGAAAATCCCACGGAAGGCATTTAGCCGGGGTCACTCCAGTTACGTATTCGAATCCCCCGACCAGGCCAGGCCAGGCCAGACCTAGGTCAATTACAGGATTTAGTGCAGCGTGTCTGGGACGAAGTATACACATCTCACGATGGAGACTAATTTCTCCGTGGCTTACTGCGCGGTTTGGCACACGGTGCCACACACAGCCAAACAAACACCGCCGTGGGCGCCATGCTCGATTCCAAGGCAGATGGCGTGAAAGAGTATGCAATCATTGCACTGGCTGATAACATGGCATGCCGTCATCACCGCACCGAAGCTGGGAGGTTAATTGAAGTCCATCACGAACCCTGACACTCGGTCACCCCATACTTGGCTGTGTGTGTCGCACATCCCATCCTCTTCACTCTCCGGATCGAATTCCCCAGAACCCACTTGGGACCAGAGGGAATACTTCCAGTCCAATCGCTCAGAAATCGGACGGAACCACAAAGGACGAGTCGATCCACGAAAGTTCAGATTAACCTTAAGTTCGCCTCCGAGGGGGGTGTCATGTTGTCAATCATGAACAATGAATGAGATCATGTTTTCGTAACCCAGGGCCGACATTCGTACGGAAGAAAAGTTGAGTGCTTGGCGAGCTGGGGGATTAGTCACGCGCCGCTTATCGGCTCAGAAAGAGCAAAAACCAAAAACCCAATCTCGGGGCGGGTACGAGTCGAGTCGAGTCGGTTGTTCGAGGGGAGGGTTGGTTGCTAAGCAGATTTGAGCATCCATCCAGTAAAAGGGGGAAAGTGCAGCGAAAAACAAGATGCGTACCTGACTACGAGAGAAGTTCTCCGACGCTAGTCCCAAAACCTGCCAGGTCTGTAGGAAATGTAGGAAGGGAAAAGCGCCGAAGGAACAGCACAGAGCACATCCAGGGGGGTTATTGTTACTATTGTAAAGTTCTAGGTCATTATAGAATCACCTGGACACCATTTTCTTCTCCAATGCTTCTCCATTCCCACAGTTCCCACAATACCACATGCACACCGGCGAGCGTTTCCCCTGCAACCCTAAGCGCACAGGGTTGCTCTAGTGTCGATCTGGTCTAGTGTTACTGTCTTTAGCAAGGGGCACTAGTCCTGATTAAGTCTATGACCCCGCATAATGAAGCCAATCACGAGGACAGCCACGCATATCCCTTACTGTTTGTCCAAGCAGGTCGCTGGCAGGGGGGTTCGTTCTCCAGATTATCTGAGCTGCACATGGTACAGGGTCAGAGACCGTTGAATAACTAGGTGACCTGCTTACCCCTCATTTGGCGGTAATTGAGTTGGGATTTGAAAGAATAACCGCGATGTCCGACCAGAGAGGGGGTAACCGAGATTCGGACAAAGGTTAGAGAGGGAGAGAGGGAGAAGTAAACTGAGCGGAGGCCGGCCGCGCGCACACAACGCACGGCCAGGTCAAGTTACTAAAAGCAAAGTAACATCTGGTAACCTCGCTCCAGTTCCCAAGCCTGACCAGACTCGCTCGCCGGCGTCGAACATTCCATGGTTTGCCGTCAGACCCGGACCCACTTACTGGTCAGCTGCCCGACCAGTTTCGTGAAGTGGAGTCGAGTCGAGGCCCTTTTTTGACTCTTTTTTTCCCTTTTCCCCCGGTAAAAGTATTGGAGTGCAGTAAAGATCACCCCAATGCTGACTGTACATCGTACTTACGTTTTTCCATGTGGGAAGACGTGCGCGTTCCCTTTATTCGCCTCCTTCCCAGGTCCCAACAGGGTTTTACTCTGTGCCGTCCAAATTTAAACCCTGTCGATTAGCACGATCATCCGACAGAAAGGAACGATAGTATGATTCGTTTCTATGATGGTAGGAAGATGTAGCAAAATGTATGTATGTACAAGGGAACAATACAATTCGTACCGAAAACGTGGTGGCTTGATACATACAATAGTGCAAAGAATAGGCGCGTGGTGTAACAAAGTCTAGACCCGAGGATCATCCGCTTGCAGAATCTGCCAGATCAGATGGTCGACCAGGCCGGATTGCTCTTTTCGGATTTCCGTCACCACAGGTTTGGTAATTTTCCCTCCCTCCCGAATCCAGTCTGCCCTGAGCGGTTCCATCCCACCTCCCCCCCCCTCCAGCTCCTCCTCCCTCTGCCGACTCGGGTCTCCCTCCACCATAGTATTTCTTCTCTCGTTCTCCCCTCCCTCCTCTTCGGATCCTTTCCTCTCTTTTTCTTTCTCTCCAGATTTTCCCTCCAGATCACTCCCAAAAGTCAATCGTCGCGCATCAAGCTATTTTCCCCTTTAGCATTGTACCCACATCCAACATACTGCACTCGCACGCGCGACTAGCACATAATCATCCCTCCAAGTAATTGAGTCACATCCTCACACTCCCACATAGGGAGTCTTCCAAACTTGGTCTTGAATCATTATTATCATCATTGCACATCTTATCCACCAGCGCAATGGCTGTTACCACCATCGATATCATCCCTAAAACCTCTTCCTCTCCTCTTTCCTCCAACAACCCCTCCATGAATAAGCGTTGGCCTCCTCTCGCCGACAAGACTTCTCTCCCTTACAAGCTCACCACCCTCTCGCGTCAGAAACTGGCTCGCGAGGCCACCGCCCCGGACCCGGACATCCGCCGCTGCCTTGGCCACTTCCGTCTACACTGCCGGTCTATGGAGTGGGCGCAGAAGGATATGTCAACGCGCATCAACTCGTTCGAGATGGAGGACGACGAGTCTGAGGATGAGGAGGACAGGGAGGACGAGAACAAGAAGCTTTTCGACGACCGCAAGGATGAAGATCAAACCTCGATCAAGCCCGCTTCCACCGAGCCTGCCGACAAGGCCACCTCGGAATTGGAGACCACCACTGTCCACGTGAGCTTCCACGTCTCGACTCCCTCGGCTGCCGACAAGGAGAAGGAGAAGGAGAAGGAAGGAGGACTACTGGAGAAGGGCCGCAACTGCTTGGAGAAGACGGTCCAAAGGAACCATTTCTGGCCCTCGCCGGGTCAATGCCTGCCTGTCCGAATTGCAGGTTAACCTCCTCGCTGCGTTGCAACGCTTCAACTCATCTCAACTCACCTCATCAACTTCCAACATTCACTCTACGGAACACCTGATCTCGCTCTCATCAAACCAACCTCGAATCCGATCACCGGAAAAACCAACAAAGTCACTATCACCTTCCACCTCATTAATTATAATCACGAACGTCACGAAGCCACGATTTTCTTTCTACCTGTTACCATCACCATTTCATCTATACATATAAGCAGCGGAGTTCGAGTTCGATCATCATTCTCATTCAGAACCATGGACAGGTTCCATTACTAGCTTGGCGTTGGTGTGCAAAGCTATTTTACAGATCACAGGTGTTAATTGCAAGAGGATCGGAGCACAGCGAACTGGGATGCGGCCAGACAGCACAGCATTGGATATCGATCGGGACTGTATTTAACATTTGTTTCACCCTCGCGGTAAAAAGTCAAACCTCTAGATTTAAAACATTTTAAAATGATAAAGAAATTGAAAAACAAGTCAAAAAAGTGTTTCTCCTGAATAACATGACTCAGTAGTACCATGAGCATAGCTATAGTTGCTCTTCAAGACTTTAGACCTCAACCCCATACCTCGCTCCCCAGGCCCAGGGGGGCCCCCCATTGCTCACCCGCAAACAGCCTGACGCATAATGTTAATGCACAGCACAAAATCTGCGTACTAATCAGCACAAAATCAGAGACATGAGTCAAACCAATCCACACAATCCACAATCCACTCCCCAACTCTCCCCTCTCATGCCCTCAGTAACTGAAGAAATCAACTCTATCCCCAAAAGCCTAACATACTCCCCCTCACGAAAACCCAAACATACACCCTCGTCCCAACGTCCAATTGAACTCCATACCATCGGAACTCTTTCACCGAACCAAAAGAGTTCCCACCCGTCTTACCCTCAAACGCAACAATGATGCAACACCCGGAGCCCCATACTTAGGTCTCTACCAATTAGAGTTCCGCGGTCTACCTGCAGTACGTATCCTTTCCTTAGGGTCAGCAATCACTGCCCACTTGAACCCTGTCTCGCCACATTGGTGTCATCGCTGCGATCGTTGATCGTTGAGTTTTGGGACTGTGGGGTTGTGCTGATTTACTCGTTTGGGACTGGATGATGCTAGCCCGTGGGGATGGGATTGCGTTTTTGGGCATGGGTGGTGGTGCGATCATACTACTTACGTAGCTTGTACTGTATAGATGTGGGGAAAGTTTGGGACTTACTCGGTACCTATCTATCTATGATGCTTGCGTATACATGTGATTGTGTGGGTTGGTGGATTGGTACGAGTACATGTAGGTTGGGGGTGGTGGTGTGGTAGGGCTGATCGATGATCAAATCGAGGCGATTATGGCGTAGGGTATGATGTTGCTCTGGGGTCCCGGTTGAGTCTTCAAGTTGTAGGGGAGGAGAGGGGGTGAGGTGGATATGGGGGCGAGTGGTGTGAGTTCAATGGGTTGAATTGCTTTGCTTCGCCTCCGTGGGGAATGGTGAGGCTTCGTTGAGTTGGACTGGATAGGATAGTACCTGTGTGGTATAGGTAGGGGTCGGGGGTTGCCACTTGGGGTTTTGCTGTTGGGCTTTCTTTGGGAATGTTATGGGTGTTTGCTTGTTTGTTTCTAACTTGTTTATGCTGGTGTGGTAAGGGGTTGGATGGGGACTTGATTGATGCATTGAGAATAGATGGGGCTATCAGCTAGGCGAAACTTGCTGCAGAAAGGAGAGGATACATTGCAGCGGCTGCTCAAGACGGTCTAGTTTATCCATTTTTATAGGAAAAAAACCCAAGAACTAACTAGACAGTACCTACTTCCCAAACAATACCGCCTGAGTATCGTACGTATACTTCAAATCCAGATGCCAATAGTTGGCCGAAGTCGCCTTGACGTCCATCCACGCCTCATCCACGGCGTTCACCACCTCCTCCGGCAACGGACTCCTCTCCAACATGGCCAAATTCTGCTGCAACTGCTCGAAGCTACTCACCCCGATCAAGATCCCATCCTTGCCCTGATCTCCCAGTTGCAGCTGCGAATGATGGCGAATCCACCGGAACGTGATCTCCGGCAACGTCAAGCCATGCTTCTCCGCCGCCGCGCGGATCACCCCCAGAGCCGTCAAGACCGCGTCATTGAAGTACGGCTGCCGATACAGCGCACCCGTGGTGTTCTTATCGCTGAACCGCCCTTCCTCCGGCTTAGCGGCGCCAGGGTTATACTTCCCAGAGAGGATCCCGCCCGCGAGGGGGTTGTAGACGACGATCTCGAGGCTGTACCGCCGACAGCAGGGGATGAGTTCCGGTTCGATATTTCTCGCTGAACGCTGTTAGCCTTCCATTCATGCTTTTATCTCAACCACGACCCGCAATACAGCACCCTCTCCAAACACAGAGCAAATAGATTAACCCATTAATAGCATTATACATCCCCTGGATCACCGTCAGCCTCTCCCATCCGCGCTCATGACACAGCGTCACAATCTCCGCCACCTCGAACGCGGTATAGTTGCTCAATCATAGCCGCTTGAACTTCCCTTCCCTGTACACCGTGTTCACCGCCGCGAGGGTGTCGGCGAATGGCGCCGACCGGTCCGCGGCGTGCAGGCAGAAGATATCCACTTGCTCTGTCTGCACCGCCATCAGGGACTCGGTGAACTTCCGGCGCAGCACGTCCGGGCTGTGCATGCCTTGCTTCGTGGATTAGACCTTCGTGGCCAGCGTTAGGCCGCGGTCCTGCCAGCCGACCGCCGCGGTGAACGCTTCTTGCTGCTCGCCGATGTACATCTGCGCGGTGTCGACTTCGGTGTAGCCTTGCGCCGTGAAGTAGCCGAGGCAGGCACCGAATTCCGAGAGGGAGGTGATGCGTGCGCCCTGGTTTGGGTCTGGGCTGAAGGTCATCAGGCCGAGGATGATTCGGGGTTTTGTGGTGGTGGTGGGCATGGTGGTGGGTTTGTTTGGGTTGTGAAGAGAGATGGGTGGTAGGTTGTGTTATTTGTGGGAAATGATTGCTGCAAGAGATCTGAGGTGAGATGAGGCAGGTTTATATATGTGGAGTTTTGAAGGAAGCTGAAAAGGATGACGATGAGAATTAATTTTTTCAATGTCGGGAAGGCGCTCGGGATGCCGATGCGGAGCGGACGGACGTGCGCAGGTGCGGAGGAAGATTGCGGCCCGCAACATGCAAGGTACCGCAACGTTATATCATTGACTACAACGTCAACAGAGGAGCATCTGAACCTCTATCCAAGGTGATCTCGACTTGTATAAATACTCATCAGTGCAGCATACGCCGTAGTATCTCAGACACAAAACTTACAAACACACGAAACATGGCCAATCCAACCCCCCGGCAACCGCCTCCCATCAATATTCCGCCGTCTGATTAGACGGTGCGGGTCTCCATTATCGACAAGTACAGCCATATCTCCAACAGACAAGAGTTTTGGATTGGACTCTTGGTAGAGATCATCTTCACCCACTTCCCAAGTCCCCCAAGGAAGAAAAATAGTCTGGGCCGAACCGACTGGAACCTCAATTGACCGCCACTAACCATGAAAACAGTGGCTCACGCCTGGACTTAACTTCCTCAACCTTCTTCCAACCGACCTACAAAGGCTGCCACCGCTACCGCGTGCCCAGCTTCTGTTTCCTCCTTGAACACGCGCCCACCAACCAAAAGCTTCTCTTCGACCTCGGCATCCGTCCCGACTGGAGCAACCTGCCCCCAGCGACCGTCCAGCTCCTTGAAAGCCACGCCGACTGGAGATTCCCCACCGTCCACAACACAGCAATCGTCCTACAGACTCACGGCCTGGACGCCCCCAACGGCGCCATCGACGCCGCCATCTGGAGCCACCCGCACTTCGACCACATCGGCGACCTGACCACCTTCCCGCCCACCACCGCACTCATCGTCGGCCCATCCTTCCAACAGACCTTCTTACCAGGCTACCCCCTCAACGAATCCTCGTCGCTCCACCACCACGATTTTGAAAATGGCCACACCATCTACGAAATCAACTTCGATGACACCCTCAAAATCGGCCGCTTCCAAGCCCATGACTACTTCGGCGACGGGAGCCTGTACCTGCTGAACACCCCGGGCCACACAGTGGCGCACATCTGCGCCCTCGTTCGTACCACCCCTTCCACGTTTGTGCTCCTCGGCGGCGACGCCTCGCATCACCCTGGGGAGTTCCGGCCCTCGGAGTATGTGGTCCTGCCGGAGGAGATCGAGCCCTCGCCGGTGCCGGACCTGGCGTCCCCGGGGTGTCCGGGCCATTGGTTTGAGGCGGTCCATTGCGGGAAGACCCGCACGAGCCCTTTTTATCGGCTGGCGCCGGAGTTGAATCATGATTTGGCGGTGGCGAATTGGACGATTGATGGGCTAGAGTTGGATGGGCTGGAGGGGGTCTGGATTGTTATTGCACATGATACGTCGATGGTGGGTGATGACGAGGGGGAGGTAGATGGGGTGGGATTCTTTCCGGAGAAGACGATCAACAGCTGGCAGGAGGAGGGGTTGAAGGAGAGGTATCGGTGGAGGTTTCATGGGGAGTTTAGGGAGGAACTCACTGTGAGGGCTTTTAGGTAGAGAAGTGCTGACTCTGGGGCGTGTAGGTTATACTAGAGATGATGCAGATCGGACATGAAGGTTGCCGTGTTTGATTCAGAAAACATTACCGTTGACCTTGTGCACATTTTTGCTCTTGTCTATGTGGATATCTGGTGCTGGGCTGAGTCTTCTATAAACCAGTCTATATTCCAACCCATCCTCCCTTTCAGAATTCCCACCCGAACCTCAAAAGACCAGATACAAAAAAGCCTTGAAGCCCCTTTCAAAACACCCGTCGGCAGAACACGAATTGCATGCCGCTGGTTTATATCCCGTCTTTCAATGCGATATGTGCAATCATGACGAAATCGGACGACGAGAAAAACACACCCTCTATACAAATCCACCGGTCCCGAATCTCAACCCTTACATCATCTGCCACGCTTCCACAATTTCCGGAGAAATGATAGTACCAAGCTGCCAACGCCGCCCTGACACCGGCAATAAATTTGCTTGGATTCCGAGCTGTGATCTGGGCGCTATAGGGTGAAATTCCGTCATGTTGTATTGGCTGGGTGGAATGCGTTATGCGTCCATGTCCAAAATATGCATTTGCGGGTAGCTTAACCCTAAGATTGTCCCGTAGCCCTTAGTGCCTGAGGCATTCACGGGCTGTATTGTGCGAATGAAAGTATAGCACATTGGTAGTTCTCGAGATCTAACCTACACATACACAGGTGAAGGAACGTGTCATTCGAGCTCCTCTTTCAGGTAAGCCTTTGCTTATTCTCTCAGCCTGATTTCAACAATGCACTTAACGGCACCTTGAACAGGCAACCAAAGCTCCGTCAAAGACATTCCTATAGGTGCTTCCGAGAATGTGTTCAACCCAAGCCTTAGCTGAATCTTTCCGTTGTACTCTAATTCATACATTCACTAAGCATCAAAGAGCTCATCCATTATTACGAACAGAGGGCACACTCAAGAGTTTCTTCAACCTCACTTTCGACGTTTTCTGCGGTGTTTTACCGGAACATTCCTCTAATTCCTGCCTTTCGACTCAGCCTCAAAGAAAACATTAACACAACGTCCTCAAAATCCAAAGACGCTTATGCACACAATACAAGACCAAATTCTCTCTATAAATTCACAGTCGAGATCCAATTCATTCTACTCCACCAAGTCCGTTTCGAAACCAACACCGACACCAAAACCGTTGTCCACATCAACAATCACACATCCAACCACAACCACAAATACTACCAGAGAGAACACGTCATACAAATGCCTCCCAAGCTCGAAACACTCATTGTCAAAGGCGAAGTCTCGATGGTTGAGCCCAACGAAGTCGGCTCCCTGACCTTCGATCACTCCAACACCTCCCCTAAGGCCATCAACGCCCTCGGCACGCGCAACCTCAACTGGTACAAATCCGTCGCTGTGGTCATGGCCACGCAGCACTGCGCCGTGATCGCGCACATACCCTCCGACAGCCCTGATGACCGCCTCATCTCCAACGGGCTGAAAGCCTTCATTGACAAATGCCGCGCCACGGTGCCGGCAGACGACCGCTGGCCCCGGCATTTTGCGATCATCAACCCCGTCGAGGACACAGACTCAGATATCACTAATTTTCGCCGGGACCGCATCGTCGCATTCCTGGCAGACCATCACCAGCCCGGGGATTTGAAGCCGAAGGTGTTCAATTATGTGGTGAGTATGGAGTACGATTGGACCAAGGCGTTGGTCTTTGTGGATGCGAGGACGCCGGGTAAGGTGACTATCTTTGTGGAGGATCAGGATGCGATAACTTTCTATAGCACTTCCTGAGGTGTTAATTGATGTGGCGACACTGGACTGTGCGTGTGCGTGGGCGTGGGCGTGCGGTTGGTGACGTTACGATTACAGCTTTGTAAAACGATATTAGAAACAATTAGACTGTTGTCTTTTTATGACTATGTGCAGTGTTTACCAAGTAGATTTTTAGAATGTGTAGAGGTTGTTAGATAGTTTACAACCTATGAGGATGGTAGAAAATGGTTTCGTAGAAGTTGGTGATAGCATTTTTCTATGATAGTAGCTAAATATACTGGGAAGACTGCCGAATAGGCAGTTCGTTCTGACGGAGTTAAGCTGAGCTGAGCGGAGCTGAGCTGTCAGGGAAGCCACTTCGTGACGTAGATAGCACGGAGGTCGTTGTTGGACTGGCTCGTCTGCCACTTTTCGGGTAGCAGTTCAGACCTGGAAGTATTACACAAGCCAAACAAAGCTCTTTCGAAGAAATAAATGTGTGTTTGTATTGAAGTCGTTGAAAAGCTGTAATTGTTGGCGAAGACGGCTCTGCGATAGCTTGGTGATATGATAATCCAGCGGAGTTATCAGCCTCCACCAGAAAAGAAATCACGAAAAGGGTTCAAAGTGTATATAAGATGATGTCAGATAATATCCGCGCATGCCGTACGTTCCTGCCTCATGCTGGGAGAACCGTCATATGGGTGGGTGTACGGGACCTATACGTCGTTGCGATGGGATAGATACCCATGAACTTGGGACTGAGACGGAAGCACAGCCCAAGTCCATAGAGCGAACGCAAGCCTGCCTTCGCTTCAAGCTGCCTCCGACTTGCGCGAGCTCTGGGATCAAAAACCCCCATCTAGCATGCAAGTTCCTACCCCTAAAACTTACCAACCGACCAAGCACCAGAAAGAACCAACAGCGAATACCCTTCCCTCCCCTTCCCTCCCCGTCTCCCTCAATCCTATCATATCCCCACCACATAAACCCAAACCCCAGCCTCAACCTCATCAAAAAACCCCTCTCCTACAGCTAGTCAATAGGATAATATTATGATAAGAAAAACAAAAAGCTCACCTCTCTCTCTCTGTGGACTCCCGGTGCACCAGGACCCCGCGTAGAGGGCCACGAAAATCCCCGGTGATTTTTTGCAGACGCGCCCCCGAGGGCGGCTCGTACTCAGGACTCCCCATAGTCTGGTGCGGCCGCCAACCCACTAGATTATGTTCATTCTGAGTTTGGTGACCGGTAGGGATGTATTCTGGCTTATATGTTTGCTTTTTTGGGCCGGATGCGGAAGGGTTGGGACCTGGGATTTTAGGTTGGATATCTGGGCCTTGGGGCCTGAGTGCCTTGGATTCTGGGGTTGTGCTAAACGCTTCCTAGGGTGGGCTTGAGGGGGTGGAGGATGTGCTGGGGTTTTGCTTTTGGTTGAGGGGTTTTAGTCTTCGGGTAGAGTCGGGTGTTTTGATGTGGCTGATGATTGGGGCTGGGGTTGCGACGCTAGGTTGAGGGAGGAGAAGCAGAGAGGAGTTGATGCAAGCTTGTGGTATAGTTGTGTGTGTGGGTATTGCAACGTTTGGAGCTGAGCAATGGGAGACTGTCTTGACCTTAGTATTCACATTAGTCAATGTGGGGATGTTAGGTTTATACTCGAGAGACAAGGATACTACTTTACTATACCGCAAGATCTAGAGCGAGGCAGTAGTCTATAGCTATAGTCGTCTTGTTTGAAGCAACCAACCCTGCCTCTCAGCACGCTATCATCAAACATCAGACGGCTCTCTCAACAAGTATCCCTAAGTAGTGCATTCCTAACTTCTAAATAAAGCCAACAGCATCAGCTATATGCTAACTCCAAGCTATGCTTTCCACTATCCTGAATCACCAACAGCCAAAGCAACAAACAACAAAACAACCCCCACTACACCCCCCTCCTCCTCCCACCACTCACCACCGACACGCCCCAATTCTAAACCCCTGACTTTGCTGCCCCCCCATCACCGCAGTCCTGATCACTTGCCGCTCCAGCACCGCCACCGCCAACTCCGGGTACCGCAACAAGACCTGCCTCCCGGCAGACAGGGCCAGAAAGTGCTGGATAGTGGACGAAACGACCTCGACGACGGCGCGACGGAGGGTTGGCTGGGGGGGCGGAGCAGCATTCCAGATGTTCTCCACTACGCCCGGAAAGTGGGCCCGACTCCAGTGGTTCTGCATCCAACTCTTGATCCGGCCCGCTGCCAGCTGGCGCAGCGGGAAGATGCTGAACCTGTCCGCCGCCAGGTACACGCGCAGGTCGTGCTCGATCGTCACGAAGGCCTGCGGGTGTGTGTAGTCTTGGAGGTAGCAGAAGCGGAGGACGGATTCGATGGTTGAGGCGTCGTCCGCGGGGAGGTGGATGTGTTGGGTTTGGGCTTCCTGTAGCCGGGGGTTTTGATTAGAGCGGGGTTGGTTGAGAGGGAGAGGGATTATTTTGACGGGTTGAAGGTAGAAGGCTCATACTTTGAAACTACCTTTCAACGCGGCTTGGAAAAAGAGTGACTGTGGACAGATGATCGCCCGGTGGACGTGGAAGTCCCGCCCTGGACATGAGATAATCACATCTGCGAATTCGCTGTCCTGGGATAATTTCATCATAGAGGCTGAGATCGGAGAATCCCATTGCTGGGGATATAGTTGGGGAGATAAGAATATGAGAATGAGTGTGGTTGGAGGAGTTGGCCTTAAGTTGTGCTGTCGAGGAGGAGGAATCATATCGTGAGGTGGATATTCGGGGGTGTTTTACTATCATACAGGCGCCGGTCCCTTGGACAGCAGTTCCTTCCCCAGCATAGCTGAGTGCATTCACTCACAAGGTTAGGTTTTCAGAGCGGAGATTGACGCTCAGTCCTTCGCTAGTACTAGCAAGCGTTGAAAGTTACTTCAAGCAGCAGCTTATTTCACCTTTCCATGCTATCCATGGTTCATAAGGCATCTGGATAACTTCCGCTTCCCAGCAAGAGCTAGTAAAGGAGAAGTTCAGCTTGGGTCAACCTTCACACACGACAGTTCTCTCAGCAGTCATTCGAGGAGAAGAATGCGCTAGAGGGAAGTCTACCCAACTTTGCTAAGCTGTTGTCTCTTCTAACCTTCTCATGTCTCATGGACCATCAGGCTTTTCGTGACTATCAAGGCGCTTACCGTGATTTCTCCTTCCAACCCAACCCGAAACCGCTACCATATTCCTATAGCATTTGAGACGCTTGCTCAGCGCGCAACCACCATCAATTCGTGAATTTTCAGATACTTGAGTACCCGATCCTTACTGATCAACGGAAGCTGCACTGATAGAGCCTCAAGGGAGCTAAGGACACCCCCTACTCCTCACATCAGCGATATAAGCCTCTCACAAGTCACTCTTATCACACCATGTTCATGTTACTGACCCACAAAAGACTCAACAAGTTACGCCTACGCCTCAAAGATCCCCTCTCCTACTCCTATGATTATGCACTCAACTAATGACAAAGAAGCAATCAAGAAATGAGTACAATTTATGTTTACTAACAGACCTTGAATACCCCGCCAAGCTAGTTTATGTTGTTTTCCCATTTTGACTTATTTCACACCAGTTTGGTATTTTTTCTTTCTTTATATACATTACTAACCTTTCTTGCTCTATACTTGTTACGACAGACTGGACGACATAATTCTGGTAGACATTTAGCGATAGCTCTACCCAAACGCACCCCCTGGGCATCTTATAACCAAACGTCCAAGCTCCCCCCCAAAAGCCCCGCCGACCCCTCAAACCTAACACACTCCACCGTCTTCGCAGGCGCGTGCACTGTCCAAGACGCCCCGTGCACAGGCTCATTGTTTTTACCCAGCTGAAATGTCTCGAACTGATACTTCACGGCGGCCTCACGGGAGACGCGCAGCCAGCCGGCCTGGCCGGCCTCCATGTCGGCAAACACCTCGTCGAAGGGAGCCCACCACGCGCTGCGCCAGCTGCCGTCCCACCACTGCGAGAGATGCAAGTTTTGGGTGGCGGGGCGGAAGGAGATGTGCAGGCGCAGGGTGTAGCCGTCGTCGGCGTAGAAGTTGATGTTCGTGTTTGCGTCGGAGTGCCCCCCAGCGAGGAGGCGGGTCATGTCCAGGCGGAAGAGGCATTCTTGGGCCCAGGAGTCGGGGATGGTGAGGGAGTCGCCGTTGAGGGAAAGGGTGTGAGCCGGGGTGCTGGCGGTGGTGGGGTGGATGCCTGGTGCGATTTGGGCCCTAGGTTGGATGGCCCCGCTAGAGATGATGGTGTTAGGGGGGGGGGTGTGTGTGTATGTGGCTCCATGAAGTGAATCGGGAGAAGGGCAGCACGGAATCGAACCTACCCAGGTGTAGATGCCAGGATCCCGCCGTGGTGGCACATGCGGTCCCGCTTCCGCTTTTGCCGCTGCAGCCCGGTGCCGCCGCCGCTTTCGTCCCAGCCGATGTGGCCGAAGTCGACTTCAGGGTCCTGAGTAGGGTCATACGGCGGGTCTCGGGGCGTGACGATGCCTTCGCACCCCGCTTCCGCGTTGGTGTCTTCGTCAATGGGGGGGCGTGGTCGCGGCGGAGGCGGGGGAGGAGGGGTCGGGTCGTTCAACAGGTCCACGCCGTCATTGTCCCAGTCGCCGAACATATGCTTGATGTCGTCCTCGGACTTGCCGTGCTGGATGGCATCGACCAGGTTCTTAACGATGCTACAGGCGGCTCAGTTCTGGGCTACCACGCAGTCTGCAACGAACCACCATAGAGCCGGGGGAAACCACTTACATTTCCAGATCCTTCTTGGCCAGTTTTTTCAACGCCTTCTTGCCTAGCCACTTGGCCATGTCCGAGGCCAGCGCCTCGAGGCCCGAGGCCATAAGCTCGTCGCTGAGCAGGTCCACAAACGCCCCGGATACCTCCCCGAGCCCCACCCCGGCGATCATCGTCAGCTCCGCTACGAGCACCCGATAGATCGTGATGGCCGTGACCTCGTTCCGCATTTTGGGGTCGCCAATATGCTTCCCGATGGCTTGCTTGGCGTACATGCCGGCATACCCAGCCACCCCGGAAGCTACCGCCGCCCCCACTGGCCCCAGCAGGGCCCCGCCAACAAGGGCCGCAGCGAGGCAAATGGTCGCGTAAGTGCACTCCGCCGCAGCGCGGATAGCCTCATTGTGGTCGCCTTCCAGTTCGTCGATGCCCGCCACAACATAGCCGATGATGGGGATATCCTCGAGCAGCCGGAAGAACGGACCCCGGAGATCCCAGGTGCCGGCACTGGGGACGTCAAAAATCAGATTCCGCGGGTTCTGAGGTGTGAGAGGGAGGGCGGTAACCGGAGGGGGGAAGCAGGGGCGGTTGAGACTTACGGATCCTGCATGACGAGCTGACCCTCATCAGTGATACTGACCCAATTCTCCATCAGCTCCCAGCAGCTGATCGAATTCAAGTTGCGGTGCCAGTCCTCCAACAGGCAGCAGAGCGTCCAGCTGCCGTCAAGGCACAGATCATAGGCGCTGTGGCTGAAGTTGCCGTTCTTCTTCGGCTTGAGGATGCCGTTCTCGTTGCCCAGATGGTCGTCCAGGTCCAGGGAGGTCGGGCACAGGGTGCCGTAGCGGGTAAACGCAAAGCCCTGAAGGACGGCCATAGGTCTCAGCGTCAGGTGCGTCAGGCGCGAGCGCACGTTTCGCGGACTGCGTTGATTTAGAGACCATGGTCCAGAACGGAAGCTAGGAAGGCAGTGAGGAGGGACAGGCTTACGGCAGCTGATAGACTAAGTCGCCCCCGTCGTTGTGAAAGATCATATCTAGGGCTAGGATGTTCACGCGGTGGTTGTAGAAGGCGTTCATGGTGCAGATCAACACCGCCCCTCCGGCTGTGAGCTCTAGCTTGGAGGCGTGGTTGGTGATATGCAGCGAGTCCAGCAGAAATCGGCCCGTTGGCGTGTCCACCCCGATGTGCCAGTCGAGGGTGATCTCACGATAGTGCCAGTTGCCCTTGTCATCCTTGCATTCCGCACACAAGTTGGTGATGTGCAGACCATCCCCGTTGTTGGGGATGTTGCGCAAGTGGATATTTTTTGAGGAAGTGGAAAAACCCATGGTGATGGCCGTGGAGATGAGAGGGGGCGAGGAGGAACCAGGCGAGAGTTATCCATGGCTTTAAGTAGAGAACCTGGAGGATGATTTCGTTCAAGTAACGAGGCTGGCTGAATTTGGCTCCTCAAACATCAGCTGCAGGAGCGGCTGAGGAGGCGTTCAATAGTTCCAAGCCCTATGGAGTCAAACCAGACTGCATGAAGCTATTGCGCAGTGGGAAGATCGGATCTGATGGTTGGAGTGGGGTTAGGCAGCCATAGACGGATTAACGGCCGTCTGATGATCCACCGCGCACTCTCGCTTAGTTCTTCAGCCTGTGTCGTGTCTAGAACACCAGAACTATATATCGGTGCTTTGTTGCCCCATAGTGGACACCCCGCTGTCACTGGCTCCGTCAATCATTCACTCTTCTGGCCGGAACCTTCGGGAACCGTGCTATCACGCCGCTCGGTGAAAGTGGTAGATGCATTTTCCAGTGCGCCTAGCATACGAGGCTTGACTTGGGGGCTCCATGAAGTAGTTCACTGATTGTGGGTGAGTTCCTATAACTATTATGATTAATGCTGTGGCTGCCAAGCACCAAATGGTCTGCGATCCAAAGAAGGCACGCGCAAGGCGGTCTGTATGGCGGTGCCTTGCCCACGGCAGAACACGTAGGCTGGCCGCGGCATTCCCAAGCCTCGGCCACAGCCCGAAGACCTGCTAAGAAGTATCCACCTCTCTCTTGAAGAACATACGCTCGAAGCTCAGTCGAGCGTTGATTGGAACAATGATTGACCTTGCCGCCGACCACATTAGGTACTCCGCATCAGCCACTTGTCTTCAAATATCCAGGCGCATTGCACTCCGAAGATAGCCTCAGACCCAGAAAGCATATTGAGGAACGAGCTCAGCCCATAAATTATTTTATATTTGATATCTTCTAATTACTTAATTTGACTGAGTTTATTTACCCTTTGAACCTATTTAACCTCTTCAACCCTATTATACGAGCACAAGGGTATAATTGTCGAGATGGAATTCTAAATATATACAAAACCCTTGTCCTGTTTTAATCTCTTCGGAACACGGCTAGATAAACGAATTAAAGAATAACCTAACCATGGGAGGAAGACTCTCAATATACTCTAACTGGTAACTTTTTTTATATACCTACCGAGCCTGATTCTGTTTTACTTTTTGCCTAAATCTAGTTTATAGGTATATTACTATGCAGAAAAGATAAACTAGAAATCAGGAAAGCCAATTTTATATCAATTAATTAAAATAAAAGTAGTAAAGTTATCTGGGGCCCGCGGCGGGTATCCTCATCATCACATCGCGGTCCAGAAGGGGGGCGGCGGCGGGCCTGCCTCCATAACACTAGCAATACAGGGGATGGCGGGGGAGCAGCCAGCATGTCTGACGGCGGCGTAGTATACATCGAGGTAGGCGTTCTGGATATTAGGCAGTGCAACATGGGTCACGGATGCGTAGACGGCGCGAGTGACTGAAGCCGAGACGCTGCAACGGCTTCCGGTTTTAGCTGCGCCCCAAGGTCAGTAAGTCAGATAGTGCAGCAGGGAAGGATGCCACCCACTAGCTGGCAGCCAATTGGACCACACTTCTTCTCCTTGCATCAATCACAGCATTACAACTCGGGCTTCTAGACGCGGAAACACGCCATGCCGCTGAACAGGCATCTGCGGCATGCCCGTTCGCAATCTTCTTCGCTGGGTCGAAACGGGGCTGCAGCGGCGAGACGCGTGGAGGGCACCGGGGGGGAATCCGGCTGGGGGTGCTCGCAGCACGGTAAGCGGCGAGGATCTCGCGGCCGTACGCGGCGGCTGTTCAAGAAAGGCATTATTCCTGTTTGGGACTCCGTTCTCTGAGTAGGAGTCTGAGGACGAAGTTTTGCTCCTCCTCGAGGAAAGGTAATGAGGGACGCTTCTTCGAGCGACTCACGAAGAACCGAAGACATATCCTCGGTATTTTTAAGATGGAGTTCGAGAAATTCCCAGTCGCTATCACGAATGAATTCGACGGGAAAAAGCGATGGCATCCGGTGTACTTTTCCTGGACACGATAGGTCATCTCTCGAGCGAGCGCGAAAGCCCACGCGGCTTTCCATTGGTTTTGTTGCTTCTTGCAATCATCGTAGAAGCGTATGCCACAGATCGAATACACAAGGCCTTTCGAACACATCCTCGGCATGATGGAATGGGTCATTTCGTTAGTTGTTGCATGGAGCACATGATGATCTTGGACCGACCATCCATGAGCACAGCACCCCGATTCAGCAGCATCGCGCACACGAACGAGCGTGAGGAATACAGTCCCGACCGCTATGCTGTTTCAATCTTTTTCTGCCACCACGACCGGTACAGAGGCCAGCACCAGTTTTCAGTCTCGAATGACGTTTCTTCTTTGCATGTGTCTCTCACTTCAGTGGTGTTGCTGTAAGTAGAAGATTGAAGCCTGCTGTTCGCCATATACATGCCAGTGTTTGCCCTGATGACTCATTCCTCAGCAGATCTCCCTCATCAAGAACAGCAACCTCGATTCTTAGCATATCCTTTGACTTGGGGTCATAAGGCTTCTTGTGTTGAATGCACCATGCTTTCACCCCCTGTGGCCCGTGTCTAGATTCCAAAGTTTGGTATCTGGTAATCACCACAATCTTTGCATTGGCTGGGGATCCATTGAAGATCTCATGATTCGCAGTAAGCTTTCCTTGGATAAGTCCTGATGCTCCTATCTGTCGTCTCTGGTCGCCATAATAGATACGAATATCGATCTGCCGAAACCGAAATCATCATTAGTCAACTAGGAGAAGGTGCGCGGTGGAAATTGCTGGACAAGGCCTGAATTTGACAATAGGTTTTCAACTTCATCGTTATTAATTCGTTGGTATATATAGTCAGACAGATAGCCAGAGCGCATTCAGAGGGTGGAGTGTCAAGCAATGTGGGAGCGGCCTCAGAGTCGAAGACAGCCAAGATTGGAACCAATCCACTATGCTCAGCTACCTGCAAAATAGTTGGTGTCGCCACTATCAGTCGACTTGCTGCAAGATTGTCTGTTTCGCACAGCAACCTCCGAGGCTACTGAGCAGGCATTTTGAAAACAAGAAATTTGACCTCAGGACGTTGTCTTTTGGAGGCTCCGGATCACTGGATCATACTTGGATAATTCCTATTGACTAGGGCCTCATTCATACAGCTTGTCTGTGTCGAGATCAGTATTAGCGCAGTGCATACTGAATTTAAGTATGTCGAAATTGTCGTCGTCATCATCATCATCGAACGCAAGTAGGCATCTTGGCAGAATGTAAGTTTGATCCGAATTAACACTGTTTGTTCGTAGGATCTTCTGAAGGGTAAAATAAAATCAGCCAGCGTTTTTGGTATCATTTCCAACCCATTCCACGCAGTGACGAACAGCTGGCCGCTCCGGTTTAGCATGGCTCCGTGTGTATACTCAGCGGGCCAGTACTCCATTCCATCTGAAATAGTCGTGTGCTCCTTTCGTAGATTATCCTTTCCGAATTTCGCACAGCGTCCTTGGTCCATCGTAGTGGTCGAGGCGAGACAGCCCTCTTCGGTTATAAGGTGTCTGTGGCTCACTACATTCGGCCTGTTTTCACGGAATGTTCCAGAACGCTTCCTCATCGTGTTCACCGTCTGAATGGGACGTGAGGTCAATGCGTCTCGCTTGTAGACTTGCATGATTCAAAATGCTTCAGGTGTGGCGCCAGCCTCATGCCAGATGGGCGATCTTTACCAGCTGTCGATCTTCTCCCTCAGACAGATGAGCTAAATGCTTCCAAACTAGAAGCATCAGGGCAACAAGCCTTCGATCATAGTGAAGGAGAGTTTCTTCGGAGCTCTTATGAGGTATCTCCATAACCTTGTCCTCAAGACCCCCCTTTTTCTCCGCAACGCCATGGAAACACGGCTTATATGCAATGTATAAGCGAGCACCCTTCGCCGAGCGTAGCTGGCGTCGCGGCGGGAGAGAGGGGCAGAGGACACACGCGGCAAATGCAAGAGTCGGTACAGTTGGGTAACCCATGCAATCATTCTGTCTTTCGCTCGATCGCTACTTGGGAGTAGCGAAAGGACTCACTAGTCTTTCTGCAAGGGTTCGTTCTGCTGGGCCCTATGAACAATACCGAAGCCCTTCGGTACCTCCTCTCCTAGGGCGTCATGAAACGAAGAAATACAAACCACTGCAGAGAGAAGCTTTTTCAACGCTGTATTCGATGCGTACTATTCTCGCCTAGCTCATTCTTGAGTTAGAATGAGAGAGTCTAGACGCTATTATATCCGGCCAATAATTCGAGTCTTTAGTTGGTTATCTTCGAGCAAGGTAGACATGTTTCTAGAGCGGCTGTTGCTAAATAGAATATCATTTCTGCCATGCCAGCACCTGCATAGCCGCCGATATCTGTGGCTATGTAGGGACTTCTCGGGAGCCCATTATAATCTTGGCGCTGAATCCGATAGAACGCTGGAAGCATCAGTATAGCTGTTCGGGTGGGGGAGGACTACTCGACTTACTCCGACCTGCCGCAAAGGAGTCTCTGCATATCTTTTCCGCTTGGTGGATGAGGTGTGTAGACTCTCTGTATCTGTATTCTCGCTATTCTCGCTTTTAGACTCATCTGACGTGCTCATCTTACTTTCCGGAAGAGTTGCCTGTCTTATCTTCTGCATTAGAGATATTAGTATAAGGCAAGGCTAAGGCCTTGCGAGAGATTGTGTTTATATGCATCAAGGATCCGGGCCAGGGAGCGGAGATTCCATCTGCCAGGGGTAGCAGACTTCCCAACCTGGGTATTGGGGTTACCCGAGCAGAGAGAACGAGCTGAGCTTGGATTGGCTATTGCAGGGTCCACCGGGGGAATCTGCTCGCTCGACATGTGCGTGTCAGGTTTGCATCTTACGAGGAACAATCCGTCCTCAACTTTCCACGTGTTCTAAAGCACTATTTGGAATAGCCACGAGCAGAACCGTATTATAACACCTGGTCCTGTTGCGGTCCGTGAGCTGTGTCCACAAGAGAAGACGTAACAACTTGGCGTCCTGCTGGGCAGCCACTTATTTGGATAAGTCTGAGGAGTGTGAACGTCAAGGAGAAAGGGGGATGATGAGCGCGCTGAAGTGAGGAAGTAAGAGAAAGGCGGGGGATGTAGAGGAAGAATAAGTTCGGTGATGAGCAAGGATATCGTCGAGGCTCGATAGACCAAGTGTATATCGAGGCTTATTCACCTTTGCCCTCATACATTTCCCAGTTGGAAAGGAGAGAGCTAGATAGTTCTCTCTACCTGCTGTTTTCGAAGCTCAATCCAAAGACCACCGTACCCTGCATATAGCATGAGTAATAAGACCCTGTGGAATGCGTAAGTCCTATCGATTCTGAAATGCCCAAAGAGACCTCCATACTGGAGCACAGGATGTAAGGACGAATATCACATATTCAAAGCGCATGGGGCTTTGCTTCGCTGGTAGAAGCCTGTCGGACTGCACAAGCTACTCAATCGCGTGGACGCGGGGCGCAGAATGATATCTGTATCCGCCATGGACAGGTTAGCCTAGACCGGCCACAAGACCATCCTGCCTAACCCCCTGTTTACGGTGGACAGTCTGTTGCTGGTCGCCTCATTAGTCTCTGGCCTCTCACTTGCAGCCTGTTCTCCTCAGCACACCTAGGGCTTACTTACTGACGTCGGCATCGGCGTTCGACTTGCTGGATTATATTCTTTAGAGGCACCAATCATTTCCTTAAAAGCCATTTTTGGTGCCGGGGCTGTTCTTACTAGGAGGAATGCTTTGACGGCATGCAGGGGGTGTCTTTCTTGCCATGTTCCCATAGACAATAGCGTGTCACGCCCGCTTGACGCAGGGAAGGTGTTGCCCGGGGTTTTTCTTCCGTTTTATTCATGACCTCGCAAGCAACTTAGCCTGGGTGTTCAGCGCGAAGATGGAACTCTGTGTTCATGAAGGGTACGTGCGTTTTCCGTGATGATTCCCCTGTGATGTCGGTCAGCTACTCAACCTGGCATCATCATTATATATAATCACGGCTTACATGGTTCACTTCCGCAAAGGTCTGCAAACCCTTAATCTTTAAGGGTATAATACTGCCCGGAACGTTTCTGGCAGCCGCATCTATAGACCCCACTGGCAAGTGATGCAAAGTCATTCGTTTAGCCTTGCTCCACAATGATCCAAGTTGATGAACCCACATAGCTTTAATAGGCAACAGACAGACTAGCCACGAAGTTATCAGTTCAGCCCACTGCTCGAGATCTAGGTACAGAGAATCAAAGAGTCAAGCCACCGACGTCGCGATCATGCTTGGCGAGTATGTTACTCGAGGTTCTGGGAAAGTTTGTCCCGAGATCTTTTCGGTATGGTATCCCACCACGCCACTAAGGATGACAATCTTTTTGGTACAGGTCGTTTGATGGGGCAAAGATGGTATACTTCCCGAAGGAGACAGAGTTAGAGTCGTTTTTGAATGCAGATTGTCTGAGTAGAGTCTTAAGTGGAGTATCCCATCCATGTTTGTTCGGGGTGAATGGTCAAATGCTGGTGCGGTTCAATCACCACAAATACACAGCGGTAGTGTTGTAGTCTAAGCTCTCGGTGAGGTATCGTAGGTCTTATCGTTATCATATATGGCGGGCCATTAGTGGAGGGTGTTCATGATGATTAGGACCTGTGGTAGGGCTATGTTCGATGATCGGTAAAGGAGGTGAAGTATGTTACTGAGGGAAGGTTTAAAGCGTCAGGCTGTGTAAGGCTCTAATAAGTTGATCAGCCTTGGTTGTAGACGCTGAGCTGGTCGAAGGTTCTGGGTTTTGGTGGTTATATGGATGTGATAACTCTTTTGTGATAACTCTTTGAAGATAGAAGGATAGAGAAGGACTTGAGGATCATGTTGTTCTTGATTTGAAGCTCATGGAGAGGCTGAGTGGGTTGAGAAGGAGGATGTAGAAGGAGGATGGAGAAGAAGGATGGAACAAGATGAAGGGAAAGGATGGCTAGGAAGGCAAGGGAACTAATGAATGATGAAGTGAAGATAGTCCATATTGAATGGTCTCATAGATTGTTGAACACCATTCACAACACCGGCCTGGTTCAAATCATTCTGTATATCCAAGGCCACATCTAGTCTATTGGAAGAGCATAGCATAGCCATTCGATTCTATGCAGCGTCATTATATGCATATATCACTTAACTGGTACGACAGACCACAAGTGCAGATCTGAAATAATATATTCTCCTCACAAGACGCCCGCTAAAAATATAGAAAGAAAGCGCCGCTGACAGACGGGGTGATCAACATGAAACAAAAAGCTCGAACGCCTACATTGCAAGATCGTCATCATCATCCCACCCTAATGCCGAGTAAATCGACTTCTCTGGCGTCACCGGCACTGCAGCTGACGTGGCCGGCACCATCAGCTTGGCAGCGCTGGGCTTCCGCACCGGTGTGCTCAACACGGTTGCCGGCGCCTTGGCAGGGGTCTCGACCGATAGGACATGGCCAGGGACGGGATTGTCCTCGGGAATAGGGATCCCAGCGGGGAGAGCGACAGGGATAGGGGCTGGTTTGGGGGGTGTCTCCATCACCATGGATGGTTTGACTCGCGGAAGGAAGGTGTCCACGTGTCGACGGGACTGGACCGGAGTTGAGGGCGCCATTTCCATCGAGCGCGGTGCTGCTGGCACTGGCTGACGGGGCGGAACGCGAAAGAGGGCGCTGGGGCCATTCGACAAAGGCGACGCCGTGGGATCAGCCAAGAGTGGCTGCGGTGGCCGGCGAATTGGTGTTTCCTGAATTGCGCCGCTTTGGCCATGACTAGATGATCCAAAGAACAAGGACCCAGACCGAATAGTCGAGCCAGGAACCATCTGAGGTTCGCTGTTGAAGGGCGATGACATCGACAATGTTGGCTTGGAAATGAAAGATGACTGTACAAATGTCGGGGGGAGGGGAGGCATCCCCACGATAGCATCCTTCTTGCGACTGCCCTTCTTAGGCGTCGCCGCAACCTGCACTCCTTGTCCCATAGGGTTGCGCACGGGATTCTTCGGCTTCCGGGAGCTGGTGCTGATGACGGTGCCGGTGGAATGCCGTTTGACGGCATCGTCGGCAATGTCCTTGGCTACAAGCTCACGGTTGGGTTTGCGCAGAGCATTGATCGCTGCATCAAGTTCCTTCTTCTGCTCCACCAGCATCTGCATCTTCTTGAGTTTCGTCTCGTGCTGACGTGCCACAGCGTTCAAATCTACTTCGCGGTTCTCGGCGCGTTTAGCCTTCTGGATTCCCCCGCGCACGCTTGCTCCGACGACCGGTAGCAAAGGATCCAGGGAGTTGCGCCTGGCCTCAGCCTGGGCCGGCGTGGTGTTCGATCGACTGAGAGATGGCGTATGGCGAGTCTGGGACGTCGCCTGGTCTGTCAGCACACGCTGGAAGGTGCGACGACGAGACTGCTTCTGCGCCTGTTGCCGTTCAACAGGAGTGCCAGGCTCTCCGCGAGGGGCCTTCTTCGCCTGAGGCTGCTTCGGGAAGGGCGAGATAGCGCTCGACACGCCCAGCTTCCGAGTGATCGATTTGCACTTGTCCGGCAGACGCGACGCGTAGAAGGGGATGATCACTTCAGTGCAGAAGTCGCGAACAGCGTCACTCTCGACCTTCTTGCCCGAGAGATGGTTGTTACCGTATGTTGCAGACGTATCCGGGACGACAGTCTCCTCGAAGCTGACAGCATACCAGATGCAAAGCCGATCGAGGTGAAGTTCCAACATGGTGTTCAAATCCTGCTTCTTCTTGAACTTCGGCTCCTTCTTAGTGGGTGCCTCTGGCGCATCCTCGGCACTGCCTGTTGGCTTGTTCTGATCACCCTCCGCAGCAGCCGCCTCGAGAGACATGGTCTCCAGAATGAGGAGGATCTGGAGCTGCGTTTCGCGCAAGCGCAAATCCGCAATCATCTTTTTGGACTCGGTCTCCCTCGATACGGAACCTTCCATGGGCATTCCCTGATCGTTGAGCGTTCGGTTCTTCCACCACTTGCGGACCAGGTCAGGCTCTTCTGGGTAGAGCCCATTCTTGCCAAGTGTCTTCTTTGCGTTCTTGCGCTTCTTCTTCTTGGTCGCTGCCTCATCGTCCGACAGGGTGAGCAAAACATCATTCAGCATCGCAGGCAGCGTCTCGCGGTACTTGAGATCCATCTTCTTTGCCACGAGAATAGCTTCCCGGTAGAACGCAATCAAATCCGCAGGCTTGCTGCCCTCCGACTCCGAAGACTGAAACGCAGACCGGCAACGCGCCAGCGGACCTTTGGCGAAGTACGCCACCGACGTCTAGATCGCATTAGCATACTCGCATCCCACCCGGGAAAACACCAAGACTCACCTTCGAGATATAGAGCGCCTGGAGGTATTGCTCGCGCAGGTTATCTAACAACTCCTGCGGCGACCGCAGCGCATCCACATTTTCTGTACCAGCACCAGCACCAGCAGTATCAGCGGGGGCATCCAGCCCAACCACCGCGCCCTCACCAGCAGCACCCTGCCCCGGCTCGACCCCAGCACTCGCGCTCCCCTCCAACCCAACCGCATCCGCATTCTGAATCTCCACCTGCGGCCGCACCTGACCCTCCACCCCCGCAAAAACAACAGCAACCTCGACCCGCGCCCTCTTCCCGAGGCGTGGTACCCCATGCTCAAGACCCGGCTCCTCAATCCTAGCTGCCTCCCACCACTCACCCTCTCCTCCTCCCCTTCCTCCTAGTGAAACCACGCCCTTTCCCTCCCATTCACCACCCTCATCCCGACGCCCAACAACCCCCTCATCAAAGACCCCCTGTTTACCAGAAACCGAAGCAACAACCAACTCCCCCTCCCCAACCCCCGCACCAACCCTTAATAAAGCAAAAACCCCCCTCTTAACCCTCTCAACAACGACCAATTCCCCCGAGGAAGAACTTATCCTCGCCGCGAGGACCATACCCTCACGCTCTCTTCCCAGCCGGGCTCCATTCCCAGCTACCGCAGCACAATGTTCCAGGACCGGAATATGCGCGACGAAGAAACAGCCCGACTGAATCTGCGGAGAGGGTATCGTTGAAGAAGTTGGAAAGACAGTCATAGGCTCCAACCAAGCGAACGGAAGGCGGGAGCGCGGGATCAAGGCGAGGGGCGTGAGGATGAAGGGTTCGTCGTGGGTGAGGGATGGGCTTGGGGCCTGGGTTTTGTTAGTTCTTTGTACGGTGGGTGTAGAGTGAAGTGAAGTGAAGTGTGTATCATGTACGAGAAATATAGATAGGAATGGAAGAATCACGGGCAATTGTTCAAGGTATAAGCGTGAAGAAGAGGGTTGAAGGAAACATACACGGATGGTAATCGGTTGCGAGAGCCAGTCATTTTGCTTAGAGGTAGCGAGAGAAAGAGTAGTGCTGGGGTCGAGGCTTGTTTTGCGTTTCTTGAGCGGGGGAAGGGCACTGATGCTTTCATTGTGCTGATGGTGGGCGTGAGGAACTCGGTTTAGAGGGATGGGTTGGAGGACGCCGGGGAGAACATGCGAGGCCATGGGCTTTGATCAATGGAGGTGGTGTGGTTATTTCATGCTGTGAATTCCCAGAATAGAGAGTGAAAACCAAAGGCGCAAGCGACCTAGTGAGGTAACGTATAACAAGGTCTTATATCTAATGTGGATGTGATGTTGAAGAGAAAAGGCTCGACAGCGACGCGATCCCCGTCCGTCTTGGCGCCGTCACGCGTCGCGGCAACCCCGAGCGCGGGGCCAGTGCCCAATGCGGATAAATGGGCCTTGGGCACAATCTCGGAATCTGAGACCTGCCCACTGCTTTCTTGCATCTAGAAATACCCTGCACTCATTGTTTCTATCCAAGCCATGTAGACGATCTCAGTACATTTATGATTACGACAAATTACAGCAGATAAACCATATTCTCAGCACACAGGCATACGCCTGCCCTTCATTAATCTATATTGCTAATTTTAAATTAGCATCCCATGGCGGCAGAAAGAACATTCGTCCCTTCTCCGCCACCTATGCGATTGCTCCCATCGGAAACATCCGAAAGTCCAGACCGAGAGACCGGACGGAAAACACCACCCCACCGGAGCCACACGCCGCGCGACTCCGAGCTTACTCGTGGTCTGTGTCCCATCGAGTCCCCCGGGACCCTGGAGGAGGCACTGTTGAAGACTTTCGCTCCCGAAAACGCCGTGTAACAACCCTCCCAATATATGAAAAGTGGTATCATGTTGAATTTATCCTCGCCGAACCCGCCTCTTGTGGAGACGACCATGCAAAAAAATGGACAAACAATCCAAAGAAGACAATTGCTTTTTTGACATGTCTATGCTCATGCTTTGAGTTGTTGAAAACAAAGCAAAATCATCACATTCGTAACGCAAACAGACTCACAAGAGAAGCAGGTGCTCGGGCACAGCGCTGGGCGCGCTTAGTACTTAAGAGCCTTAGGCTTCTCCCAGGAGAAAGACTGGTTGGTGAAGTGACCGTTCTTGGCGGTCTGGAAGTAGATGGGCTTGGCCAAGTCCAGCTCCTTGACGATGACACCGGGGCGGAGATCGAAGTTCTTGCGGATGATCTCGACGAGCTCGTCCGAGGACTTGTCGGAGGTGCCGTAGGTCTCAACGAAGATGGAGAGGGGCTCAGCAACACCGATGGCGTAGGAGAGCTGGACCAGGGCACGGCGGGCAAGGCCAGCAGTGACGAGGGACTTGGCGATCCAACGGGCAACGTAGGCAGCCGAGCGGTCAACCTTGGAGTAGTCCTTACCGGAGAAGGCACCACCACCGTGGGCACCCCAACCACCGTAGGTGTCGACGATGATCTTACGACCGGTGAGACCGGCATCACCCTGGGGACCACCGATGACGAAGCGGCCGGAAGGCTGGAGGTGGTAGACGGTGCGGTCGTCAAGAAGCTCAGCGGGGATGACCTTCTTGATGATCTTCTCCTTGAGGACAGCGCGGAGCTCCTCGGTGGTGACCTCCTCGCTGTGCTGGGCAGAGATGACGATGGTGTCCACACGGAGGGGCTTGACGGCACCGTTGTCGTGAGCGTACTCGATGGTGACCTGGGTCTTGGTGTCGGGGCGGAGCCAAGGGATGGAGCCGTTGTTACGGGCCTCCTTCATGGCGCTGTTGAGTCTGTGGGAGAGGAGAAGGGTGAGGGGGAGGAGCTCAGGGGTCTCATCGGTAGCATAACCGAACATGATACCCTGGTCACCGGCACCGAGCTTCTCGAGGGCCTCCTCGTAGTGCAGACCCTGGGCGATATCGGGCGACTGCTGCTCAATGGCAACCAAGACGTTGCAGGTCTTGTAGTCGAAGCCCTTGGCGGAGTCATCGTAGCCGATGTCCTGGATGGCACCACGGATGACCTTTTGGTAGTCGAGCTTGGCCTGAGTGGTGATTTCACCGAAGACCATGACCATACCTATGGTTGGATTAGCATAACAATTGGACAAAGACGAGAGAACAATACATACCAGTCTTGGTGGCAGTCTCGCAAGCAACCTAGTGGTGCGCGTTAGTGATTGGTTCGATGTACAAAGAGAAAAAAAAAATCCCCGCGGAGATCGCGGCAGCCAATCAGAAGAGAGCATGCGCAAAGACCCGAGGTGGAGGGGCACGTACCTTGGAGAGGGGGTCCTCAGCAAGGCAGGCATCGAGGATGGCATCGGAGACCTGATCACTGTTGGGCCGTTAGTGAGTTGTCTGGGAGGAGGCATTGGGCTCTTCTAGCGAAGAACAGCGAAGAAACTCACGCAATCTTATCAGGGTGACCCTCTCCGACAGACTCGGAGGTGAACAAAAAAGTTCCGGTCTTGGGGTTAGCGACGCTGCCCATTGTGATGAGAGGAGATATGTGATGGGGAGGAAGAAAGGAGAGAGAGGTGTGACTTGAGGAGAAGGAAGAGAGAGAGAAGAATGGGAGGAGAGAGAGGAGGAAGAGGAAGAAGAAGTAAGCGAAGGAATGGAGGGGGGGGGGGAAATTAAAAGAATAAAAAGAGGGCGAGAGGGCGAGCGGGAGGGGGGAAGGGAAAGGGAAAGGGAAGAAGAATGGGAATGGAGGGGCTGCACGTGCCGATGGTCTCTCTCCCTCCCCGTATTATTGTCTTTCCGATGGCGCCATTTAGTTCCGGCGGTGACGGGGGGCAGTAAAACAAAAAAGTCCAAGCAAAAAAAAAAAAAAGAAAAAAAGAAAAACTGGTCGAGAGGGCAGCCAGGAGCCAATCGGAGCGTTTGAAGCGTCCATGCGTGCGGTGAGGTGGGCGGTGGGGGGAAGAGCCGGCCGGACTTTTCAACAATCTGCCTCACTTGTCCGCCCGCGGGCTTTCATCGCTTCCTGCTTATCCGAATTATTGCGTTGGCCAAACCTATTGTTGCGTTTCTCCGAATCCCACTGCATCCATCCATCCAGTCCAATCTCAACCTAACTCGTGGGGGCTAGCTAGTTAAGTTGCTAACTCGCACGTTCGGGCCTTTTCAATCTAGTCCGTTACTGTCGCGTCATACTAGATTGCGCTTACGAAACGAACATCCTTGCCCCTCATCTCCGACCTTCCCTTCGGAGGTTACTTTTTTTTCCCCCTCTTATCGGTCTTTACGTTTCTACCCCCGCCTTCCTCTCTCTCTGTCATTCCCGCGATGTCCAAATTCGGCGTGCTGGTCATGGGCCCAGCGGGGGCAGGCAAGACAACGTTCTGCAGCGCGGTGATCCAGCACCTGCAGCACACGCGGCGGAGCTGTTTCTACGTGAATCTGGACCCAGCGGCGGAGACGTTCAGCTACGAGCCGGACCTGGACATCCGGGAGTTGATCACGCTGGAGGACGTGATGGAGGAGCTGGGGCTGGGGCCGAACGGCGGGCTGATCTACTGCTTCGAGTTCCTGCTGCAGAACCTGGATTTCCTGACGGAGGCGCTGGATCCGCTGAGCGAGGAGTACCTCATCATCTTCGACATGCCGGGCCAGATCGAGCTGTACACGCACATCCCGCTGCTGCCGTCGCTGGTGCAGTTCCTGTCGCGCGCCGGCCCGCTCAACATCAATATGTGCGCGGCCTACCTCCTGGAGAGCACGTTTGTCGTCGACAAGGCCAAGTTCTTCGCCGGCACGCTCAGCGCCATGTCCGCCATGCTGATGCTGGAGATGCCGCACGTGAACATCCTGACTAAAATGGATCAGGTCAAGGATATGGTTTCGCGCAAGGAGCTCAAGCGCTTCACTAATGTCGATGTGCAGTTACTGCAGGATGACGATGATGAAGCTACTGAGGGGCCAGCAGCTGGCGATCCCGCCAACAAGGAGACCTTGCTCAGCGGCGGCGCGTTTCAGCAGCTTAACCGCGCTGTCGGCCAGCTCATCGACGACTTCAGCATGGTCTCCTTCCTCAAGCTCGAGGCCCAGGACGAAGACAGCGTCGCCGCTGTATTGAGCCACATCGACGATGCCATCCAGTATCATGAAGCGCAGGAGCCGCGAGAGCCGAATGACGCGCAAGAGGTCGACTATGAGGATGGGGATATGTGAGGGGGTGTGTGGTTGGGACGTGTGAAGCTGCAGGGGATTTCGAGGAATGAAGATCAGCTGGAACGACAACACATCAATCGCCCCCACCCCCCTCCCCCCGGCGCTTTCTCAGACATACAGACAAATAGTGTTTACCGACATTCGTTATCGCAGGATGTCAATTGGACGTCCAGTTCACGCAGGCCGGTTGCCGGGTCGATTAGCCTGGAGATGTCGCTTGCGAGCAGGAATGTCACTCTCCCACCGCTTCTTTGGATGCAAGCTGCATGAGCTAGGAGAGACCATCATCATCCAAGGGCTGGGCTAGAAGCCAGGCAAAAGAGGCAAGACGATCGATCGCATCGGATCTGCAAAGCAAGACAAGTCAGACGCCCGCCAACCGTTCTGTCCGATGTCGGAACATCTGGAATGACGACACCGGAGCCTTTGTTCATCGCGCCAGAGCTACAACAACGCAAGCTGCCGTGTGTAAAACGACAGAACTACAATCTACAAATCCAATCAAAAACCACAACACATCAAAAACCACAATTGCCACTCTTGCAACAAACCACTGCACGTTCATAATAAAATCATATATGTAAAATAGAAATAATCCCTTCGCAGAAAATCTAGGTATACCTCGGAAGAAAGGCATTCAATCATCTAAGCATTCAAAAGCACATTCACACGTCAACCCCTTCACGCCCAACTCAACCAATCGAACCCCAGCATCTCCTACTTTTCACAGAACCAAACACAGAGATCCCTGGAGCGAAAGGTAATAACATCACCACCGTCCCAAGGGCGCCTGCTGAGCCCTACCACCCATACCACCCATCCCAAAAACACCACCCCCATCCGCACCTCTCTGCGGTTGTTGATAATACTCACCCCGCCGCTCCACCTGCTCAATCATCCTACCCAAGAACCCACGGGCAATCCCAAACAACCAGCCCGCATCCTGCGCGGCGCGCTCGACACCATGGAGGTATACCCAGAGCACGAGGCCGACGATGGTACCCCACCAGATCAGGGCCCACAGCAGGCCAACCCAGAACATGACGACGCGGCGCGCATAGTCGAGCACCTTGAGCGAGATAAAGAGGATGGCGACTAGCAGCACGACGGAGACGAGGTCGGGCATCGCGGGGCTGCTGCCGCCGGCGCCTGCGGCGGACGAGTTGGCGAGGTAGCCGGCGGCCGGGCGGATGAGGTAGGGGTCGATGTAGGCGGAGCGCAGGTGCGTGAGCGCCGGGGTGAGGTAGGTGGTGTTCAGGTGGGTGGTGAGCGCGGAGAAGGTGGTGCTGGTGAGGTGTTGCGCGATCGAGTCTGTGTCACGACCGGGGTCGTCCGAGTTAGCGGTGGTCTCGTCGGCGTGGGGGTGGAGGGAGTATGGGGGTGGGGGGGATGCGGATGGGTGTTCTTGGGGAGTTGGGGCAGCGCCGGTTCTCCTGCGAGTGGTTCTGGTCCTGCCCTGGGGAAGAGAGGTGCTGGTGCTGGAGGGGATCACCTCCTGGGAAAGTGTGCGGCTGTGGTTGCGGCTGCGGCGACTGTTGCTACCGCCGCCGCCGCTGCTGCTGATGCTGCTCATACTTCCTCCAGTGATCCTTGGGTATCGACTATCCGAGTCGAGGTTGCGCCGGCGAGGGGTGGCTTTCGACGACCGGCTGTTGTAATTGTAAGACTCACCTGGAAGATAATCCATCCTTTCCTTTGCTTTTTGTTTTGCTAACCTCACGCTCCTTTGTTTTTTTGTCTGATGGAGTCGGTATTGTTGTTGTAGAAAGTCTGAGGCGGAGTCGATTCCAGGTGAAAACGGTGGTTCAGTGTGGGACAGTAAGGAAAAGCACAGAAGTCTACAGGCTTTATATAGTCATGACGATGAGGTCTTTCATGCACATTGATTTGAAAGAGGTAAGAAAGACGACGGTGATAAAGAGGATGGTTGCGGGGAAAAATAATGAGAACAAACCGGACAAACAACTACTGGTGATAATCTCCCGCTGTTGTTCTTTGGGGTGAAAGCGCGCTCTCCTCTACACCGCCTGCTGATCTGGGGTCTTCTGCTGGCAGGCTCGAAATGACTATGGTGGGCGGCATCATTCATTCTCTGCATTGTGATCGAAGCGACTCTCTCCCGCTGAAGGAAGCTTATCAAAGAACTTACAGTAGGCCAAGTGAAGCGAACTCCTTTGAGCAACTTTTCACTCCCCTGGTCATGTATTCTGAACGGCGCTTGTGGATTCTGCCTGCATATTCCCCGTTAACGAAGGCGGTAGCAACGTCCACAGTCTGTTGTCTGCGTGGTATGCGAAGACTCTCTAATGCTTCATCCCTTCACAGGGCACAAAATGTCTGAAACATGCGAAATTAGTCTATGATATTATACATCTAGATCACTGATGATCATCATCTATATACATGCGCCTCTGGCGAAATTCTCTCAACCATATACAGTACAAGCGGGGTGGATGCACAGCACCCGTCTCCACTGTTTACTTCTAAGAAACAATCAAGGTCTTTAGTGCCTCACGTTCGGCCAGAATCTCTGCCTGGAGTTTTCTGGTCTGGCGAAGTGCCTCGTCCCTGCGAATGGTTAGTAAGAATGTCAATTCAACACACACTAATTGGAAACTCACCGATCGGATTGCAGTTCGGCGACTTCGATCTGCGCACGGTTCATCCGACTCACAACCTCCTCCATCTCCGAATCGGCGTCCCGGAGCAACTTCTCCAATTCCTTGACCCGCTTCTCTAGCGTTTCGAACTGAACCGCCTCATTTAGCGCCATGCCTTCCCCGCTGGTCGTTTTGTCCAAGCGCGGCGAGCGCGCGCCGAAGGGGGTGTTCGGAGGCTTCGGAGACAGAGCCATTGGGCTGCGAGCGCCATTCTTGACGCGGGTCAACTGCAGATTGTGGCTCTCCTGAAGGTTACGGACTTCTTCCTCATGGCGCGCCATCTCGTCCTCCGAGAATTGCTGCGCCATCAGAAGGATATCCTCCATCTCCTTGAGTCGGCTCTGCATCTCATTGATGCGCGCGGCTGACAGCTGCTGCTCCTTCTCACCCTTGCCAATGGCCTCGGCCAAGCGGCGGCGTAGCGCGATATTGTTCGCAAGTTGCTGCTGCACATGCTCCGCCAGGCTGTTGGTCCGGGTGACCGACTCCGCCAGCAAGGGTGACTGCGCCACATTGGCTTCAGCTTGATCCCGGTCAGCCTGCAGCTGTTTGTAGGCAGACTCGAGGGAGGATGATGTGACCAAAACTTCAGCAAACCCGTCGCGGTCGGTTTCGTAGTCATCGGGGACCGTGATATCATGTTCCTGTAGCAAGACTCGCAGAGAAGTGGTCTCCTGCTCGGCACGGTCCAGGTCCATCTTCAGACCGGCGAGACCCTTCTCGCACTGCCATTTCTGCTCCATGGCATCTTCTGCCCGGTGACGAAGAAGATTGACCTCCTCGCGGAGGTTGCGGACCTCCCTCTCATACCCGAACTTTCGCGGAGATTCCGCCAGTTGCGCACGAGCCAATTCCAGCTCCATCATCTTAAGATGCTTTTCATACTCACGAGCATCGTGAGCTTGACGGTCCAGCAAGCGTCGAAGAGCTTCGTGAAGGGCATCACGCTGGGCCTCGACGTCTTCGACCCTGTCCGCCAAGTTCTCTCGCGGCTCGCTTCGTTCCTTAACATTGAGTGAGTTCGATCGTGACAGCGAGTTGGACCGAGATAGACCAGTGGGCGCATTTGGTTTTGAGCGCACACGTGCCAGTGAGTTCGAGCGGGAAAGACCTAGACCCGTGCCTCGCGCAGAAGACATGGTATCCTCCTCTGCGATGGAGGCGAATCGACTTCCTTGCAGTTGCGCCAGAGAGGCATTTTCGATCTTCAATGCCTCAATCTCTCCTATGAGCCGCGTTACCTCGGAAGAATCCGACGATTGCCGCAGAGAGTTGCTAGCGCTCTCTTGTAATTGAGGTATTACGTTCTCCTTCAGATGATCCCGCTCATTGCGAAGTTGTTCGAGCTCGACCCGCATTGCAGTGAGCAAGTCTTCAAAATTGTCTTTGATCTGGCGCTCTTCGGCCAGTTTCCGACGAGTCGCCTCGAGTGCCGTTTCCAGCTCTTTGGTTCGGGAAGACATATCAGAGAGGTCGACTCTCTCCCGCCGCAGCTAGAAGAATACGTTAGCGCTAGAGAAAGCGAAAGGACCTCATGATGCCTACCTGATGCACCTGCGACTCCAGAATCTGAACGTGGGCCTCAGAAGCCGCACGTCGACCGCGCTCTTCCTGCAGTTTTTGAGAGAGCTCTACCTTAATCTGAGCTCGTTCCTGCTCCGCCGTGCGCTTGTATTTCTCTATGTCCTCGACTCGACCGCCCGACTCGTACGCATAACGAATGGAACTGCTGCCTGAATCGGAAAAGTAATCACTTGTCCGACGATTCGGAGTATCGAAGACGGAATCCGACTGCAGTCGCTCAACTAGGTCTTCCAGCTCCATCTCCCGCCTTATTGACCCCGCCAGCTCTGAACTAATCTCCCGCAGCTCATTTTCGAGCTCCGCCACCAGGGCTGGGGCTCCAGAAGTCTCGAGGATACTGGCACTGCTGAGCGAGGGATTGCGTGGCGGGAGAGACGTATGCGGGCGGCTCGGGTCGAAGGGGACCATCGTGGACGGTGTTATAGAGAAGGAGGCACTGGGTAATGAAGGCGGCATGGGAGACGGGATGGGCGAACGGCCTGATTCGGAGATCTCGGTGCTGGATGATTCGGCACCAGGTGATGAGGTGCCTGCCCGCCAACCAAAGAAGGAACTGATCTTGTTGCCGGGGGTCTTGGGTTGCTTGCTATCCCCCATCGTTGACGAGGTACCGGTACGGCGCGGGGGATCTATGTGCAGCGGAGTTGGTGCCACGTTCGGTGGCAAGTGCAATGCCATTGTCGTAGCGCGCTTCGGGTTGAGAGCAGGGGACACCCGTTTGTGGACAAAAGATTCACTGACGAGACGATTGTGTACCCGAGTCGCATTCGTGAACCGGGTGGAATAGGCGATATGGTAAGCGGGTGTGTCGTTCTCGCTCTCGTCGCCAGGGCTGCCTATAGACGAGGCGGGAGAGTCTATGTTGAGACGGGACGAGGACGGACTACCACGAGGGAATCTAAAGAAAAGAATGCAGAACACGAGATTAGTCCTGGAACGTGCGAGGGAATCGGCGGACATATGAAGGCCGCCTCCGGGCTGCGAAAGGCTGAGGGAAGATAGCACCAAAGGGGCGCAGGGCCCTCAAAGGGAGAGCTACAGAGGGAGGGGAAGGGACGGGCAAGAATGCGACGGGCTGTCATACCTATCCAGGTCCCTGGAAGGAGAGACGGGTGAGTGTTGCTGCTGTTCAGGTTCGCGGGGGTATTCGAGGTAGGGTTCAGGTGTGTGTCGGTATATATCGTGTTCGTCGTCGTCGTCGTCGTTGTCGTCGTCCTGGCGGTCATATACGTAATCGAGAAACGACGATGATGAAACCGGAGAAACTAAGGCCTGCGTCTGGCCAGCAGCCTGAGGGGAGGCCGGCTGAGAAGCCGGAAGCGCAAGCGAATTGCCCCGGGGGGAGGCAAGTAGGGACGAAGAGGAGGAAAGAGGCCTGGATGAGCGCGAGGGGTTCACCACATCCTGGGGTAGCGGCTTCCTGCGCACGGTGAAAGGCGAGGAGAGAGAAGGAGTGTGAGTACGGGAGGCAGATACAAAGGTAGGAGAAGAGGGGGAGGGGGGAAGAGGGACATTAGACGCAGGAGGACGATGGGGAGGAGGAAAGGCGGAAGAAGAGGTGGAAGTGGAAGCCCTTCTAGTGGAAGAGGGAGAGTTAGGGAGACTTGGCCCCGGACCGGGGTTGGGGTCAAGGCTCCCTGGGTGATGGGCGATAGTCAGAATATTATTATTGGCGTCCTGATTAGGTGTAGGTGAAGTAACAACACCTTCAGCTTCGGGACGGTCATGCTGGTTCTGGACAGGGACAAGGACATGGTCGTGGTCATGGTTATGGATATGGTTCGATTGGGGGTGACTCGAGGGAAGGAAATCGCCCGAGGCAGGAGGCGGAGAAGTCCAGCCGGGGGCCATTGCACTCTAATTGGTGAAGATGAGACAAGTGACACGAACAGGAACAAAGCAGATCAGAGACAATCAGCTGAGGATCGACGCAGGCCTCATGGCTGACGGGAAAGTTTTTGGCTGAGGAATGGAAGGGCGGCAGCAGCTGCGTGTGAGACTGAGACCTGAGTTGGAAAGGATAGGAGAGGATCCATTGATTGGAAAGAAATTGGGGGGAATTGGGGGGGGAGAAGGAAAGACGGAAAATCTGGAGGAAAAGCTTGAAAAGGAAAAATGCAATAATTAATTCCGATTAATCAGGGCATCAACTCAAAAGAGGAAACGAAGAGGAAAGGGGGCAAAAAGATTGGCAGACGCAGCAGGGAGAGAGGTAGAAGCGCGCGGGAAAAAAAGGAGAGCCAGCGAGAGTGAGAATTGAGGGGAGAAAGAGAGAGAGAAAGAGAAAAGAGAGGCAAGAAAGGATAGACTAAAGAAGCAAAGCGGGTCACTTGCCATGGATCTATACAAGTGGGAGAATAAGAACTGGAGAACAATAGTGTCTATTGAGGATCTTAGAGATCTGTCTATGCTGATGAGATCGATTCTCTCTGTTTACTACATTCTGCTTGTTCTTACCACCACCACCACCACCACCATTATCATCACCATCACCATCACCCATCATCTGTAAGTATTCAGTATGTACTCCGTATAGAAGATAGACCCAAGCCCAGCCGGGTGGCCGATCAGCCCCACTAGCTCTCGGGCGGCAGTCAGGGGTTATCCGGCTGTCTATCCCGTCTTGCTGCTGGGCTTCATTTCTCTTCTACTTCCATCAATCCCACCTGCCACCACTTTCACCATTGAACTTACTCTGGTCCCAGGGTAACGCCAATCTATAAAAAGCACCTCATGCCAACCCGTTCTGCACACCAGTGAATCACCATTGTCAAGAACCAACCAGCCAAGCAGTTGGCCTGAGTCAGCAGGGCAGTTGAGGGCGGAAAAAAAGAAAACAGAAAAAAGGAGAGAACAGACCAACCGCCGACCAGCAACTAACGCCGACTAGTGGTCCGTTACCAACAGTCGCCTGCACTCGGGCCAGGATTTACCTTCTCAGAGAGTCTGTCCATGACTATCCCTGCTGTATTCGATCACTTCGCTTGAGGGTGGTCAGGTAGAGTTGTGCATATCTTTGGGTCATTGGAGATCGGCCTACTATCTCGGCTCGGGAGGTGACTTCCATGCTGCAGGCTCCACTGCGAGACTTGTTGCTGGAGATAGTCTGCTGTATGTATACGCAACTCGATGGAAGCCATCTTTTCGCGGTCCGTTTGTTACTCTTTTCCAACACTAACTACAGCCATGATTATCATACGTAAGAGACGCAGTGACCCTGCCCCTACTCCATAGCAGAGCATAGCACCATAGGTCAGAAGAACTAGTAAGCGCCCCCCAAAGCCACGGACCCATGGACCGGACCCGATCCTGCTGCACTCGCTGCAATCCACTATCCAACGGCGGCTAAAGTCGTATCGCGAAGACTGAATCCTCCCAACCCAGCCTGTCCTCTCTCCACTGCAGTCTAGTCATCACGCACAACCCAGCTCAACTAGTCTACCCTTTGTATAATCCAAACCCAACCCCAAACCCCAACCAAAACAAACAAACAAACCACAAACCTACCCCATAAACCCGAAACGCCCATCACCGGCCACCACCAGTACGGCTACAAACTAAGCAGTCCACCTCCTCCTAGCCAAGCCCACTATTCTTAGCTCAACCTTACGGTACTATCACCGCACTTCGCATGCATGCAATCAAGCACGTAGCTAGCCCACCGCCACGCAGCACGCGCGCGCCTTCGCAAATCCTGAAACAACACCAACCCCCGGAAGTGGAGCTTAGCCGCCGGAGCAGACCTACGCATACGGAATACTACAGACCAAGGCTACCGGCGCTTATGCATGATATAGATGGTGTCCCAATAAGCCATGCTACCTAGTTGATTAGAAGCTAGGAATTAAGTACTATACATACATATGTCGGTGGCCGTCTCGGCGCGGCGGGCGGGCGGCTAGGAGGTATTGCTTTTTTGGGAGAATCGCGGTACCTACTACTGAAACTTGCGATGTGCTGGAACCCCAGGGGGTTCTATGTATAGAGTGTCTGTGCCAATGCTGTGGTTAATGGCTATACCTAGGTTGTCTGATTGTTGGGTGTTTAGTCCCTGGAAGAGACAAAGCGCAACGTCAGGAAAGAAGGGATTAAGGTGTTTGTGGAATGTATGCAAAAAGGCACGAACACACTCAGACCCTATCTAGGGACAGTGCAGTACCTACCGGTACAGAGTGTAGAGGATCAATTAGAACAAAAGCAAAAAAGGTCTTGTCTCACCGGTAGGATCACATGTCTCACACGACAAGGGAGTAGGGCTAGGGATATCCGGTGACGGTGACACAAAGAAACCACACCCCCCCTGAATCCCTCCCTGGCTTATCCTATCTAAGGTCTAGATCCGGAGGTCCCTTTATCCTGGGATCGGGATTCTATCTTTATCAGCCCAACCCGCCTTTTGCGTGTAACAGTTCACGCCTCGTTTATGCAGGTAAGTAACTAGCAGACAAAGGAAAAAAAACTTATGAAACTGATATGCATAGGTGACAAAAAGAAAAACACACAAAGTCAAAATCAACGCCATTAACTCGTCGCTAAAATAGCACAAAGCAGAAAGGTCAACGCCATGCGACATATGCTGCGCGCACATCCTGAGTATATACAGTGCATCAATCATACCACATAAAAGGCTCCTGGTGGGCCGTCTCATTTCCCGCTCCTGGTTTCCTCCTTCATTTAGTAAGGGATGAAATCAATCCTCATACGATCTGAACCTTTCGTTAGCGAAAAATCCCGGTCATGGGAGAAAGGGGGGGTAGAGAGACAGGACAAGCGTACCCAAGAACTGAGTCCACCCCTCGTTCTCATCCAATTGATTCTCCCAATATTGCTCCAACAGTCTCAATGACTGCATCACATTCGGCACCCGGATCGTATCGTGCAAAGATGCCAGCAAGTGGCGCACTTGTTCTCGGTCTGCCCCGCGAGCCTCGCAGCCCGCAATGAACAGCGGCGTCGTGAGCATCACCCAGGGACTCAGGCCCGGCGAGGGCCCGATCTGCGCTGTACACTCCAGGATCCGCTTGACCGAATCCTGCACCACCGGGGCGGCCGCGGGCGTCTTATACAGGCGGCGGTGGATCTGGATGAGCGCGCTGCGCTGGAAGGCCTCGTTGCAGAGCATCAGCTGCCGCACACAATCCGCCGAAAGCCCCTCCATGACACCCGGGTAGAAGGTCGGTTGTGTCCCGGCTTCCTCCCCGGCCATGAGTCGCCGCAGAGAGCTTTCAAGGGTGGCTGCTTCGTGAGCGACGTCGACGTCGACGATGACTTCTCCACCTGTGGGTTCGTGCCCTTGTTCCTGCTGCTGTAGCAGATACTGATGCTCTCGCCAGGATACCGCGCCGATCGCCCGGAAGATCGCAGCCAGATTGACCGTGAACCCCCAGTAGTCGTCGAGGTAGTCCGGGGTTTCGGGGTCATGTGCGCTGCCCGCGACGGTGGCTTCTTCTCCAATGGGCGGACCGTTCCCCGTCAACGCCGTCAGTGACACAATCGATCGGTGCCACCGGTCTAGGTACCGGCGAAACCCCTCAGGGGAGCCTGGAGACGGTACTCCGCGCTGGTTGGAGGTATCCATGAGGGCCTTCGCTCCCGCGATGTGCGCGCGCCACGAGTGCGGATGAATGGCACCGGAATGGATCTCGGCTAAACAGAGGGTGCGCGCGGTGGCGAGGAGGGCATCGGACCCTCTGCTGGCTGGGTTTTCCAGTTCCTTGCGAAAGTGTTCCAGGCTGAGAGCCATGAAGCGCGCGATCTCCGGAGCCGACTTGACGTTCTCGGATTGGTTGTGGAGAGCTTGGAGGTGGATAGCAGAGAGGGCCATAGTGGCGTAAAGAAGGGACGGTGTTTGAAGAGCCATAGGGACTAGCATCTTGCAGATCTCCTGCTGCATGCCCGAATGGCAGGCAGTGATCTGGGAGGCGTCATTGAGGAAATGGTGGAGGAGGGACTTTTGGTCGGCGGAGAGGGAGGCGAACGGGTCGATGTAATAGTTCAGGCTAGTCGTAGCAGTCGTCGTCGCTGTAGGTGTAGATGAGGGAGCAGCGATTATCGAGCCAGCAGCTAGCGCCGTAGCGGATGAATTGGTAGTGTAGATAAACTCGCCGGGGGAATACTCTAGACACAGCCGCTCTGTTAGCGACAGTGAGATAGTGAGTAGAACCGCGTAGATTCCGTACCCAGTTTATGCATGCCTCCGTTACCCACGCAGGCCCCGAATCGAGAGCGCGAAAAAGCCCGCCCTCCCCACTGTAGCTGCATCGCATACCGACAAGGCGTGCTCGCCTGCTGGCACCGGCCACAGCTGGGACGCTGCTCGTCACATTTCTGTCGGCGGGCCTTACATCGCTTGCACCCAGTAAAGGATCGCGACATATGTGTTCTGTGTGTTTAATTGTATATATGCTGCTTTGGAAGGACAAGGCGTTCGGGTTCCTGGTCTGCGTCGGCGGGATTTTTCTTTTTCTCCGCGACTGTTCGGCTACCCCAGGGTGGAGGGACCAGGGGCAGATCAACCCAATTCCACAACGGAGGGAGGGACGGCGGTGGAGTGGGAGACAAAGGCGACGGAGCACAAAGAGAGGACGGAAATAAAGAGCATCCAAGATAAACTTGGCAGGCCGAAGTCGCAGGGTGAGCACGAGAACAGTCAGTCAGTCACCCACCGTGGACCCCTCCACGGCGTGCCGGTGGCGGCGATAAGCAAAGCAGCGAGTCCCGACTCTTGACGGCGGGCGGATCGACAAGGGGCCGCGGCCTCCTCCACTCCAGGTTCAAAAGTGCGGGTGACGAAATAGTACGGAGACTGGTTCGGGATAGATCCACCACGAACTGAACTTCAAACTGAGCGCATATTCAAATTCAACACACCGAAGGCAGACTACGCTGAGACGTTACAGAATTTACAGATGATCAATACAAATGCAGCCCGGGGTGGCTCGTCTAGACCCAATACATACAGACGATATAAACTTGATAAACAAGAGCAAGGACAAGTCGAAATCAAATGGCGTCTTCCCCCAATTAGTCGTCAAAAGTATAACGGAGCCATTCTCCAACAGCTCGCAAGCTCTCCCACCTGACTGCTTCGTCCTTATCTGCCATCAGTTCCATCACCCGCGTCTTTAGGCCCAATTTCTCCAGCTGTGCCCGCCGCTCTGGAAGCTCCTTTACCAAATGGCCCACATCGTTGCAGCCGATCGCCAGAACCTGCTTGTCATTGTCCCAGCTCTTGGACAGAATCTCTGCGAGCTTCTTGGGCAGTGCGCCGTTGTTGTCGTCCAGGATGCGGCGTGCATTGTCCTTCCAGAAGGTGGGGTTCCGGTGAGGAGGCGACCACCGCAAATGGCCCGACTGCAGTTCAGCCGCGTATTGATCAAACGTCGTCTGCGTCTTGGTATATTCATCCAGAAGCTCCGTCAGAGCTTGAAGGTCCTCCAGCAGGTCTTCATCGGTCAAGTGGCGACCCGAGAGGTTCGTCAGCAGCGCAGGCAGGCGAACAAAGACGGCGACCGGAAGCAGAGTCGTGCGGTTGCTGGAAAGAAGATTATTGAGCGTGGCAAGGAGGAGTCGCGTCGTCTTCTCCTTTGGGGACAGGCGGAGGAGGTGGGTGTAGACCTGAACGAACTCGTAATCACTAAGTCGCGTAGGTGTTAGCTACATAGCTCGCAGTGAATGCGCCGCACCACGTACTTTTGCAGGTCATCTCCAACCAGACTGCCCTCAAAGCTCAGCTGCCATAGCACCAACAATACCCTGTACAAGAGTTGAAGTCCAATTCCGCCAGCAAGACCAGGCTCAATTCCGCGCGTACTGCCCGCCAGGGTGCTAGAGCTGCTATCCTTAGAGCCCGTCGCAGCCCGCAGGATCTCGATCAGAGGATCAACAGTCTGTTTGCGTTGCTGCCAGAAGAGTTCGCGAGCTCTAGTGGTGCGAAGAAGTGCGGACAGCTCCTGAACCCCGATATCCTGCAGCCCGCTGTCTTGATTCTGGGTCAGAGTGGAGAGGTAGGTGTACAGCTGCGGAAGAGCCTCATCATCCCGCGGCGCTGGCTTCGAAGATGCGAACAGACTGACGGATACCAGGTTGGTCAAGAATGTAGAGGTGAGCAGAGGAATGGGATCTTCAGCATTAGTCGAATGACGCAAGAGGGGGAGGAATGGCTTGTAAGGATCAGGGTGGGCAACCAGAGCCGTCGCAAGGGAGGGAACATCTAGTTATCACCATCTTCATCAGCAACAATAACTCGCAACAGCAGGGGACCAAGAAGAGACCCACCGTTGATCAAATCCGCGGCCAGCACGAGGATACATTGCACGATGTCGGTCCGTCGGGCGGCGGAGTCCAGTACACTCTTGCTCTCGGGCCCGCCTGCCAGCAGACTAACATACCCAGCCAGGTCGCCTTCAACTGTCTGACGTCGTTGCTCCTTGCGAACCTTGTCCACCGCCTTGATCTTCTTCAGGTGTTCATCGGTAATGTTGCCAGCTCGGACAGCACCCTCCCAAGGAATAGGGCGAGCTCGGATGTTGTTCTGCAGCGAGCTGAGATACGTCGGTGGCTCCAGGGGCAACGACATGGTGGACTCCGGGGGAGAGATGGACAGGAACCCAACCGGAAGAAAAAAAACAGCAACAATCGGAGAGAAGTGTAAAACCTAAGGAGGAGGAAGAGAAGGAGTGGGGGGGACGACAAATGAGGGGTGGGAGGAGGAAAGATGGAGGTGGAGGACAGACGGAGGTGGTTCGGGCCCGTCCGATTAGTTGGCGGGAATAATGATGATAACGACGGCCACTGCATTCATTCCATTGATCGCCAAGCCCCGGCTGGTTGCGCTGCAACTTCTCCGTCCACGCAAGCTGCACCACTCCAGGCTAGGCTGCTAGGCTGCCACTGGCCCCCCGCGCAGGGACGATTTCTCTTGTCGCAGTTCTTGCATCTCCACGTTCCTTCTGGTATAATTGACTTCTCGACGTGCCTGTTCACCTTGAGGTTGCTCATTCGTTTCCCATCAGCCTCGTCCTTCCCCACCCCACCCGGTGACAACAACAGCCCACAAGTAAATCGCATCAACCTCACAACTTGCTGCCATCCATGACATACGATATCAATGCTATAGGATCTGTCGCTAGGCAATCGCGCAATCGGCTCGTACGATAAATTGAGAAACGGTGACTATAAACAAGAGCTTCGGTCTTCACCATGGCCCAGAACTCACAAGGCAACAAGCCGAAGTGGAAGGTCGGCTCTTTCCTACAACAGGCTGTCGCGGGTGTCGAATCTAGATTGGACCAAATATTAGCGGAAGAGGAGGATCAAAAGCAACTACAAGCGAAGAGCACGGCCACAAAATCTAAGTCCACAGAGCAACCCGGGAGTATGGTCCATTCCGTCCGTACGGACCCGTCGCATTGCTAACTGCACCTAGACCTCTCCCGCAGCTCGTCCAATGCTCGGAAGAATGATCGGCTCCAGGAACGTCTCGCTCGTGCCATGGTGAAGAACTCGCCGGGCTCTCTCGCTACCCAAGGCTCCAGCCGGAATTCATCACCCGTTACTAGTCCGAATCCCAGCAACGGTGCCCGATCTAGTATGGACATCGACTCTAACCTTGGCTCGCCATCTTTGAATGCAGGGAGACACTCTAGAAGCTCGAGTCAAGTCGATGGAAGCACGGCCGATGGGAACGAGTCGCGCAACAGCCACGATTCGGGTGACCCGCGGGCGTCGAACGATATGAACAGGCTATCGACCGAGACTGCACTACCCCAGCAGACTTCTTCAGAGAATGAAAGTGACGCTGTACAAGATTCCACGCCTGGTGCAGCAAAACCGCCGGTCGACGAGCCAGATTCATCTGCGCCTGCGACATTACCTCGGTCAACGGAGCCTGCCGAAGCATCCAGCGATACTTTCAACAGCCAAGAAAAGTCCGTCGCACAATTACAGGCCGAGCACAAAGCTGCTGAGTCTCACTGGCAGGAGGAGATGTATGGCTATATTGAGCGGATCGATGCACTCCAGTCCAAGCTCAAATACCTGGCAAAAGAAGCCGCCGAATCCGCCAAGAAGGCTGCTGCAACGGCGGAACCGGGTAGCATGGAAAGACAATTGAGAGAAAAGGACGAGAAGATAGCCCTTCTTCTTGAAGAAGGGCAGAAGTTGTCCAAGTCGGAAATGGATCATCGGACGGCTATCAAGAAGCTGAGACAGCAGTTGGCGGAGAATGCGAAATCTCAAAACGAGACGAAGAAGAAAACAGAGAAAATGGAACGAGATCTGGCCGACGCCGAGACCCGAGCCAAGCGAGCAGAAGCCGCCGAAAAGAGGGCGTATGATTCGCTCTCGGCACAGTCGAAAGCGTCTCGAGATCTCGAGTCAGTAACTGCAGAACGCAATGCACTCAGCCAGACGGTACAGGAGATGAAGGGACAGCTTGCACGAGCCGTTGCTCGAGCGGAGGCAGCGGAGGCCAAGGCTCAGTCTGAGGCACTTGAACTAGAGAAGCGTCGCGCTACTCAACTAGAAGAGGACCTTTCCAGCGCTAAGATTGAACGAGAGATCAGCGAAGGTAAGCTGAGGCGCGAGATAAGCGATTTGCAGGCCACCATTGAGCAGGAGAAGGAACGGGCCCGCATGCTGGAGGTGGAACTCAAAGGCGAGCAGTCGATGCTCGAAAGTAAGATGGAGTCTCTTCGCTTCAGAGCTGAAGAGGCCTCATCTGGTGTGGCTGGCGACACGCAAGTGAAATTGCTTCGTCAGATTGAGACTCTTCAGACGCAGTATGCCGTGGCTAGTGAGAATTGGCAAACTTTGGAGGGCTCATTGCTTGCTCGATTGGCAAATGTCGAAAAGGAGCGGGATGAGGCCACACGGCGAGATGGCGACATGCGCCGGAAGATACGTGAGACGGTGAGTACAAGATTTTTAAAGATCACATTGGCGACTACTAGGCTAACTCTTGCGTGCGCAGAATCTGAAAGTGAAACGGATTGAAGAAGAGTTCGAAACCGCCAAAGAGACTGAGCATGATCTAGAAAGTAAACTTGAGGCGGCAGCCGAAGAGAACCAGAAGCTAGAGCAGAAGCTTAAAAAAGCCACTGACGACCTGGATCAAGCCCAGAAAGAATTCACGGAACAGCAAAAAGTAATCGATGCGACATGGGCACAGAAACTCGAAGACGAGCGAGCGAAATTGCGTGAGCACGCGTCACCTCCGCCGGCTTTCTTGCAGCAACCTCGAACACAGTCTCCAGTAGCCTACAGTCGTCGGCCTAGTGCTTTAGAGCCCATCGGAACGTTATCCGACTATCGGCCGACTAGTCGTCGGCCGTCGACGTTGCCAACCTCGCCAGACACGGGCAACCTCTCGCGCCAGAACTCATTCCCACTGTCTACTCAGTCCATCCTCTCGCCCTCGACTGCGACCAGTTCCACACATCTACCAATTCCAGAAACGCCCTCGATAAACTTTGAGCCTGACGAGCTCTTCAGCCGTTCGGCCACCCCCTCCGCATACGGTGGAGCTCCTACGCAGCACTCACGCGGCATCAACGACATCATCTCAGAGTCTACCGTCGGCGCAGGACCTTCTGTACAATTGGTCGAGCGCATGAGTGCCACCGTCCGCCGACTCGAGAGTGAACGTGCCGCATCGAAGGACGAGCTTTCCCGGATTACTGCGCAGCGCGATGAGGCCCGACAGCAAGTCGTGGATCTCATGCGGGAGGTCGAAACGAAGCGAGCTTCAGATACACGCGTACAGGAGCTGGAACAGCGGCTCGACGAGCTTGATCAGCGGTACGAAACCACCTTGGAGATGCTGGGAGAGAAAAGCGAGCAGGTGGAGGAGTTAGAGGCAGATATTGCCGACCTCAAGAAGATCTACCGCGAGTTGGTCGACAGTACGATGAAGTGAAGCTATTCACTGCCCTGCATTTTTTTCGACTGAGATCCTTTCCCTTGTACATAGAGATCAATGCTCTGGGCTAGATCTCGCTCTAGACGATGTTATGTGGTACATGTATTTTTGTTTAAAAGCAGCTATTGAAACATTGAAACAGCGATGAGCCTGGAGAGACTCCGGGTATCCAGTCTAATAATTTAATGACATTCTTTTGGGTTTCGACACCGATTTGCCCACCGGATCCTCTTTCGGTCCAACTTTATAACTCAATCCCCTCCCTCTCTGCAGTCTGTAGAATGTAGCTCCTAACCTACTCGGAAGTTAGCTTGGTAACGTCCTCCAATGTCAACGCGAGCTCTACCTTGTTGTCCGGTGCCATATCGATAGCTAACACCCCGCTGGAATCTCTCTTGTCTGGTTCCGCGCCAGCCTTCAGCAGCGTGATTGCCGCATCACCATGTCCCTCAGAGATTGCGTGATGCAACGCCGTCAGTCCATCGACATCAGTCGCATTGACTGGGCTTTTCCCATCCTCAAGTAGGATTTGGATGATAGGAGTGGACCCAATAGCCGCGGCCCGGTGAAGCGCGAGCTGGCCGCGTTTATCCTTGACTCGAGCGCTGCATTTATTGGCAATCAGCGTACGAACAGTGGAGAGGTTGGCTTTGGAGGTCGCAAAATGAAGGGCGTTCTTCATATAGAATTGTTAGCGACTGTCAGTTCCATTTTATGGTGGTAGTAAGTATATATAGACAGCTCGCTGAGTACGCACCTGTCCGGAAACGCTCCTCACGCTGACATCTGCGCCCTTTTTCAACAGGAGATCAATGATAGGGTCCCCTTCCGCGTTCTTCAAACTCGCGGCGATCATCAGAGGGGTCCAGCCGGATCCATCCTAGGAGGTCCTCTTAGCAGGCTTGAATTACTTATCATGCGTTCTTGGCCGAATGACAAACCTCCACGTCGGGGTCAAAGTGCTTGTTAGAGATGAGCAGCTCCACAATAGACGGATGGTTGTAGGCTATAGCCCAGTGGATGGGGAGACGCTCATCGTCGTCTTTGATGGCAGCGAGCTTAGGATTGGCCTGGAGATGTTTGTCAGTTGCCATATTTCCATCTGTCGCCCGTGCGGGGACAGGCTTTAACATACGCTTAGTAGAGACTCCGCCGTTGAGGCTTCATACTAATATTAGCCTTGGTCAAGATCAGAGGTTGGTGGAGAGCAGAGACGTACTTTTCCCCTCGCGAGCAGCCTCGTGAAGAGGATACTTAGTTTCCGTGTTAGCGTTCATGGTTACTGCAGTGATCTGTCTAGTTCTCGTTGCTTTTGTATGCGGCGGGGTTGACGATGGATTGATTGCCTGCAGATGCGGAGAACCGCGGCCTTGACACCCTATTTGGCCTCAGGCATCAACACCTGCGGAAAACCAGAGAGCTTCACTTCGGTCTGTCCTGCAGCTTCACCTCATCTTCAGACTACCGACCGTTCTTTGATCTACGCCACTCCAGCACGCCACGTCCAATCGCTATCAACTACAACTCGAGACACTTTTCTGTTGGATGCACTGAAATTCCGCGATATCTCAAATTCGACAACCAACGCAGCAGTGTCCTGAGGGATCAGGACGCGAACGTCCGGCCGATCGCCTACGCTAACACCTCAAACCTCCTCCCCACGCTACCTACACAATGGACGTCGTCCCTTCCACATCGCCCGACGAGGCCGTGCGCCTGTCCGCAAAACGGACCGCTGAGCTGTTCGGCTCCGACTACCTCATGGTCACACCCTCGGTCGTCAACGGCTCCATCGGCCTTTCGTACCGACGCAAAGCAGAATACGAAGACGTCAAAGAATTGCCCCCCGCCCTCGCCGAGAAGCAAGCCGCTGCCGCTGCGGCCGCTGCCAGCGGACGCGCCAAACGACCTAAGATCCAAGCACAGACAAAAGCCTCTGCGGCCGACGGCAGCGGCGCGTCAATGGCGTTGGTCAAGAAAGCCCCCGGGCCGGCGGCGGGCGGTGTTGGCGGCGAGAACGAACCTAAGAGTCTGATCCAGCGACCATCGGCGACGCGACAACAGAGACCCGACTGGCATGCGCCGTGGAAGCTCATGCGCGTCATCTCCGGCCACCTGGGTTGGGTGCGGAGCTTGGCCGTCGAGCCCAACAACGAGTGGTTCGCCAGTGGTGCGGGTGACCGGACGATCAAGATCTGGAATCTGGCAACCGGCGCCCTCCGTCTAACTCTCACCGGTCACATTTCCACCGTGCGCGGTCTGGCCGTCTCCCCGCGCCACCCATACCTCTTCTCCTGCGGCGAGGACAAGATGGTCAAGTGCTGGGACCTGGAGACCAACAAGGTCATCCGCCACTACCACGGCCACCTGAGCGGCGTCTACACCCTGGCCCTGCACCCGCGTCTCGACCTCCTCGTAACCGGTGGTCGTGATGGCGTTGCTCGCGTCTGGGACATGCGCACGCGGAGCAACGTCCACGTCCTGTCCGGCCACCGCGGCACCGTCGCGGACGTGAAATGTCAAGAAGCCGACCCGCAGATCATCACGGGCTCCCTGGACTCGACCGTACGGCTGTGGGACCTGGCAGCGGGCAAATCGATGGGCGTGCTGACGCACCACAAGAAGGGCGTGCGCAACATCGTCACGCACCCGCGCGAGTTCACCTTCGCCAGCGCCAGCACCGGCTCCATCAAGCAATGGAAGTGCCCCGAGGGCGAGTTCATGCAGAACTTCGAGGGTCACAACGCCATCATCAACACCATGGCCGCCAACGAGGACAACGTCCTCTTCTCCGGCGGCGACAACGGCTCCATGTGCTTCTGGGACTGGAAGACCGGCTACCAGTTCCAGAGCATCGAGTCCACCGCCCAGCCCGGTTCTCTCGAGGCCGAGGCCGGCATCATGTCCTCCACCTTTGATCGCACCGGTCTGCGCCTCATCACCGGTGAGGCCGATAAGACCATCAAGATCTGGAAGCCAGATGACGAGGCCACCCCCGAGTCGCATCCCGTCACTTGGGCTCCCACCCTCGGTCGGCAGAGATATTAGGGCCCTTGCACATATCTCGCGCAGGGATCAATCGTGCTACCTCTTCTTTGTTCCTGTTTCTCTCCTACATCTCCTCAAATACCCCCTTCCCGACCTTGATAGCTTTCGTGGATGCACACCCCCATTCACAAGTATCGAATGTGAACAAATCTATATCTTTTTACGCTACGGTCAGCACCTTGAGGCAGTTATGGATCTCATTTTCTGGGGTTTTGGAATGCAATATGGAGTTCAGCGTTTCGTGGCTTTTGTCCTGGTATCTTTTCGAGTTATTGGGGTTTCATGTCTGTTTTTCCCCTAAAGGCTCATAAAAGGACTTTGTTCATGGCTGTATACCGATGTATAATAGAGTGCATAAACTGAATGTCTTACCTTGAGCTTTGTATACGTCGCTGCCATCAACCCGTAAGCCGCAATCGTGTTATAGTTGAGTAGTTACACATCTTGATGAGTATGGTCAGAACGTGGGTATCATTATCTCTAGTCTAAAATATCGTACAACTAACTCACTACCTCTCCTTCCGGCATCCTTAAGGTTCCAAGGGGCGGATTGATATTACTGATCGATCCCCAGCCCCAACCCCTTAGCCTCTACATCGTCGCAGAACGCCGATCGGACATCCTCCGCCGCAACGCGCAACCGCACCTTCCCGCTCCGATCACCCCGGTGCGGGATGGCCGCACTGCCGAGCGGACCTTTCGCCCCGGCGCCATGCTCCAACGCCAGGACGCCGGAGTTCATAAGCTCCATGGCCGCGGATCCCAGAGCACGCACACGCGCCCCATTCCCGCCAGCAAGGAGGAACTCCTTGATGCCTACGCCGGCCGCGCCGGCGACGGCGACGGCTGCATCGGCGATGCGCTTGGCTTCGTCGATGACGTCGCCAACAGTGGATTCGGAGATGCCGGTGCGGCGGACGCGGGCGAGGAGCGCGGCGAGGAAGAGTTTCCCGGCCAGCGGAAGACAGCGAAGGGATTGTTGGAGCGGGGTTGAGGTGGCTTCTTGAATGGCTTGTTTGATGGTGGCGATGGTGACGCGGCCGACGATGGGTTTGTTGGTAGTGGTGGTCGGTTGTGGTTTCTTCTGCGGGGACGGGGGGAGGGCTTTTTTGTTGAGAGCCCGGTCTTTGCGGGCGGGGGTTTTACTCGGGGTTGGCGGCATCGATTCGGTATCGTCTTCGTCGATGGTCTCGAGGGGCTCTTTCCGAGCGGCTTCGTTGGCTTGTTGTTCGGCAATCTCCACGGCACGTCGGCAGATGTCGAGGGCGCGACGCGCATCACCGCTGACGGCGGCGACTTTGCGGCTGGCAAATTGGACGGCATCTGCTTCGACGATATTACCGGGAACATTGGCAAGTCTTGTGCTAATGATGTCCATCAGGTCGGTATGTTTGTAACCTGGGAAGGTAATACGAGTGAGGCCTAGACGGCTGGAGATCTTGTTGCTCAGGGTTCGCTCCGGAAGATCCATCGTGTTGGCGACGGCGAGAACGATGAGCCGGGAGTGGCGTAGTGCGGGCCAGTTGAAGAAATTGTACATTACGGATTGATTCTTGGTGACGAGCTGGTCAAGTTCGTCCATCAAGACAACGCAGGACACTCGGCGGGGGGAGGGGTGCGAAAACTCCCGTTCGAGGAGGTCTAGGGCATGAGAAGGGGATACACGATCACCCTTTAGGGCCTCCCAGAGCAGAGAGTAGGACTGATGAGGATCAGTCACTTTCATGCCGTTGATTTCGACGAAGATGAAATCGTCCATCTCTTCCGCCAGTACGGCGGCATTCAACTGGGCGACAACCTCCCGAACAGTTGCTGTCTTCCCTGTTCCGGGTGTACCGGATATATAGATACAGGTACCCGTTCCCTCCATGATGGCTGCGCTCAAATGACTGTAAACCGCGTCGAACTCCGTCTTCCGGCAAGGCAATGACGTTGGTACGGTAGACACATGGAGGAGAGTCCGCGCCTGTCGGTATGGTGAGGCCAATTGCGACGGTGAAAGAATTCGTGTGCCAAGGGGGGTGAATTCGAGTGGTTTCTTGACAACAATTCTATCGCAAGATGTGAGCCAGTGCTAAGAAAGATTGTTGCAGACTTCACTTACCTCTTGTGAGTCGGCGTCGTGAAAGACTTCTGACGACGGGATTGGGGAGTGGCATGAGAAGCAACCTTCTGCCTCTTCCTGGGTGTACTGGGAGCGACTTCCTTTTCGTCTTTACCTTCCGTATACTTTGAAGATTTTAGCATGCGAAGACGCGCCCAAACAGCCTGATGAACTCACATCGTTGTCGACCTGCTTGCGTTTTTTGGCTACTTTGAGCCCATCCTTAATCATATGGATGAGGTCGAAGAGTTTATCCTCCCGATAGACATCTTCCCACAGAAACTCTTCGGTATATCTTCCCTGAACTTGATTCACTCCTCTGCGACACACAATGCATTTGTTGAAATCGGCCAGAGATTCCTTTCCCTTCGGAGGGACACCGCCCGGGTATTTGGCATAAAAGACGTCTTTAGACATCACGGTGGCTTTGCCATTGATAGATGTGAGAGGGTTGACATTGAAATCTGCTGTTAGGTATTGCTCGTTGGGTAGGGCGTCAGATCGTCGCTTGTTCTTGGTCGACATGAATTCGTCCGGAGAGGCAAACCACATGATGTTGGCCGACTTGATAATCTCGTCGTCATCTTCGTCCTGTTCCACGAACTCTGTGATAATTCCAACCCAGTCTTTTCCGGGCTCCGGAGATTTCAGAAGCACCACCTGGCCTAGGGCGCATTCGAACGAGCCCATGCGAGCCCCGATTATCTTCCGCGAGCGTTTGGCATTCGGAAGAGCTGAGCGTCTCCGCATCGATCTCGGAGTATCTTGTGAAGTGTCGGCAGTCGGTTTGTTATCGGGTTCCTCGATGTCCTCATTGTCGTAAATCCACTCCCATGGGTGGTCTTCTTCACCCAGCTCGTCATCGGAATCATCCCGGACAAGACCGCCCTTGGTCATCCATAGCTGGGCCCGCTTGCGCACACTCGGCTTGCGCGAAGACAAGCCAGGAGTCTGGCCTTCTGAGTCGGAGGCCATTGTCCCTTGGTAGTCTAATGGCCGGCTTGGGGGGAGTCGATAATGTTGATCGGGAAGCTGAAAAGACGCGCCTGCCGCGCGCTTGAGCCTGTATTGCCATTTTAGGGTTAGCTTCAGCACGGTCCGCGCCCGCCAATCAGATAACATGCACTATACTTCACAACTGAACACGGCAAGAGGCGTTGTGATTTAACACAGCAATTGGAAAGAGAGCTGTGGGTGAGAGACTATTAACTTCGCAGTGAGCCTCCAAAGCCAGTGAATTTAATATTACGATCTGTTCTCAAAGTAATAAGTTACCACTCTACTTCTTGACTTGTCAGCAGTGATTTCGGTGAATGCAGGCTGCCGAGACAACTACTAGTGATTGGGACACGAGCAAGTCGTCTCACACTGATCATTTCGGTCAGCCAATTGACCTTTATTAACTTTAATTTCTAAGTCTGAGAGCTGTCGTTTGCTGTGTGTAGAATATAACCACTGTGTACCGTCAATCCTCTGTCCTTCCTCTTCGTTCCCACTGATCACCCCGGGTTACTTCCACCCTTTTCCACCTCTGTTGACATCTTCCGCTCTCCCATCAGTGCAGAACCCCAATTGTTCGAATTCTTCTTCCTTGACCATCCGTTGATCACATCACTCTGTTGTTATCCATCTTTCCTGTTCATCGGATCTCTTTTAATCAACGGCTGCAGACTGAAAACCACCGTGCTAATCTCCCGCCCAGCTCCGGCTGGAGATTCACAGTCAACATGGAGTAAGTCCTTCTGTTCATCAAATAAAGAAGAGAATACTTACCAGAGTTTAGTTTCGAGGCTTCTGGAGCGCAAGGTGATCATACAGCTTTCCCTTTCCTTGTCTCATGCTATGACGCAACGTGCTGATTTTCGTATCTTAGAATGGACACTCCCCGGCTATGGACGACCAGGCTTTCAGAAGAATCGTTCCGAGCCGGAGTCTTCCCAAGCCCAGAGCAATCCATCTCAGCCCAAGACCCGTTCTACTACTGAGCATGTGAATGAACCAGTAGCTTCGGTAGCTTCGTCCATGACCAACAACGCTCCGAGCACTACCCCGGCCCCCACCAGAGGTGCAGCGCGCCCATACAGAGCACGTGGCAGTATGCGAGGTAAAAGAGGCTCCTTCTCGCCCCAAGCCCCCCTGCCAGGGGAAACTCCTGCAAAAGCACAGTGGAGGAATGGTGCTCAGCCCACCGGTACATCAAATGTTTTCCATTGCTATCACTCGAGCTGACTTTGGTTGCCACAGGAGTCATCAGGCTCTCACGCCCTTTCAGGGAGATCAGAGATGCGTGAGTAGTACCTTCTGATAGGCGACAAGACATATGTTGACTTGAGACTAGGTTCTGCACCGCGGCTCGGTCCGTCTCCTCCAAACGCCCATTCGGACAGCAGGGACGTAATGATGCCTTCGATGACATCTGCCGGAAGACTGGAGCTTACATCAATCCACCCCACAGTGACCATGATGTATGTATTCTAGATCTCTGACTAGACAGCCATTAATGTGTATAGGTGATACATCTCTGGGGGGCCTCATATCAGGTCTCTGAGGCCACGGAGCTCATTCAAAGCATTCTTGCACGATGCGATACCATTGCCATGCCAAAGAAAAGAGATTGGACCAAGACGACAGCCTATTCTGTTGGGAAGGAGGAGCTTGCAGATCAGCTAGAGTTAGAAGATGCCTTGATCCAGGCATACCGCAGGGCCCCTGATCCCAGCTCGCCGTTCTTTGAGAAGGTCAGTAGAACTAGCACGTCGCGATCTGAGAACAAGAAAACCAACTAAAGTGTGATATAGTTACTGTTCTTGTGGCCTAGGAAAGGTCCCTCCATTCATAGTGCCTTGGGTACAGAATTGGAAGCTCTTGACCCAATTCGTATCAAATATGAATGTCACTTGTTTGTTCCTAAGGACTTGCCTGACCATATCTGCGCTCTCGGTTATGCCCAGGGTAAAACAGGCCTCATTGCCCAGCTGCTCAGAAACAAGTGGGCTGAGGTCATGGCAAGCGACCTCGTCAAATCCAAGTTATACTTGGTTGAGCCTGTTGGGACTTGCCAGGGCGAAATCACTGCGAGGAAAGAGGCTGGCTTTACCAGAACCCTGTTTCGCACAATCCCGTTGGAAGAATCCGATATAGAGCTTTGGGCGGGCCGAGCTGAGCTGATCAAGTCCAAGAATAAAGCTTATCTTCTCAAAGTGGTTGATAGATGCTTGAAGGGCGTTATTTATGTCCGTGGACACCTTCGCATGCGAGTCAATCTTGGACTGTTCGTGCTCGATCATTACCGTCTCCCGGCGGATGGGAAGCTGGCGTATGGTTTTGAGGAATTTCGGGAGATGTTGTTTCACGAGAAGACAAGGGGCCGCTTGGTTCCCGGGTATGCGCGCAATCCTTTCTTGGTCCTTGGGATAAGATGCTGATATTATGAGCAGTTTGAAGATCGATCCGTCTAAATTGCTCGCTAGACTGCTTTCCGCAACCAGCCTTCTCCAGCCATACGACCGGACAATGGACTCATTACGACAGCCGGAGCCGGCATTCTCCGTGAACTTCGAGTTCGCTGGCCAGAAGAATGCTCTGCTACGCTTGGAGGCCGAGTTCGCCAAATGCGCCGGGGCGCGCGACTATGCGATAACTCAATGCCGCTGGTTGAAACCACGCAAGGTCGGTCAAGTCAAAGACTCGCGTTCACCTTTACAGGTTGGAGTCATCGACTTTGAGAGGTAAGTCTACTCAATATACTCTTGCGTAACATTCTAATCAATTGTAACAGGTCCGACTGGCAGCTGGAGATCGCATCCTTGGAATTCTATGAAGCGACTGCGGTTGAAGCTGCTTTGCAAACTTTCTCGCACATAATAAAGTTCAAGAGCAACGATACTATGGGCGATATTTCGACGAATCCCATCCGCAAGGTCATCTTCCATGCCACGGCACCAGTCACTAGGTTCATCGAAAAGACGTCCATTCGATACCGCCTGAAGGGGACGAGATATATTTTGGAAATAGCGCGTTACGACGAGTACACTCGCACCGCCACGGCCGGCCCAGCTAGTCTGAATCTAGGAGCACCCTTCGGAGATAAACCTCGCATTTCTTGGGGAGCGTCGGTCTTTGACTTTGCCTGGGACAATATGCTGGGGCAGCATGCCAATATGCCTTTGGGACATTCAGCCAATTACGATCCGAGCCTTCAGACCTTCTTCCCGGCCTCGAGTGAGACCGAAGACAAGACTCAGGGATTGTGGGAATTCATTGACCTTATCAAACGCGTTGCATCGCTTCTGGGTTCTGGGTCGCCGCGTAGCACCGTAGGCACTGGAACAGCCAAGGCCGAGAGTATCAGTCGGTCGGCAAGTCCGGCCTCCAGCGGCAATGCCAGGGGTCTGGACGCAGATCTCGGTACTCTGTTCTGAACCATCAGCGAGCTTGCTGCTATGTTAGGATGGAGAGCTACGATCCCATCGCCTCGGTACGTGATCCAATACCGGTCACACCCCGGGGTATTTCATTTCGGACGTTGATATGGCGGTCAATCATGTCAAACTTCATTGATGCCTATCTTGCCTTTGTTTTGCTTTTTTCTGTTTCTGTACCTTAACATGACAGACTTTACTAACCGGCACCAGCGGTAGCAGTGGCGGAAGAGGCGGCACCCTCTGCCAACAATTTCTGTCTCAATGCTGATCAAGGAAGCGGTTAGTTTAGTTTTAGTCCAATATGAATGCCAGGGCCATTTCTCCGAGATCCTTCCCCGGGTAAAAGTAGAGCAAAACCACATACCATCTTCAAAAAGCCTTTGCTGCTGACTCTTGGTCTGCACAATCTTCTCCAACTCGGTGAGGTTGGTCTCTAGACCCTTGACCTTATCCTCGTAGAACTCGATCGCCTTGGGGGCAGTCTAGAATTACCCAAATTAGCCAGTCATTCCAAATCAACGCAGTATTATAACGTCCAGTATCTTCTTTCCCAGCCACACCATCCTCCCATCCTAATCCTCATCCCAAGCCAAGCCACCCCCGATAGGAAAGGGCAAACCCACCTTCTCAACATAAAACCCCGTCCCAACATCAACAAGCACCTTCTCCCGATCCGCGAGCCGACCCCGCACATACAGCGAACTGGTCAGCGGCACGAGAATCTCCTCCTGGCCCGCGGTGCCCTTCTTCGTGGACCCCACGACCCCCTCGTTGATCGACCGCACGCAGTCCTTGAACTTCAGCTGCGCGGCGCGCAGCTTGGCGTGCGAGGTGGTCAGGTGTTCGAGTTCGGTGGAGAGTCGCGTCTGCAGAGCGCGGAGTTGCGGGACGGAGAGCGAGGCGATGTTAACTTTTTATTTGGATGGTTAGTATTTGGCTGTGGACTTTGGACATGGGTTTGTATAGCATTGGTTCTTTTATAGGGAGAGGGGGTGGTGAGGGTTTTTGGGGGATTGGCACGGGGATTGGAATTACCTGAGCCTGGTGGGGGGTCGGAGCTGGATTCTGACATTGTTATGGGTCTTCGGTATGAGGGGTGGACGTGAGGATGGGTATTTTGTTGAGGGAGGGGAGTAGGAGAGGTGTAGGTTCTGTGCTGCGGTGTCTGTGTCGGTGTTCTGGCAATTGACTCCGGGTGAAGCTTTGCGTCCGTTGTTGTATTGGGGTCGGGGTGGGGTCGCTGTGCATTGTAGTTTATGCAGCTAACGTAATCGGTAAGCGAGTGGCGCGTGTAAGCCAGCGGTGCGCTGCATTTCCCATATAAAATAGTAATTTTCAATCCCTTATATCTCGACCAATTCTGGATATTATTCTATATAATCTTATATACAGCTTTATATAGTTATAAATTAGTACTTACATCAAGGATTTCTAATTTAAAGCTTAATAAGACTTAATA